CTACTTTTTCTTTCTTTTCCTTTCGGTCGTCACGTGGCCGCTTGCGCAAGACATATATTCCCTGACGGAGGAAATGTATCGCGAAGATACGTTTTACGTGACAATCGGTGAACCACAACCGCGCGTAAATACGCATCTAATAAATTTAGAAAGTGCTACGAACGCGCGCGACGAACAATCTGCATTCGATTTGCATACAACCGCTGTTCTCGTTCGCCTTCGTCACGGCCGTCTAGAAGGGAAATTACTGATTGAAGATATAGACTCGCAGATGCCGCGAAGAAGCCTTCGCACTGATTAAGCCTCGGTTGAATTCAACAGACGATAAAATGATCAGGCACGTCACCGGTTGTGCAAACAAAGCATCCGTACGTCCTGTGTGTGCTTATGTGCATGTATACTCTTCGATATTTCAAATCATTTTTTTTTCTTTTTAAGTCACTTATTCCCGGAGAAATAACTTCAACGGAAGACGGAAGATATCATATTCGTGTTTGTGCCTATTTTCGTACATATCCCAACAGAGCTTCCCATATCATAAAAACAGATAAAAAAGAAATACAAAATAAAACTTTCATACACACGATCACGAATATCACGGGAGTTCACTCGGCTGGCCACAAACGCTCATTACTACTGCGGTTGATACGCTGCGACGTAAGACGCTACATTACAAGTTCATACCCGCGAAGACGAAGATATAGAGCAGATCGGGAAGTTACCAGCTAACTTCGATATAGACTGACTGACTTTAATTCCATTTAGACCATACCTGCGAACGACAAAGCGACTGCTTCCAACTTGTCGTAAGAAACGAACATTGATATTGAATCGGTGTGCTTGATTCAACATGCTCTTTAATGATAAAATCGAGAGGCTACTTGACTATCTAGCGAAGCTTCTCCAGCAGTAACATCGATTTTCGCTCATTTACTGCCGAATTTCAAGCAGGAAAAATAAAGGAAGCGTCGTTAAAGAGCATAGGTCGGTCTAAGCTCGTTTGACAATGTACTTGCTCAATATAGCAGACAATGAGAATGTCCTCGTAGAGCGCGTATATCGTTGTCTCCTTCTTGATAAATGTGACTTTCGTTTGAAACTAGTTAGAGAGTGAGTTAGAGAGAGAGAGAGAGAGAGAGAGAGAGAGAGAGAGAAATTCTTTTCGTACAATGTGAGAATTACGGCATGTAAGCAATAATTCGCGTCTTCGCGAAAGGATTCTCCCGGTGAAGACTACGCGAGCGTCTTCTCGTAAACGTAATTTATGCGCGCAAATGCGTCCACGCGTGTGTGCGACGTCTTCATCTAGTCCAATTTCTATAGTGCCTATAACACCACGGTGAAAGCTGCTCGCCTTTTGTTTTCATCGATTAAGAACGCCCACCGCCATTTGTATCACCACAATGTACGTACGCTATATTGCGTACGTTTCGCCGCAGTCCGCGCTCGCAATATCTTGTAATATTTCATAAATTTACTCGACATATCAGTCGGTTTGTGGCAAAACACGACGTAGCTTTACTCGTCGCAAACATCATTGATCAATACCGACACAAGAGGAATTTTCATAAGTACGGTATTAAAGAGACAATCACACATGAAATTGTACTTGTCTCATGAGACAACTGCGACAAGCCGAAAAGGATGGCAATTCCTAAAGGAAATTAATTAAATTCCATGTCGTCAATACCAAGAAATGGTTCCTTTGACGGGCGCAGCCCCTCTCTCTCTCTCTCTCTCTCTCTCTCTCTCTCAGTAGATCGATAAAATTTCTTTGTGTGACGAGTCCTTAAGGACTCGTTCTTCATTCTTTCCGGGGCCACGAGCAAGGCAACAGGTTTGGCTCCCCTACATTTTTACCTTTCGTACGGATCTTCGAGCTTTCTTTTACGCGACAGTTTCCGTCAGCACATTACATTTATACACGTCTATTCATCGCGATAGATGGAACGAAGTAATGTTTGGAAAATTGCCTTCCCATATCTTTCGTATCGGAATATTAGTCTAGTGTAGTTTCTTTCTTGATCCGTTACTACTCAGAGAAAAAATATATTTGTGAAAATATACAATAATATTCTCGGTCTCCTGAAGATGAAACGATATCGAGGTAGATCATCACGGAAAACATATTTACCGAGACGATAAAGGAAAGCTAGAGTCCATTTCACAAAATAAAAGGAAAGAACTTGAGGATTACCAGCAAGCGAAACGGGCGAAGGACGAAGTCCTATACAAATTTACCATGTGAAATTAAGGAACTTTGTAGCTCGGTCATAGCGGCCTGATTCAACAGCTGAACTTTTATAGTTTAGTGTTGTTTAGAAAAGCATCGAGACTATCGGCTTAGAGAGTACCGCTGCAATAACGAAATCACTTAGTCTTAACGCGTAAATTTACAATTAATTATCAATTCCGTCGTAAATGCGCAAATCTCGACAGTGGCTACAAAGATGCGAAAAGACGAGATTGTGCGCAACTTTCGAAAGGACATTTCCAAGTTTCCTCGTAGAATCGCTATAATCACAAGGCAATCGGAACTGCATGGACACTGAATTTAAATTTTATCATTGTGTCGCTTCAATCACATTCATTCCGAGTAATGTCTGCATGATATTAAAGATTTCCTTTGATCCTTGACCCATCTACAGCCGCGAATATATTGTTCATTTTTCATTCGACGGTCTCTTGATCTTTCCCGGTTACATGAATGCGTCAGAGTATTAAAAGTGATCGAAGACGAAAATTAAAAGCACTACTCCCTCTGTACGCAAAACTGTCCAGCCAGTCTATATTTAATTCACTGTAATCTGCTGTAATTGGAGTACGACTATAGAGCGAAGCACGGCTGACGAACAATCGAGAAACTAATCTATTTTGTACCACAAGCTATTCTTCCGACGTCATTCTTTCGCCACAAAATGGCCTCTCTCGTGTATGTACGAAACTATTTTATTGCATATACATTGGCAATCATCGGGCGTGTAATTAAAAGATATACGAGCGATGTCTAAATCGCAAATGAAGTATTCGTTGCGAATGAACACGGTGCGTTAAAAACGAAACTTTAAAAATAAAAGCACCGCACGCGTAAAGAGCAGCTGTGTTTTTGAAATGACTTTGGCGATTTAAAACCAATTATCGAGGGATCGCGGCGATGTCGCAGGTCCGCTTAAACGCAATCGATAGATCCGTTAATTTTTCGGATTTTTGGATTTTAATCACTCGCGGAATATACTCGACGATGTCTCTCTACTCATACGCGAAGCTGTAATCCGTTCGATCAACCGATTCTCTTTGTGTTGGGCCCGCAAAAGCTCTTTAAAAGCGTTGGCTGCAAAACGAATGTGCCGAGAGCGACCGGTGTCCTAACAATGAATCCTTGAATTTTCCATGTTCGAGCTAGAACGGCCCCCTCGAATTGTCCAAATGCAAGCTGTTCGCGCACCGTCAGAAATCCGGCATTATCTGAAATTCGCGCGCGGTCGCCGATATTTCGGATGCACAAAGAGAAGTGAGCGTGTACCCTTCTGCGCCTTTTCTCTTCGAATAGAATTCGCTGTGTAGATGATGTATATGCGTCTTTCAGCACATAGAGCCTCGAAAATTTTGTAATCCGGGACGCTAACAAACGTAACAATGCAATTGGCTCTATTTAAAAAGGGATCGTCTATTAATCACGTGATAGATTTTTCGGTGTTTTTTTTACTCCCCTCACACCCCTGCGTGATTTTAAGTGATATCACAGCTAACCCATCCCTCCTATCATGTGATTTAATGTCGTTTTATTAATAAGAAATTCACGTATATAAATATATATTTATTTTATATATTATATAATTTTATATAAATTATATATAATTTATAGAGATTTTACATAAATGAACTATATATATATATATATATATATATATATATATATATTATCATATTAATTTTAATAAAAATTCAATTTCTTCAGTCCATGATATATGCATACTTTTGTTAATAATACGTCAATAGCAGCCAGCCAATAAACAGTCGCGTCGTAAACGTCAGTTGGTCAGGTGGCTATTGGAAGAATTAGCTTTCGCAAAGAAATACACGTGATATTTCGTATCGCCTCTTCTTCTCCGTCATGATCATCCGTGATGTTTTCATTGACTCCCCCCTTTCCCTTAAACCTCACGTGATTAATGGATGACCCCAAATACATATGACGCGCACCGATATAAAATAATCTTGAAACGTGTGGATGGTGACAAAAACAGAAACGGAATCCGCTGTCTGCGCGTGTGGGCTCTGTGAATTCCATATAGAAATACGCAAAATACGTAGGCTCTGTCGCGATATCCCTCTTTATTTTATTTTTTCTCTCTGAAAAAGAAGGACCTTGAAATATCCTCGTTTCTGATATTTCCGCCTTTCTTCTGCGTTCGAATATCCAATAAGGGTCCAATAAGGATAAGAAGGTTGTAATTATAGTTACTCCGGAATTTCCCAATTTGCTCGTAAAGTGCCATAAAGCAACGTGAGACTGCGATTTTGGAAGCGCATATTCGAAATACTCTCTAAACATTCCTCTAACCACAACCACGTTGTAAACACGTTATACTCGCTCATCAGCAGATAATTGTATCAATTCATTATAAAGTTTAATTAAAATCTATCGGGAAAGAACGAAAAATTTTAATTAAAATCTATCGGGATCTGCTAAGAGACTAAAGTGATGAAGTACGATAATGTATGGGTAGGCAAATTCTTCCCAGCAAAAATTAACTGTGATAGTCAAATTCGTCGAAGCACACGTAATCGCGTGGGAGGGAGGTGGGGTATGTGAAACAATAAATCCAGGATATTTTCTATGTCAAATTGCACTCTCATTTTCAAGTATTCTTACGATATCCATCCGATATGCATTAACTATAGCTGATAAATACACGCTTCAAGATTAGCGATCATTGTAGTAACGGAAATATATGAGCTACGTATAAAAGATTAAAAGTCAATGTACAGCGACTCACCGCTGGTTGACGAATCTCGTTGACAATGGAGACGTAGAGGAGCAGGCTTACGAGGTAGTTTCTGGCGAACCCCATGTTTCCGGCAGATCAACCTGTCTCTCGCGAGGCAGCCTTCCAAATGTGAGTATCGCTTCGGAACGTGTTGCCTCCTTATATAGGGTGCGTTTCAACCGGCGCAGGCGTTCCATCCCCTCGCATTCTCCTCTCGCCCCATAGCGCACTCACATACAGTGTACACGTAGCCGGATCTTCGTCACTTTTTTTCTCCTTTCGACCGTGGATACGCATATTATCGACGGCGACGGTGAAAAGGGCCACACATTCCACGAAAGCCTCTCTTCACGGAGGTTTCACAAAAAGACAAAACAGACGAAAGGGCGTGCGGACGATTCGAAATTGCAACACGGCTAATATTCATGCTTATTGCCCGTTAAGAGGAAGACTGACTTTCTAAAAAGAAAAAGGATTCCGTAAAAAAGAAAGAAAAAGGGTTTTTCATACATCTAAAATGACGTTGTATTCTTTACATACGTTATGCCGAATAATTCTTACTATTTTGCGCTTTTCCTCGGCGGATATATTTATCGGACAGTTGCAAAGATGGAGACTGTCGTTATCGATAGGGCCTAACTATTGACATCAATTAATCGGAATAATTATGTACCGATCAATAGTTAAATCATTTGAGATTATTATCGATATCAATTAATATAACTTGATTGAAAATCGTATGACTTTAATAAGCTTAATTTATTATATTACGTCTGTATAATTAAATTCTACCTAATTTATATTATTAAATTTAATTTATCATATTACAAATACAGAATTCACTATCTCGTACAAACTTACATATCGTTCAGCAACATGAAAATATTTTAAATTATAAACACTTATAACTTAATTCTATACTTATAACTTAATTTTATGTCTCTTTTATGTAATACAATTGTGTAAATTACAATTATTAATTATTAATAATTATATTGACAAAATACTTTCGTGTTTTTAAGCATGATGTAATAATTTCAAATGTTACACAAATTAAGGACCGCACGATTTTGAGAAAAAATGTAACACCGAAATAGAATTGTCCTTTATTGGCACTCACACCGCTTTTTCTGTTGGATATTTCTTCCTTGTTTTTATAATACTCGCTCTCTAGTGACTCATAATAATAAAAAAATGCTTTTGTCAGATATTTATAGAATAGGCGATATGATTATGGTACAGTATTGCGACACACTGAATTAAATAACTTTTGATGATATATGCAATATATTCAGATTAGTCTCTCTTGATGATGTACTTCAAGTATAAGAAAAAAAAAAACTGGGAATTGAATAAAATTAGAAAGAATGGAAATATTCGTTTTTCCAAGGGACTACGTAATTACAAATCTTACATAATACTACATCACGTAATAAATATTTTTATATACGTATCCCAAGTAATTTTAATTTTATGTAATACTATATGACATATATACGCTCATATTTGCAATAACAATATTTTTCTCTAATATTATCATTGAATGATATATCATTAGATAATATTGAACGAGAATTTATAAACTGTATGTAAAAATATTATATGTAAACTATTCTACGCATATAATTAAATATCTGACACAATATAAATTTTAAATGAGAAAAAAATCTTTACTACTCAGAACAGGATAAAATGAGATAAAAAATGAATAAAATTTCTCATTATAGCCGGTCGTTCGCAGCGTGCCAAGGGATTTGCAATAAGAGTCGAGAGATCTCACGTAGTCTTATGACGTCCATAGATGGCGGATCGTATTTTGATATACAGTCTTTTGGGAATCTAAAATTTCCGCTGTAATTGACCGTATATTTGTCACGCGAATGCTGTGAGATCGATATCCCGAATGCGGAGTAAACAGGAAGTGAATAGTATGCTCAATCACCTTTCTTAATGCAATGCAAGTAGGAGAAAATTGCACAATTTGAAAAATTACAATGTGTTTATCAATATATAAAGCAATCTATCAAATTTCGTTACAATTAGAAACTCACTTTACATACAATGATACTCATTAAATACATTCGGCAAATTAAATTGCACCGTAATTGACAACAAATTAAAATAATTCGCTGGTAACAATTATAAAACTTGAATGTTGCGATGTTAAATTGACTAAAAGGAGAAATTTCTGAACTCTACTTTTAATTTGTATAAAATATCATTTTATTGTTATAGTACATATACATTTATTTTTGGTATGCATAAAATGTTTTGTAATTTACGATGAATTCTAGTGAAGAAAATCGAAAGAAATACAGAATTTTCGTTATCGTTTTTCGCATTAATAATTTAATCGTACGGTTACAATCATACATTATAATGAAGTCTTTTCCATGTTCTAAGCTCGGGTAGCTTTTATCCCGTTGCAATTAGTTTTTTTTTATTTATTATTTATATATTATTTTATTATTAGTTACGGAACGTTCTATGTATAACTATTTTGACTTCTTTTTTAATGCGTTTACCAATTTCCAAACTCGGAAAATTCTACAATCTCTTGATTTGAAATTTATAAAAGATAAAATTGTACTGATACGCATGTAGGTATATTTTAAATAAAAACTATACATGAAAGAGAGGAGTATATTAATGAATGATTATATATTGATAATCCATCAATTTAAATGATATACATACATGTATATTTACAATGATATATGTCTTACATTAAAAATTTTTTTCGTGTTGTCTAGCAGTTTGAAATATTTAAAAATGTAAATGTATCAACACTTCGAGTCCAGAAAGATTATTTTATGGAACTAACATCTTTTACAGATATATTTGTTCAATTCGTCAGTAATCGCATGTTAAAAATATAATTTATATGATTCGAATACTATTTCACGCTAATGTAAGCAAAATTAAAGTCTGATTAATAATGCAGTAAAACGATGATGTACTAAATTTCACAAAATGTTACACACAGATGTTACATATTTTGTAACTCGAGAGAAATTTGTGTTTGAAGAAATAAATAATCATCTGACAATTGCTTAATTTCATGAAATGCTTATTTATAAAAAAGGCAATTACTCTGTACAAAAATAATATAATATAAATATAGCATTCATAACTTAGTCGCGCGACATCACCAACTCACACAATAAATGTGGCCAACAGTTATAATTGTGCACACACAAAAAACGTGTTAGTTGTTGGTTACAAAAATATAAACATTATATAATCGTAAGGACCAAGTTTACAAAAATTCAAGATTGCAATTTTAAGAAAATAATCGAAATTTCAAGATTCTACATTCCAATTTCATTTTCTTTGCGTATCCGCATTACCGTATAAATTTGTAACCAAACTGGCGAAGAACTTTTCTCAACATTCAAATATATACAAGTTGTACTGCATTGTGCTACAAACAATTACAAAATATCTAATTTGCTTAATATAATATTAACGTTTATGAGAAATGCGTTAAGATTATTACAAATAAGAATATACATAGAGGTATGATGCACCTAATTCACTTGAAAAATATTTAAAAGTAGAACCGATGTAACTTGTATTTAATTTCAATTCAGGGGTAACAATTAAATGGAATCAGAAACAATATAGAGAATTCGTCATGCGATTACGCGACGCTAGTGAGAAATTTGTAAATACGCCGTAGTGTTAGACGAAGGACATTGAGGACGAATAAAGCGTTTTTTTTTTGGTTATGAACCGCATCAATACTAAACATCAGTCCTATTAAATGTGACAGCGAGTCTAGAACCCCGTTAGTGCAATTTTTGTTTTTTGTAAATCTAATTTATTTCTTCCTTCACGAGGAGCTTGTTTGTCATAGCCTCATGATATAGGTCCAACAGTTCTTGCATAGTCAGTTTAGAACATACGTTCTTGAAAGTGTCAAACAAATCCTCTTTGGATTTATCTGCATTCCTGACACACGCGATACTAGACTGAGGCGGCAAAAATTGGTCCAAGACACTTTTAAGCCTGCTGGGAGACTGAGCACTTAACGCTCGCGCTATATCCTCCGAGCTATTATTCTGCAAGGCAATATCCAAAACCACTGACGCCGGAATAATATCCTCGTTTGCTACAGTATGGCTAATAATAACATCCTTAGGTAATCTCTGTAACATAGCATTTAGGCTCGATATTTCTGGTATCGGTTTCCTAATACCTTCTTGCTCCTCCTGCTTCAGTTTTTCCGACAGCATCTCAACGAGCTCGGATGACGTGCACTGTTGGCAGATCGCGTTTTTCAACTTGTTAGAATTGAAAACTTGCAAACATTCAACGATATCAAGTTTCTTATAGTACGCTTTAAAAACTCTATCGAAGAATTTTGAATCAGAATTGAAGATATCAGGCAGTCTAAGAAGAACATTGTTGATGCCGTAAGAGTGACAGATAGATTTTAATAACGAATCGTTAAGCTGGCGTTTGTTCTGTAAACCAAGCATTCGGATAGTTTCCTTCACTAGATCCGGTTCGGACAGGTGTCGCATCTTTATCTACGGATCAATTTTCAGTCTCGATTATATAATCTGATAATATGAGTACGATCGAATGAATCGATATAAAACAAACGGATTTTACCTTGTATTGCGATAGAATAGTTTCGGGATTACATCTTCTAACTGCACTCTCCAACACAACATTTATGTCAATTTCATCCAGTAAGTCCTCAAGTGTCATCTGAGATTCAACGGATCTTGTTGTTTTATTAACAGCTGGTTCTGAAGAATACACTTCATCGGTACCAACACCAATAGACGTGTGCGTAATGACAGGTTCGTCACATACAATTGCTGATACATTTATACTATTATTTGACGAAGGTACTTCGGTCATGGTTGTACTAAAAATGAAAATAAAAATATATTTTATTTTTATCTTATCTTTTATCCTCTGATAAAGTAGCTTATTTCTCTCACATATACATTAATGTTTTAAATAGTTTTAAATAGTTAGTTCTCGTCAAATAAGGATGTAAAAATAAACTGTTACGTACAGATTTTTGGAGATCGACGAAGAGGTCGCGATTGGCAGTATCGTTGATTTATTTGGACTTGTAGATATTCCAGGTGAGCTATGAACAGTAATCGGTGCTTTCGTGTTTGTCTTTTCATTTACTATAAAAGCATCTGACGTTAATATGTCAGCATTTTCATGTTCTGTTGAAATATCCGTAGAACAAATGTCGCTGCTCATAGAGCTAGTCCTATCCAAATGCTCTGTGAGCGATTTCTCAGTCGACAAATTGTCGAGCAATTTCTCGGTAGGTCGTGTAAGCGGTGTACTACAGCTTAAAGATTCATTGTTGATTGACGTGGATGCTGCTTCGATAGAATCAAAAAGTGGCCTGACTAACACGTTTCTTGCCTGGTTCGGTGGGTTGTCGAGAGATTTCTCTCGTGACATGTATTTCAATGTCGGGACATTTTCTTTGCGGCATACACTTCCAGATGTGCTTTCATAATGTTTTAGCACTTTTCTAATAAATTCAGTCTTTGGCTTACCTTTCAAAGGTATTCTGTTAATCTCGCGCTCTGACAGTTGAGCGAGATCACCAATCGTCAACAAGTTTCTACTGGTGAGATACGTATGTAAGTTCTGTTTCCACAAAGGAGTAGTCAACAGATCAATGACAGTATCGATGGGTTCTCGACATGATGACAATTTCGGATAAATAGGCTGTATGGAATCCAGAAATTCAGGATCAAGTTCCACATTGTTCTGATCCTCGCATCGGCTGTCTTGGCTCGAGGGTAAACTTGCGAATATGGAGTCTGTTACTGGCAAAGTATCTTGGTCTGCCACATTCTTCGCATTCATATATGTGCTGCTGCGTGATAATTTTTCACAAAATACTTCGTCCGAGTTCACAGTGGAATTCAATCCTGTGACATTTTGGATATCTACAGTGTCTTCCAAATTATCCCCTGTGACAGGTAAAGCATTTATCACAGAATCATTGGTTACGTTTAATTTAATAGAATCTGCCAAATTATTTTGAATGGGCATGGTGACCTCATCGTTACTCGTCTGGATCATTGAACCATTATTCTTCGTATCCGATCCATCAAAGATGTCTTGCTGTGTTTCAGAGTCTCCCGTTTCTACGCGGTCTATCGGCACAGTATTTTGTACAACTTTGTGAGATAAGAACTGTTGATCTTGATCTTCATCTTCTGGGACACAAATGGACAATACGTCCACAGTTATCTCAACTTCTTGCTCAAGATTATCGACAATATCAGTTTCCATGTCCGAATTTCCTTGAGCGATACTGTTATTTTCCGAAGAGCTGTTAGATATTTGTTCATCTACGTCGTCTGTGTACGCTTCGGATGTTTTTATCAGCGGTTCATTCACTTCCTCAGTCTCTAAAGCAGATTCAGCGCGACTTTCATTTGAAACGTCGTTCTCAGTTGTCAAGTCAGTTGTCAAGTTCGTTTCAGAAGATATAAGCTTATGAGATATGAGTCTGAGCTGCTTATACTTGAGAGGAGAATCTTTCTTCGGAGTGAGACTGCGCGCCATAGAAAATTTAGTGGACTTATGCGGAGAGTCTGTGATAGAAGTCTCATAGCCCATCTCTTTCGACACTGGTGGATCCGCAAAACTCACTCGTTTTCGCTACAAAGAAAATAAAATCTTTAGTTAAGAAATAAACGATTTAAAAAATATTTATATTCCGTCAAATATCATAATGTATATAAGAATACATGTATATAATAAATATAAATGAAACATAAATCACCTTATTAGGAGTTATCTGATCTGAATCCTGTTCTGAAACGGTCGATCGATAACGCTTAAGAATACTAGCGCTCGGTGATGCAGTCAATGAAGGTGGATTAGCGCTTGACCATTCCAATATTGGTAGATCGTCCTTTTCGCACAAAAGCGACGTATTTTCTTCATTACTTTTATCTACCGAGCTGTTCGTCGATACAGAGTCTGATGTATTCTTATCCATTTTAGACGATAATTTTTCGCCGTCGTTTTTCAAATTAGTAAACATGTATGTCGATGAAGAGACACAGTAATCATTCGATCTCATGTTATTAAAAATTTTTTCTTGCCGACTACCAGAAGGCCCACCTATTTTATCCGTCTCTTTAACCGTGGAAACTTTTTTACTCGCCAGCGTTTCACTTTCCACATCTTTGGTCCTTGATTTCTTAACTGACGAGTCATCCTCAATGATTGAACTACCAGCTTCGATCCGTGATTGCTTCGTAACTAAACCTAGCATGTGAGCAGCGCGTCCGTGAGCCGTGAAAGATTTAAGTTTGGAAAATACTTTGCTGCTACCTTTTGGTGAAGAAAAACTAGTTGTACCTGTAGGCTTAATCGACAGAGAACTGTCGGTTGTTTTCTGACCTTCCACAACCAGAATTTTCGTGTTGGAATTGTCAGTTTCCTGAATTGCGTCTTCACACGTATCATCTTTATTTTCTACGTCGTTTATTTCTTTATTGTTATCAATATCAACTTCACTTAATTGTTCACATGGATCAGGCACATTATTATCACCAGAATCCACGGGGATAGAATCAGGTACATAATTTTTCTCAACAATCACGTCGGAAGCTTTAACAGCGTGAATATTCGTTATTTTATTAATCTTTATGAAACACTGTTTCTCGCCACACTTTTTACTTAATTTTATATCAACGTTAGGAGATTGTGAACTTTCAACAACATCTTCTACTTCGTCTTGACTCAACTCCTTTGTTTCAGGAACCATGGAAGATTCTTTGTTTTTGTTAGAAATAGATTTGGAATCATTTTTATCGAGTCTTTCATCTTCGATTCTACCAGAAATATCTTGTTCCACTTGGCTAGTCAGAACCACACATGTCGTATCTATGTCAGCTGAATTCTTCGATGGAGATACTTTATCAATATCATTAGAGTTTTTAGTTTCTTTGGTAACATCAGAGTCATTTTTATCAGGATCTTGTCTAATACTTCTCCTACCTCGTTTCTTAACTACTCCTTGACTCGTATCGTTTCCTTCTTTTCCGTCCTTCGTATCCTTTATATTTTTCTCCGTTGTTTTTAGAACTTTTTTAGAAGCTTCTGCGGATTTTGCTTCCAAAAATTTCAATTTGAGACCCTTCTCGTCGGGTGCCCAAGTTCTCTTTAACGCCGTTTCTTTATCTCCTTCATCCAAATGTTTCAGGCGACGACGATTTACTGCGGGACAATCAAATACCATGTCAATTTTTAAACGAGACATTTCATTTTTCATACGTTGAGTCAAACCATCCATGTCTGCTGTATCTAATGATGTACTGTCGCTATCTCGCGACTTATCCTTATCGTCGTCATTAATGTCTTTAGAATATTTAATCATTTTTCGTTTTCGACGAAACTGTGTACCTCCATCTGATTCTGTATCTGACACATACTTGCGTTTAATGCCTTTTTTATTAGAGTCTTCCGTAATATCGCTGTCATCACGCGGCTTCTGAGAAATGCTAGTACTAGGTTTCTCTTTATTATTTTTCAATGTTTTTTGTACAATATTTGTTATACTTGAATCTTTTTGTCTCTCGTCAGTTTCGTCACTTTTTAACGATGAATTCGATCTTGTCATATCGATTTTGTCATTACGATATCGTCGTTTAGCGCTATCAAACATTGACGGTGATGATTGCCGTTCGTGCATTTTATCTGCAGGAAATTCTTCCTTAGACTCAAAATTTAATTTTTTCGCAACAGATATTGTTGAATGCGCGACATTCGTATCATCGTCATCTATAACATTAAATCCAGCAAACGATGATGAAGTCATTTTGGTTTCTTTAGACGTGTTTTCATCGTGTGAACCCGAATCTTTTTTCTCAGCTTCTTTCACCGAATCTTTCTTTTGCTTTGTATCAACAATGTTGTCTCCGACATTTCCATCTAATTTATTACTATTATTATTATTAATCATTTTATCCATCAAATTAAGTTCACTTTGCATAACAATTATTTTATTTTCTTTGTTAGCATCACTATTGATGGGTTTCTGTACAAAATCGCTTTTTTTGTTACTACTTTTGTCCGATTCATTAATATGTTTAGCTTTCATATCAAACCATTCCTGCAAATTTTGTGAATTTTGTGAAGATGATTGAGACAAATCATTATACAATGCTGGTATATCTTCTCTCTTCTTCTTTAGAGTTTCTTTTTGATGTTCCGTCAAACGATTAATGTCAAATTTCAAATCTGTTTTTATATATACATAATCCTAAAAAATAAAGATGTATATATAAAGAATATTGTATAAAAATAAGAAATTGTAAGAATTTGTAAAAATATATAACATAATAACAAGTGATAAATATTATTTACTTGCGAATCAGGATCAGGCAGTAAAAGAGTTTTTTTGTTATCTTTCTCCAGTGATTTACTAGGTATTGGCTTCGTATTAATCGATTTCCTATTTAAGAAACTGCCAACTACATGCACTTCTTTTGCTTTCCCCATTTCTTCTGTTTTCTTTGTAACACTATCACGTTTCGAATAAGACGGCGATTTGTTTGCTATTTTTTCTATTTCATCCAGATTATGCTTAGCAGTATTGTCGAAACCTTCTTTAATTCCGAGAATAGACGGAGTCAAAGATCGTATGTGTGAGTTAGGGTGATTCATAGCTATTATAAACGTTTCTTTATACAACGTGGATAGTTTCCAAAATGAGTTGTCGAGTCCTCTGAAAATGCTAATTACAGTCTGCCAAGTGTTTTCAATCTATAAATAATATTGTCAATATAAAGAAAACAATAGATAAATCGAAGAAAATGTTCTATATAACAATATTGTGACATACTTCTGTATTAAGTGTCCTCAATTGCGACTTAAGTGCAAGTTCAATTGCTGATTTACAAGCATCCAGATATAGCACTACTTTATGTGGATTATGCCCACATATAGTAACAAGCATAGACGATAATATCTTCAGAGCTATTTCACAGTTATAACTTTGTTGATTATTAAGAGCAATTATTGTTACATCTATTGTTAATTGCATGATAGATGGAATTCCATCTTGTGCTGAAACATAAATTACAAAGAAATGGCCGATATTCAATCATTAAAACATATACACATGTTACATTCAATGTAACAAAATTACTACATACTCAGCAAGTGCTTATAATTGATAGTACTCAATACGCCATCCAAGCAGATTAAAATAAAAAAATAATTGTTTGTATTTAAATAAGTCTGCATGATACTTGTAACATCCAATACAATCTCGTTTGGCTTCACTGTACTTATCAAAGCTGACTGCTTTTCGAATTCATTATATAATGCTCTCCATATCATTGCTTGATTTTGCGTCTGAGAAGAAATTAATACATAAGACAATAATTAGGCTCGATAAATGTATAATAAAAGAGAGTATTTTTTACTATGTAAAATTATTATATATACCTGAGAATTTTCTAGAACTATATATTGAAATGGAAATGACAAAACCGATTTCACGGTTTTAAAGTTATGTATGTTTTTATCACCTTCATTAATCTTGTTAGAGTTTATTATATACTTTGTCAATGTTTTTGTTATTATAGCCCACAGTTCTACGTAAAATGTAGGATAAAATATCCTGTAACACATCGCTTATTGTCAAACACTTAAAACATATTAATATATATATATAATTATAATATATATGTATATATATGTATAATTAAGACTTGTACGTACATATTTTTATGTGTATCGCTCGCTGTTTTCAAATTTAACATTATTGTTTGCAGAAATTTAAGCACACCCGAGGGACATATAATCTCCGACTCAACACATTTCTCAAGAAGGCACTCAATTTCATTGCAATTGAAAGTCCTATGATGTGTAAATAATAAATGTTTAATTAATGTAAGATAAACCAGTGATTCAGGTTTAAGTTATCTAAGCTGTACTTACTCTGGCACTTCATGGAGTACTGGAAGTGATAACACTTTCAACACCAATTCTGATAATGCACTGTCAATAAACTCAGTAGTTTTAACAATTTGAACAAGATCTGGCAAAACTACATTGAAAATCATATCTTTCACCATGGGTTTATCAAAATGGTTCCCCAATTCAATTATAATTAATATCACATCTCTGTATAGATGGTCCTGCAAATTCCATATGTAAATCAAAATTTCTAATAATTTAATAAATTTTTGATAATTCTAATGTTATGTATGTGCGTGGGTGTACAATATAGGAATATGAAAATTAAATATGTACTAGTAACCTTTTTCTCGAGATCTACATTTTTAATATATGCAATCAAGCTTGTCCATAACATTTTTCCAAACTGATAACGATTTTTCATTTCTTGATCTACAAGTTGTCCAAGAATGAGTAATGCCTCTCCTATACTGTGGGTAATGGTTTTGGAGCATTCTTGAAAGACTGTGTAAGATATAGCATGAGGAAGTCTTTCTTCTAACATCGAAGCACAGACTGTAGAATTCTCTTCTCTTGAAACAACCAATTGATACAAGGCATCCATAGCAACCAATTTTGTCTTCAAAAATCTCTTGCCAGGAGAGCCAATAACATCAAATTTGGAAGAAAGCAATGGTGTATCTCCAAGTGGCCCAAAGCAGAAATTTAAAAACTGTGTAATAACAGGAGTAACAAATTGTGCAATATCTTTATACAATTTGATAATTAAGTGCCACCAAACTTCTAATTTTGTCAATGCAATTAATTCCGTTTTACTGTTCTTAGCATTTAGTGGAATACAAAGTAATTTTATTCTTCTAGCAGTAGCAAGTTCTTGGTAGTCTAAAGCAAAGTTGTCAATTAGTAATTTCCACGAGAGGAAAGCTTGTCTGCAATATAATTAAGAAAAGTTATTAATACATTATAAATTGCATTAAAATTACATTAAAAAATACCTTAAATCAGAACTATATTTTTACCTGCGTATAATAGTATCGGTAGATTTAAAAGCCTTTTCTTCTACACTCAATAAACTGTTTATAAGATTAGCACCACGATGAAGATCTGCACCAAGTAGCTGGATAGTGATATTCCATTGAATGCTCCAATCTGTTTCACATGCTGCTACCAAAAGAAACATGCGTTTACAATATACAGATTGTAAATTGGATTTATACTGAGCCCATAGTTCAGGGTATTCTTTACAAATACGAAGTGACGAATTAGTTGCAATAGCTTGCTGCATGACTTTCAGAGCAATACCACGCTGACGTTTGTGTCCCATATAGGCTAATGTTACAACCTTATCCATCAATAATGTATCAAACTAAAACAAATGATGTTACTAATTCTTTATTTGAAATCATAATTTCAAAACTTATTCAGGACAACTATATATGTTCATACCTTCTCCATATTTTGATCAAATGTTACAGCAGCTAGTCTGTATAATCTCTTCAAAAGAGTAAGTGAATAAGTGATTGTATCCTCTTCTAATTTTTGTTCATCAGATAATACATGATGTTCAACTTTAGTTAATATCTGTAAGTTATCTATACATGCTGTGGGTGTTATCCATTCCATTAAATTAGGCTGTACACTAATCATACAGTCCTTAAAAAAATTCAAAGCCTGTCCATCATTAGCAGCTGCAGAAATAGCATTGTCTTCTACTACTTCTAATAATTTGAGTATTTTCAATCTAAAATCAAATAAATATAGTATTTGTGTTAAAATCTATATACAAATTTGATAATATTCCTACATAGATAAGTAAATAGCAGAATAAATTTTTTAGAACATGAATTTAACAAAACAAACCTTATCTTCTTATTTGTCCGTAATATTGATTCAAAAAGACATAAGGAATGTGCTTGAAATTCTTGCACAATAGCAGTAAGTGCTCCTAATGCCTCATACTGCATACCTTCTTCTTTTGTAAATGATTCTATAACCAATCTGCATAGTTCCTTATAACGATCTTCTTTAATAACACCACTTAATTCCAATTTCTTAGCTTGACTGCAAAATAATTATTAATATTTTATCACATATAAATATTACTAAACAATGTCTTTATTATATAGTATACGTACATATATACTACACAATTATATTATGGATATTTTATAAAGTCTATTCCAAATAAAATCTTTCTAAAGTTATTTAAATCACTAGAATAACATTAATCATGCAAATATGTCAATTATAAATTTTATAATAAATTTATTTGTTTGACCATTATTTTACATATGTATATGTGTGTGTATGTGTATATATATAAAATACATAATTCAAATAACAATAGCTAATTTTACAATATTGGAAACAGTAGTTAGTTCCACAATATTTGAAAAAAATACTATAGTAACAAAAAAATACAAATGTTAGTAGATGTTTCTTTCATTGTATCTTTTGTGCTTTCTTGCAATTTTTCTCTTCACTTCGTTTCGCATACATTACATTGTAAATATGAGAAATACCGTATAAAGAAAACAATTAAAAGGAGCAAATTTAACATCTCTAGCAAATTTTGTAGCAATCCTCTAACGCCATTTATACGTTTCGCAAAGACTTTATAATTATAGCCCATCGTCTGACACCATGAATCGAGAAAACAGACGTGTTACTTTGTCATAACGAAATCTCTGTTATTTCGTCGCAATAGTAAACTCGGTGAAAACACAATCCTGACACATTACCTGGAAATATAGGTTAAAGCTTCACGCTTCTCTTTGACACCGCTGTTTTCCCGCAATGTCTTCAGCATTTTCGAGAAAAACGTAGTCATGTTCGTAGCCATCTCGTCGTGTCTTTTATTTTTCGTCCTTTTTCTTTCTTTCTCCATATGATTACCGATTACTGTTCATGTCTTCCCGTTCATGCTTATGCAGTTCTTAAATCGTCTCACTTACAATGTCGCACGACTCTCCTCGTAATTTTGTAAAAATTTCACCCTCGAAACGAATATGTCCGATGCACTCGGTCAATAGAATTCACCGAAATTGCTACGAAAGAGAAAACATGCGAACGATTTTCAGCCGTGCCACGAATTACACACAAAACAACACGTTCGTGAAATCTATCTTATCGAAAGAAATCATATTTATTCTTTTAAACACACTAAGCTTTCTTGCGTCTTGTATTTAGCACTTGTGGCGATGTCGCCAAACAAGAGTGGCTTACGTTTGTTTGGCGTACATCAAGCAGTTTCGCGCGCCATCCGACTTGACAAAGACGTGCTAGCGCTCCTATTCCATTTATCCTGATCGTTAGCCATCATTTTCAATTCGTCGACGAGACGTAATGAAAAGCTGCGTTCCGATATTCACTGCCAGTACTGAAAATATATAGTTTGTGTCACGTATGCTATAGATTTTCAGTATTGGCAGTGAATATCGGAACGTAGCAAAAAGAAGCTTTTTGGCTCCGGTATTTATATGGTCTGTTCTTTTTAGCTGCACTACTGAACTGGTGCAATAAGTTAAAGTGAGAAAAAATATAGTTGTCTCATTCTAACTTATCGCACCAGTGCAGTGCAGTTCCGCAGTGCAGTTAAAAAGAACAGACCAATAGTCAGGTCTAAAGGCCCATATACAATGGCTGCAAGAATAAAGTTGTAAGCGTAAGCAGTAAGAAATGGACCAACCATAATCGATTATTCTTATAATAATCGATTGTGGTTGGTCTATTTCTTACTGCTTACAACCTTATTCTTGCAGCCATTATAGATGGGTCTTTATAGGCTCGTCTACAATAGCTGTAAAAGTAAGGCTATAAGGCTGTAACGTAAGCTGTCAGCGAATGAAAATATTTCATTTCGTGTCTTGCAACCTTATAGCCTTATTCTTACAGCTAATGTAGACGAGCCTTATTGGGTGCATTCAATACTACAACCACTCACTGAGCGCTCAATGAGCTTTTACATTTGATTGGTATATACTTTTAGATTAAAAAATATACACTAATCAGATGCAAGAGCTCAGTGAGCGCTCAGTGAGCGGTTGTAGTACTAAATGCACCCATTTTGTAATTGGCTACATTGAATTCTTTGAATTGTGTTGACCAATTAGAAATCAGGAAATATCGCACTCGATTAGCAACACTGCTTCCAACGGCTCACTACCAATTTAAATAACGACTTCAGTCGTGTTGTCAGAACGTCCGTATGTATTGTGGAATTTATTGTTGAAATTAACTTACGCTATGTCTCATCTCCAACAACAGTACAAGAATCCGCGCCAAGGATTCGGTGATACGGATCATGGTAGAATTATACGTGCGTACAAACAAGAGAAATCACGTAAAGAAGTTAGAACACAGGATTTTGCTAAGAATCGTAAATTACAAGATGTATCTGTGCCTCCTAGTCCACAACGTGGTAAGTTACACGTAATTTCTTATTATTTAATTATCCATGTCTTGTATGTTGATAGAATAGGAATAATCAGATTTATTCTTGTAGTTTTACATTATTATTTTTTATTCTTGATTAAGATATATTTGTGTTAATGTCAAATTTTTGAATAATTAAAAACAGAATATCTGTTATTTTTAGTGGAAAACATACCTACAATTACAGACGAGCGTGCGAAAAAATTAATGAAATGGAAAGAAGAACGTAATAGGAAAAGAAGATTACAGGATGCCAAGAAGAAACCTGTGTTTAAAGTTGGTATTGTCCATCATGCATTGTATTCTCCTGTAACTAAATGTAATACTGCATTAACTGTAACTGCAAAATCATCTAACCAAGTAAAATATCAGAATGATATTCAAAAGAGAATAACAAGAGCTACAGAAAAGAGGTTGCTTGCTAAAGCAGCAGCTATGAAAGTGACTTCAAAAAAACCTCTGGATATCAAAAGATCTATATCTGATACTAAAATCCAAAAGTCATTTGCTCCTGATAGTCACAAATTTAGACCACCATCTGGACTATCCAGATTACCCTTGTTTGGTGTTGTAGCAATAGAACAAACACCATCAGAAAAAGGAGATTTTTTTGAAAACAAAGATTGTAAAACACATGATGCAAATAATCAAAAACTTATATTAGAAAAATTAAACTCACAAAATATTATTGATCTTAATATTGATACTACAGATCTCAAAACTTTTGAAAATTCAAATTTGTCATCAGATAAACAAGAGTTAAGTGAGTCAATATCTAATTTAAATACCACATTTGAAATAAATAAAATAACTGAGTTATCAAATGAACAAAATGTACAAGAATTCCTTCAAGGAAAATCTTTATCAAGTGATGTTGGTAAGGAAACTTCAGTACAAAAGACTCCTGTAACTGATACATCTTCCAAAAAAGAAGATTATAGTGAGGACCTTATTTTGTTTTCACCATATCTCACATTAAGTCGTGGTAAAAAAAATGCTAGAAAGGAGCAAATGTTACGACTTGGCATTAGTCCTTCTCCATCTGATGATATTCCAACCAAAGATACAGTAATAAAAAATTTAAACATATCTATTCAAGAAGAAGAACGTACTGCTCAGTATTTCAAACTCCTTTTAAACAAGGAAATAAACAGACTTAAAGAGCTTTGTACAAAATGGTTAGAAATTCAGCTAGAAAAAGATGTTCCAGAAGATGCTAAGTATGAAATAAACCAAGCAATAGGACAGACCAATTTATTAATAAATAAAAAATTTGAAAGATTTCGTGGTCTAGTATCGGATTGTGAAACTGGTAAGGGACAAATGTTAGTTACATGCAAAGATTTGCAAGGATTTTGGGATATGACATATATGGAAGTTAGGGATTGTGACTCGCGTTTTGAAAAACTGGAGCAGCGTCGTAATAGAGAATGGCAAGAAATGCAATCCACTATTGACAAGCCTGTAACAAAAAAACGAATGACTATTAAAAAACAAATTGTATCAAAGCCAAGTTCACTGCGAACATTAATCTTAGCTGCCAGACGAAAGAAAATGGAAGAAGCATCAAGTATGAAAGATACATTGCTGCAAAATACGAATATAAATAAAGACCATCTTATATCTCCATTGAATAATAAAAAGTCTATAAACTTTAAAGAAAACACCAATACTCGATATAGTACAAGGAAATCCAAATCGATAGATTGCAATGATTTTAAATTGACTCCTGTCAAACACGATAGTTGTAAGGCAAGTTGGATAAAACTTGAGAAAGTGCAATTTTCTGATACAATCAAGAAAATAAGGAGTCCATTGGCAATCATGAAAATAAGCCAAATGTGTAAGACACCAGAAATTCAATTGGATGACACGATATCATATATTAATTCTGATCAAACACCAAGCAGAAGTATATTAAAAAAATCGGAAGAAATGATCGATAAAGAGACTCGCATGAAATCTGCACATAAAGTTATTTTCGATGATCAGATAAACTTGACTGAAGTACCTAATCATGAAGAAACACAGACTAGCAAAAGTTTAGCTGCTGCATTAAACAGAATAGACAGTCTTGATTTGGATGACTCAAGCCCCGAAAGATGCATTAATGCTGAAAAAAGACTGAATTTTGAAACTGAAGACAGTTCAGATAATGCTGAATTTTCGCCGTCTGAAGTGCAAAAGCAACTTAAAGAGTATAAAGACGCATTTGGATCATCTGTTTTGAATGCCTTTGATTCTAATGTAGATCTATTGAGCGATATAACATCTGTAATATCTTCTAAAGAAATATCACCAAAGGTTGATGTGAATACCAAGTCACCTAGAAAAAGTGTGAGACGTCGACAGGAACTTGATTTAGAAATAAGGACACTTAGAAATAGGATTATTATAACAAATGACACCCCAAAAGTTAAAAGGAGGAGCAAAATGGTAAGCATTATTTTAAGATTTTTTACTGCAATATTCAGAACATATGTGTATACAATATGTATTGTATACAAAGCAATATATTTTGGAAAATATTTTTAGCAATTTTCTATGTATGTTTTGTGTGTATGTCTCTCTCTCTCTCTCTCTCTCTCTCTCTCTCTCTCTCTCTCTCTCCCCCTCCCCCTCCCTCCCTCCCTGTCTTTCTCTCTCTCTCTCTCTCTCTCTCTCTCTCTCTCTCTCTCTCTCTCCTCCCTCTCAATATATATTGAACTATACATATATATCTCGATATATATTTAATTTAATTAATTCTGACTAATAAGAATTTATTTTCTTTCAGCTGACTCCAAAGAAAGCAAGTGTTGGTAAGAAGAAAAATGAGAGGACTGAGGAATCAAACAGGAGAAAGTCGTTAAAATTATTACAAACAGATAAAGATGATTATATCCAATCAGATGAAAATAATGCAGAGATTAACGATCTATGTGTTCATAAGAAGAAAAGATTAACTCGAAAAAGTGTTGCATTTGATGGTAAAATTCTTGATTCTAAAAATATTGATATGAGATATTAATTTTGATAATTATATAATTATGCATGTATCCAATCGTATATCTTTTTATAGCCGAATCATGCTTAGTCTCCACTGAAAATAAACCAGTCTTACCTATGACTCCTCATTCGAAACGAATGACACCATCGAGAAAAAGTCGAAGTAAACATGAGTTTGATGAAAATGTGATATTGCAGGAAACACCAAAACGTAAGTCGATCGTAATATATAAGGAAATATAATGTTATAAAAGATGACTTGTATTAATCAAAATTTGTTTCAGCTCTTGGCCGAGTTACGAGATCTTACATGAAAAATTAAATCTGTCTAGCATTCCCATTTTAACTATAAATTAAATATCTTTAATGAGATGTTACATTGTATGCTTATTTTATATTGAACTTATTAGAGATTGTTTACTGTAAGTGTAATTATATAAATTGTATTTTTTAATTGGTATTACGATAATTAATATTATATTGTAAGAGAATAAAGAACCAAGATCACGCAATGTAAAAACATCGCATATGTAAATCACACAACATAATTCTTTAAATAGTGAAATGGTTTTATTCTGTAAAATTTAATATCTGAATATAAATCATATGTATTAAATATGGTGTGTATATATATATATATATATACGCAATGCCGTGTTCCCCAACACGCATCATGGAGTGCAGCAAGGACATGAACCGTCAGAAAATACCGGCAGTGTTTGAAAATGAGTGTAGCAAACGTAGTCCTAATTTAAAAATAGGTGCAGATGGCCGCTCTCAAGGCTCGTCTACATTAGCTGTAAGAGTAAGGCTGTAAGGTTGCAAGACACGAAATGAAATATTTTCATTCGCTGACAGCTTACGTTACAGCCTTACAGCCTAACTCTTACAGCTATTGTAGACAAGCCTGCAGATTTCTCTCTGATGAGAATTAAGCCAGCGGCACACGGTGCTTGTTTTCGTGCTGGATTGCTTGCTGGATGAAAATACTGCGTTCTGATTGGTGCATTTCCAACCATCTTCAGAAATGTACCAATCACAACGCAATATTTTCATCCAGCACGAAAACAAGCACCGTGTGCCGCTGGCTTTACTCACTGGAATACATATTAACTGGAACGAGCGTAGGCCTGAAGCGCGAATAGAGAGAGAACGTCACTGGGTCTCTAAAATAGCACTGTGTCTTTTGGTCTATTCTTTTTAGCTGCACTGCAGAACTGGTGCAATAAGTTGGAGTGAGAAAAAATATAATTGTCTCATTCTAATTTATTGCATTAGTTCAGCAATGCAGCTAAAAAGAACAGACTATTTATCTAGTACAGTCCGAATTAAAAGCTAAATTGATTTTTATATACATATTTATAAGCAGGGTCCGTTTGACGTTACAAATGCTATTTTCTTTTAATTTCTATCTACAATCTTTTTATAACTTTTATAATTTCTCGCTCTTCTTTTACTCTTTCACTTCTTTCATTCTTTACTTTCAGCGACTAATTTTTTCATTGACTGTACCTCATTATCCCTACTCTTGATGACACTGTAGGTCAGACAAGGATAAGAGAGGAACCAGGGAACCTCTCTCTCTATTCGCATGCAAACAATAGAGGCTACGTTCAAAAATTCACTGCCAGTACTGAAAATACATGGTTTATGTCACGCATATGGTCCGTTCTTTTCAGCTGCACTGCGAAACTAGTGCAATAAGTTAGAATGAGACAATTATATTTTTTCTCACTTTAACTTATTGCACCAGTTCAGTAGTACAGCTAAAAAGAACAGACCAATAGACATAGTATATCTAGACTGCGTGTTCGAGGAGTGGGGATGTAACTCTCGGAGAGAAGGAAGCACTCTGTTTCTACTGTTCATTCTCTCTCACACAGTCCTGATGGAAGGGGTAGAGGGAAGGCAGTTGCTGTATAGTAACCACCGCCCCTATTCCCCTTTCACCAGGACTGTGCGAGAGAGAATGAACAGTAAAAACAGAGTGTTTCCTTTTTTCCGAGAGTTGTATCCCCACTCTTGAAATTTGGGAGAAGGCGCAGTCTAGATATACTATGTCTATGGTGTCACGTATACTATATATTTTTAGTGCTGGCAGTGAATATCGGAACGCAGTCTCAATCGTACACTAACGTTCGTTTCATTTAGTATATATGTTAGTATATATGTTAGGTTGTCTGTAAAAAGTCTGTAAAAATTGAGCCTTTGGAGGTCAAAATTGAGAATACATTTATTGTTATTTGAAAATAACATTATGAAACCACATATGCACCATTTTGTTCGATGACCTTCTGCCATTTTTCCGGCAACACCATAATCCCGTCGCTATAGAACTCCTGTGGTTTCTGGTCAAAAAATTGTGCCACGTGGTTTTTACAGGCCTCTTTCGAAACTAATTTAACACCATTCAAGGAGTTCTGCAGAGACGGAAACAAATGATAGTCTGACGGTGTCAGGTCCGGGCTATACGGTGGATGCATTAAAACCTCCCAGCCAAGTTCTCTCAATTTCTGACGAGTCGTTAAAGATGTATGCGGTCTGGCATTGTCAGCGTGGTATACGACACCCATTTTGCTGATCAGTTCCGGCCGTTTCTTTTGAATTGCTAGCTGCAATCGCGCTAATTGTCGACAGTACAGGTCCGAGTCTATCTTTCTGCCTGGCGGCAGCAGCTCGTGATGCACGATGCCCTTCCAATCCCACCAAACACACAGTATAACCTTCTTGGGCGTCAGGGCGTGTAGGCGTGTGGGCTTTGCCACAGACTGTGGAGCTTTTCCTTGCTTCGACCACGATTTTTTTCGCACATTGTTGCCGTAGGTTATCCACTTTTCATCATTCGTGATCAACCGTTTCAGAAATGGCTCGATTTTGTTACGTTTCAGTAGAGATTCGCAGATAGAAATTCGATCGAATACATTTTTTCGAGTCCGATCATGTGGCACCCAAACATCGAGCTTCTTTTTGTAGCCAGCTTCCTCCAAATAGCTTAACACTGTTTGGTGATGGATGTTTAGGTCATTGGCAATGTCATGACTGCTTATATGCCGGTCTTGCTCGACTTTTGCCAGAATACCATTCACTTTTTTTGTGATTGGTCGCCTAATGCGAGGAGCTTCTTGGACATCGACATTTCCAGAACGAAGGCGACTGAACCATCTTTTGGCTGTTGCTTTTGATAACGATTCTCGTCCATAAACAGCACAAATTTCTTCACGGGCCTGCTCATCATTTGCGCCTTTATCCAAAAAAAATTGTAAAATGTAGCGCAGTTTTGTGGGAAGTTCACTCATCTTCACGACACAATACCTTACGTCTGATACTTCATTGGAATTACTAGTTCCAGACCAGAGAGAAACCTGGGAGCGCAGCCACTAGGCAGTGCTGCGAAATCCAGAGAATTTCCCACGCTACAGCGCATGCCTGAAATGACGTAGAGCTACATATATGTCAAAACCCACTGACAGTTTAAAGCGCATGACAGAGGATCCACGGAGGATACCTTTTATTCTCCTTACAATTCTTTCATATTTTTTTTCAGACGATCTTACGCCTGTATTAGACTATAGATTGAAAATTACAAGTGGACCAACTTAAATAACCAAGATTTAGGCCGGTATTCATAGTCCGGTCTTATATTTAAGATCGTGTTAAGTTCATCTTCAGATGCTATATAGATCATTTCATTGGCTACAGAATATCTGAACGTGAACTCAAGACGGTCTTAAATATAAGATCCGACTATGAATACGGCTCTTAGATTATCTGATTTATCCGATTGCAATTTTCAATCTATAATATCATCACCATATCGTTAAAATACCTTTAAATTAATACGGTACTGAGACTCACACAGCATTTGCTCAATGCGCATGCCCAAAAATTCTCTGGATCTCGCAGCACTGCCACTAGGCCGGTTACGCCCACAGACTTCTATAGTATAACTGGACTGCTAACTCCAACTCAATACATGACCCCGAAAAGTATGTACTATCCTGATGTCCGACATTCATGTCTGATTGATTGAATCGAAACACATTTCTTTTAATTGGATGGGCCATATTGCTTATGTCCCCTCTCCTTGTGGACTACCAATTCACGCATGCGCAGATGTTTGATTCCCTTATGTAATACATACTTTTTGGGGTCAATTTTGTACTATACAAGGGAGTTAGCAGTCTAGTTATACTATAGAAGTCTGTGGTTACGCCGGGACTCTTTTTCCGACGCGCTTCCTGAGAAAATGTGTGCATACTACGCCCGTCCTGACGATAAGACTAATATTACAAGTTATTCTACAATACGTGTCCTAAGTTGTAAGCCGTAGGAACTGACCAATTATAGCCGATTATTTTTGTAATAATCGACTGTGATTCGCCAATTCTTACGGTTTACAACTTACGACACGTATTGTAGAATAACCTTACATTTGTCGTACGACAATCTTTTCGAATACGTTGATTGGTTAACAAACAGAATATTTCTAGGATTGCTCCGCGTACGCCAATCAATGTATCCGAAAAGCTTGTTGTACGACACATGTAATATTAGCCTAACGGTAAAGCGTGCACGGTTCTTGTTCACTCTACTTCCTTAAAGATACCTTTACATGGGAGCGTCGAGCGTCAAAGCGTCCAACCAATCAGTTTTTCATTTCTTATTTCAGGGATAAAAACAAGGAACTTTGATTGGTTGGACGCTTTGACGCTCGACGCTCCCATGTAAAGGCTCCTTAAGGAAGACAATAAGATAGAAAAGCATAGACGATCAACCGCTCTCTGTCTTTGTCGCACCACCTGTGAGCGGCTGCATGGCAGAAGGCACAAGGCGAGTCAGCGGCAAATCTTATTGCTAAACTAGAATTTCTCCCGTCTTGCCCCCCTTCATTTTCTTATCTTTCACGACGCACTACCAGCAATTCGGGAAGAAAGATTTCGAGACCGCGCGGACAACTTCTAGCAACGATACAAAATAACGCTAATGAGGGTGACCATTTGTATAATTTTTATATTCAATTTTATAATTTTCATATTCAGTTATGAACATACATATGCACATGCGTTATAAATATTAATATGCAATAATTATTACATTTTAATTATTATTAATATTAAATAATTTTATTAATGCTAATAATTTAAATAATATCAGTAATTTGAGATACTCATCTTCTCACAAGGAAATTGACATAGGCTGCGTTCAGAAAACACAACGGTTACACAACGGTTGAGTAATTCGTCAACGTTATTGGTCTGAATGTAAGGATCTAACAATAAGGACCAATAGTTACTAAGTGCTCAGTGAGCACTTTGTTTTCTGAACGCAACCATATCCATCTGATTTCGAAAATATTTCTTTGTTGAGATTTTTATGAATCAGCTTGCAAAATTATACAATGGATTGTTGAGTATTTGCAGAAGAAAAGTGAACAGTTTAATACATAGATATTAAACTCAAGTAGAGATATTAAAACTTCCAAGGTCAGGAATGTGTCGTGGAGGTAAGCAACTAGTTTGTTGGGCTGAAGCAGAGGGTTTCAAAGCCCGGCATGTTGTTTTATTCTTCTTTTCTCATTTTCTTCCACATTTTCTCAGGGGGCGTGATGGAATTTAGCGGAAAAAGCGTCCCGACGTAATCGACCTGATGGCAGCTCTCAGGTTTCTCTCTGCACTTAATTTTATTTACAGTACAATCGGGTACAGTACACTCTAAAGCCAGCGGCACACGGTGCTTGTTTTCGTGCTGGATTGCTTACTGGATGAAAATACTACGTTGTGATTGGTATATTTTCGAAGATGGATGAAAATGTATCAATCAGAACACAGTATTTTCATCCAGCAAGCAATCCAGCACGAAAACAAGCATCGTGTGCCGCTGGCTTTATAGTCGGTGACCCTTCATTTTCTCATTGATTTCAGAAAAAATAAAAAAATTTGAATAAAAAATGAAAAAGTTGAATATAGAAATTATAAAAATGGCTATCCCTATTAGCGTCATTTTATGTCATTGTTAGAAGTTTTTCGCGCGATCTCGAAATATTTCTTCCCGAATTGCAGGCAGTGTGTTGCGTGAAAAATGAGAAAGCGAAGGGGCAAAACAGGAGAGATTTTTGCTTAGCGATAAGATCTGCCGCTGACTCGCCTCGTGTCTCCTCCTGTCACGCGTCCATTCATCGATGGTGCGACAAAGACGGAGAGCGATTGATCATCTGTGCTTGTATAATTTACTATCTCTTGTAAGGGGAAGTAAAGTGAACAAGAACCGTGCACGCTTTGCTATTACCGTCAGGACGGATTTAGTGTGCACACATTTTCTCAGGTGGCGCGTCGGAATTCGGCAGAAAAAACGTCCCGGCGTAATCAGCCCGGTGGCTGCTCTCAGATTTCTCTCTGTTCCAGAGAGAAGGAGAAAGGTTAGGCCCTTTGCACAATGTCAGACAACAAGCAATAAGAATAAAAATAGACCAATCACAATCGACTATTACAAGAATTATCTATTGTGATTGGTCTATTTTTATTCTTATTGCCTGTTGCCTGGCATTGTGTAAAGGGCTTTATGGTACAAAATTGTGGACATTGACATTGACTTTGTAGTTTATATGCACGGTTGTACAGAGAGCGCTCCTTTTATTTTTCTCTTTGCTTTCACGGCTCTCAGTGACATCCATTTCCAGTTAAATCCGACGATTACAAATTCTTAAATAGTTTTGTAAATATTATTTTTTATGATCCCGAAAACAAAAATTTTAGGCGATGGCTGTTTCAACGAACGTTGCTACGGTACGTTTTATATACGTTTATTCACTTGTATATTATAATATCATCAACATAAATTTAAAAATATAACCTCATAGCAAGATAAGTAATTTATAAAGGTATACATGAAATGAATTTACTTTATATTGTATTTTTTGTTTATAGATTAAAGCGCAGAGATACTTAAATGCACCATTGGTAGAACGATGTAAAAATCTAGCGGAACTGATAGACGAGTCAAGTACCACTGAACTACAACTTGTTTTTCCTCTACTGATAGATTCTTTATTTGGAATAACGGATAATGTTGGATGGGGTTTACGTAATGTTACACTTCAGGAAAATCCACAGGCATATGAAGCTTTGTGTAATTTTCTTAGACCTCAAGGACCAATGTTCTCCTTGTGTTATAAATTACTTCCAGACTGTTACTTGAAATATAATTTTCCAGTGTCATATCTTCCAGTAAGTCTATAATTTAATTTGTGTATGTATATGTATATATATTGAAATTTTTACTTTTACAAATGCTTTAATGTTTTCCTTCCAGGCAAAAATACGTTCCTTATTAGAAGAAGCTGTGATATCACCATTTTATCTTGACAAAATCAAAGACGATCAAGGAACACGTGTTCCATCAGTTTTATCCATGAGTATCCTTTACTAATATTTTGTACTATTCATGCAGATACATCCTCACATGCATACACACACATACACATAGTTTATTAATAAAACACATACCGGTGCTTTAATAGGAAAATGTCCTTAACATAAGTACATATCCCTTTGAGTATTATATTTTTCATTTTGCATATCATTTGACTAATCCCTGGTTGCAACTTCAGCAACGAGAAAATATATGGGTAAATTGGGAGACTGTGTATGTTCAATTAGCACATTGTTATTTATACCATTTTCTCCCAAGAGATAATTCTGTGGTTCTACCAGTGATTGGACCATATGTTAAAAAAACTCCTCCAAGAAAATTGACTCAATCACCAGAATACAAAAGGTACAAGGATACAATGTTTATTGCAGAACACAAATTGTATACAAAGTATGTTATATTTATACATTCTAAATTTCAATCAGAGATTGTCATAGATTGCAAACTCCGAGACTTTTGAGAACATCCATATTATCACCAGGATCAATGAGTCCTGGGTCGGGCGTATCGCAACAGCAATGTTTACCTCAAGTATGGAGAAGTGAAACAGTAGTACAGATTTTTTTAGACTTCTGGTTGGAATATACAGAAGACGAACAGCTAACTTCTCCGTTAAATACATCTTTCATGGCTTCGATACCACGACGAGTAAGTATGCCTGCATGACGAACAATATAGATGAAAAATGTAATATACTTAAAAACAGTTTCTAATGTCTCAGCATAGTATACATTCTGGAGAACACATACGCCTTGTAAGAGCATTCATAAAAACATTGCATGAATTTACAAATAGTGCTACAGGAGACAAAAGCGCAATGGATGAATTAAAAAGGTATTGAGGTATCTGAAATATTTTACATTATACAACTTCTTACAATTTCTTAATGTTTTGTTCTTTCGGCCAGAATAATTCTTCCTTCAGTTCAAGGAAAGATATATACGTTCTTGCGAAAAGCTATATATCATTGGCCATTGGACAGCTCATTTAGATTAATATTAGAAGCTTGGTTGAGTTTTGTTCAACCGTGGAGATATGTCCCAGGAATAACGTATACTAAAGAAGGGTACATATTTTATTCGCGTCACTGTCAAAAGCTATTGTTGATTCTGACGATTAAAAAATTTCTTTAAAATATTTTCAGTAAAGCGGAAGAAGAAGAAAGAGGCAAAATTCACGACATCGATCGTTGGATTGCTTTCGTTGCAAATAATCTGTTGGCATATACAGCTATATTTCAACAATTGCTTCCACGATTTATGAGAACTGATCTAGTAGCGCCCAAGAATGCTTTAATGTTATTCAGAGTCACGAAAGTATGCGCATTTTCTGCGATACAGCATATAACTTTTTCATACTTAAAGATACATTTATTCATCATCACAATGTGTAATTGCTATTTTGTAGGTATTTTCACAGCCGCATTTAGCAAAAATGATATCCGAAGTGGAGAGTTGTATAGACGAAGTAGGCTTAAGCAAAGGCCGATTATCTACCAATCAATGGACGTCGATTGTCAGACAACAAATTCTGGAATTGGAAGGTCCAACGTATCAATATGTGCCTATGTTCTCATTAGCCATCACATCTCAGGTATTCTTCATTCTCTAAGTGCCTAAAGTGCATGTCTACTAATTCTTATCAATGAATCGTTCATTGGGAGCTTACATGTTTCAGATTGTATGGTTTTTGAGCACTATCAAGCAAGCGCATTTAACGGCAACCAGTTTAGTCGAAGCTCTGGAGAACAGAAGGAAAGGAAGGCGTTTACTGTTGTCTTTATGGGAGTTCTTTTATTGCGACGTTGATTCCTCTAACGATATTGGTATAGAAGAACGACGACGCGTGCCAGTGCTTTTGGCTATTGCTCAACAACAATTGATAGATATATTTCAAGTGAGTAAATTTCTTATTTATATATCGGATCGCGTTTCTTCTTCTCTATAACTCTCCGACTTTAAGCGGTTCATACGCGCACGATTCTACCTGTTGCAGATCAAACTCGAAGATATTCCGCAAGTCGCTATAGTGGCGGATCAAGAATATCATGATAGCATTTTATCGACTTCTTTCTGCCATCAATCACAGGTACGGATTATTTCTATTTTGATCCGCTTATAAAGATACATTTTATTGAATTCTCGATTGATTAAACGTGAGTGATATTTAGATGGAACCCAATCTTGATTCGAGTAAACCAGGCGTTTTTGTACCACTGCAAGAAGGTAGACAGACATGCCGATACATCGAATACATGGGCGACCCGGAGTTGCAGCCGGTGCGGTCGTACGAATGTACTTTTCTTGTTAGAAATTTCTACAAGTTGTGCTGCTACATCAATCTCAAGGTATCGCATACGTGTAATCTTAACTATTTGAGTGAGTAAGAAGCGCGATGCAATGTTGTTACGTAACTGATGTATAATATTTGGAAATATTTCTCGTAATATATTTTCGTACAATTCTATTTGTTTTTCGAGTACATTAATCAATATTTACAATTTTTCTGAGTGCTCAAACGATTAAATTTGCAACTTTAAATACATAATTTTTCAACAATTCGATTCGTTCTTCTAGTATCGGCACGAAATAATCGCGCTGTATAATAAACGGAGCTTCTTTGGTACTGTTTGTCGGCAACTGATCACGCCGCCTACCACAGTCGTCAAGTTACCGAAACGAACGCCGAACGGATTCACCAGCGGTTGCGAGGAACGATTGGCGCCTCGATTAAGTTTACGACCTCTGGCCAATTATACTTTTCTCATGAGTGTGTCGTTTGGTATATTTGTAACATGGATGTTCAAGTACTTAAAAACCTATGTAATCTTTTCGTATATTCTATATTGTTAGGTTAAGCCGTATGCTTTAAGAGTATTTTTTTCTTTTACAGTTATAATCCGCTCGCATTTCTGGGATTCGCATTCTGGGTATGGATTATGTATATAATCATGCGCGCGATTTTGCAGCACTATTTTCTATCAAGTATCTCAAGAACGAATATAGATGCATTCCCCATTAACCGATAATAATTTCGGTTTCTGAAATTAATGACTAAGTTATAATTTTCATAACTTTATAAGCTAAACAATTATAAACAATTATGAATTATTACTCCGAAAAAGTGTTTATACCAAGTTTATAACAATATGACGCAGAAAAAATATTCATGTTTGCTATAAATAGAAAAGAAAATAAAAAAAATAAATAACAAAAGAAATAATATCTAATCACGCACTTTCTTCTTCGCTCAACCTCATTCTATTACGCTTATTGCTGATAAAATAGTTAATAATTATACAGGATGTACGAAAAGTATCGAAACCCCTTAATATCTCGGAAAATACGCATTTTATAAAAAAATGTTTCATACAAAGTTAGTAGGGTTTTATAAGGCGCATTACATGGCAATATTATTATGACCTTGAATAGTGTTGTCAAGGTCATATGAAGGTCATCTCAAATTTCTTAAATAGAACCCCTTATTTCTCATTACATGTTCTTGTAGCTTATCTCGAGAGCTTTCCAAAACACTATAATTGAATGTTTTTTCGTTAGGTATTTTTCGAGTTACAAGACTTAAAAGTTGCAAACCGCCAGCATTAGCATTACCCAAGGTGTACCGCATGGAGATTGCATAGTCGGATTTATACCTCTTTTGTGGTGTATTATATACACCACAAAAATACATATTTTTATTGGTGGATATTTAGATCTATTATTAGTACTGGTTGCACTTTTTGTACTTTTTGCACTTAAGATGAGACAGAAACTTTAAACGGTGGAAGAAGCAAGAGAGTGAGGAGATTATAAAAAACGTAAGTAACATGAATAATTCTATGGAATATTATTGTGAATTAATAATTATTTATTTAATATTTGTAGCCGTAAGTGTTTAATTTAAAATGCCTCAGTACGTTATAAAACATATGAGTAATAAAATTACTTATTATCACTGCCAATTCCTTTATATCTGCCAGTCACGGTAATACTTTTCTTTTAAAGAATTTGCATAATAATAAAAATAATAAAATACAAATTCATCCAGATATCTTAATATAATATTACGTGTCTTCTACTATAAGTAATCTGTATATATGTGTTTATATACACACATATATACACATATTCTTTGCAAAATTTATATTATTAATTTTTTAACTATTTTATTTTAAACATTTTTCTCGTTTTATATTTGAATGGATTAGTGTTGCTAAGCAACTACCACTTTTTCAGTAATAACCAATGAATGAGTGTTCCTATCTAAAATGGCGACAACTGATTCCCCTTACGTCTTAGGTTAGGTAATCATACCCCACAACCCTCGCGTCTACATATACTCCCGCCATATCTTCTTATCTCCATGTGATCAGCTGTTGGTGTAGTTCGAAAGTCGAATTAACGAGGTACGTTTCGTGCGCGCCGTGCGTGCAAATATGAGGCGATGAATTTAATATAGCTTGAAGTTTAAATGAAAGTATGGATCCAAGTGAAGTAGAATTTCTCGGTGAGAAGCAACTGGTCAGCATAATACCGAATTTCAATCTCGACGTAATCCATTTGATCTCGGGCTCGGTAGGACCATTTCGCGCCGGTTTGCCTGTCAAAGTACCAATTTGGCTCGCGGTGTGCCTCAAGCAAAAGCAAAAATGTCGTATTATCAATCAAGAGTGGATGGAAGTCGAGAACTTGAACGAGAGAAAAGAGATGGAAAAGATGTCAAAGTACGTGAGTAGACTTCGAAAATGTATTACCTGCTATTTAATATGAGACATCAGTATTAAATTTTCTATTTTCTGAACTGTTTCCAATCAATTTTCAATAACTTTTATTTAATAAATTTTTTATGGAACTTCAGTTTCACTGTTACCAGACAATGCGTTATAATATATTGTATCAAACTTTGATGGAAATTTTATTTTTTCTATAACGTTGAATATTTAAAGATTAATAATATTCGAAGAAATTTTATTATATAATTTTGCAATTTATTTATACTTTATATTGTAACATTAGGTTATTCACAGAGATGCCAAGTTATCATTACATCGATGAAAGTCAAATCTTACTGAGTACTGGAAACGATGATATACCTGATGCAGATGGTATAAGGATTGCTGTAAAGGTAATAGTTTAAGTAAATTTTATAAATATAATTAATTAATTTAGATTAGATTTAATTGAAGAAATATTTACACAAAAAATAATATTTATATTATAATTTATATTGTATAGGATATATGGGATATAAGAATGTCTAAATTACGTACATCTATGGATGCTTTTGTAAAGAATGAAGGAGTACATGCAAGACTGGATCATCTTACTGCAATGGAAATTAATGGGATACGTCCATTGTTGCCACATGCATTGGATCAAATGTTACGAATACAATCTGTAAGTATAGATCTTGAAATAGGATTTCACTTATAGTATTCTTAACATAGTAAATTATTCCTCTTTGTTTTATCTTTACTGTTATAATGTAACATTAATGTGATATTTATAATTTTCCTTTGATTTATTGTCATATCTTTATTTCAATTTGTTACAGGCAAATTTAGGAGGGGCAAGTTCTCAATATAGTGGAAATATGTAACGAAAATAACATCAAATTATCAGTTGTTAACAGATTGTGAATATTTTTGTAATTTTTACATTCTATTGCCGGATATATACATACAACAAAATGTTTATAAATTTATAGTTCATAATATAGATTTCATCCTCATAATATAGACTTTTCTTAATATACATATAATTTGATATTTAATTTAATTGCATTAAGCTATATAGTACAAGTATAGGATATAGAAAACAATGTATTTGAGTGCAAATATGTTACAATTTTATTCGGCCTATTTTAAAATCGTTACGTACATTCACTAGTATATTTCTATCACATTTTTTCATTATCATCATAGTACATAGTAAGTGCATATTTACATTAATGAATTTGCTCCGATCGATATCATGTTTGTTATCATATGGCATTCAACTTCTATATTTATACTTAATTTTAAGCCACAGTCCCTTAGCAATCTTTGATTTGTCAAGAATTTTAAGTCACATAAAATGATAAGATTTTTCTCACTCAAAAAACTCGAGACATCTTGATTTCGTTTGATGTTGAGTCTTTCATAGAAATGTATACAATGTATAATTATGCGCAGTGAGTAATGAAGAAATTGGCAATGAAATATATCATGCCAAATTAGTAATGTTAATATCAAATTCACAATATATTTAAATTATAACGTCACAAAGTATAAAAGAATTCACGTACCAATATATCTAAGGTATGTATACAGAAGATTAAGAAACTAAGAAGTAAATGCAGCTTGGTGTTGCACCAGGTAAATGCCTAATGTGTTTGGTAGTGTCAATAAATTATTAATTCTATAATTCTATCGATAGTATTTTGACAGTAACAAAAGTTGACAGATAAAAAGACCTTTTCCGAACTTTTCGAACCGTTTCGACATCAAAGAACAATGCAGTATATTTTCAGTCGATTCGGTGTTTGAACTATCGTGTGTTTGACAAACGAGATAAGTACTGTACGCTCTATCTAAACAAGTACTTGGGAAATATCACAAAGTCCGCTTGAGAAACACCGTTCCAAAAATACTTTACGGGTCATCGTAAATAAGTAAACGCATTTCTAGACTGCTACGATTTTACTAGGATCAACCTTGACTCGAATAAACATGGTATCGTCTTTCACAAAATGTCGCTTCTTCACCATTTCGTGAGAAACGAATCGCGGGAAACCGAAGCCGAGCGAATCGGGCTCGCGACTCGGCCTCTGGAAATTCTTCCAAGTCGGATCCGGTATGAAGCTCTCCACGATGTTGCAGGCCTTCTCCGCGACTACAGTCTGATCGAACATCGTGAATGAGACACTGTGCGAGAACGGCCATCGTAGAAGCGCATCGTATTCGCCAGGCAGAATCTTAATGTATATCGAAATATGACTTCCTTCTCCGGTCCCATTTCCGTTTAAGAAAATTGAAGCCTGCAACGTAAGAAATGTTTTCTTAACAAATTAAATTAAGATGGACGTAATGATTGTTTATGATGTGGTTCGATCATACACACCTGCAATTTGTATCCATATTGACTAGTATAAAAAGGTGGACTAATAAGCTCCATTCCCTCCTTCGCTTTCGCCTCTGACATTTTGGAGGCATAATCTGTGATCTTCCATATGAGCGTGCCTGTGTAATTTAATGATAGCTTACTGATCGCCGATTTGAGACTGGTTATTTGATGTTGTTGCTTCGTTACAAGACTGCACATAAGGCTCAGATGCATTTTCGTGGACTCCTCCAAATGTTTATCCAGCGAAAACCTATTTCCCTGTTACAAACAAATCGTAACGTAACGCTTTTCAGTCTTGGAACAAAAATCCGATGAAGCAAAAATAAACGGATGATAAATTATCAATTTAAAACAAAACATGTTCCGGAAATTAAACAACTAGTTTCAGAAAGATGAAACTGATTCTATCAGTTTTCATCGATTTATCTCTCAGAGCGAATAAACTACAGTACGCCAACACCTAATGTACCTTGAAACGGCAGCCAGCGTCCTTGAATGTACAGGAAAGTAGATGCGTGGTACAATGATCTTTCAAGTGCACTTCGAGATCTTCTCTAGGCAGTACTGCGGTTTCGCAACGATGAGGACACGCAACCGGGAATCGTCCACACTTTGCATGATGAGCACCAAGCGTATCGAAAACGAATTCTTTGTTACAATAACGACAAGCAACCAGCCTCTTGGCGCATTCACCCAATTTGTGTTGACCGAGATGTCTTCTTTGCACCTTCATTCCACATTTATTCTCGCAATACAAAGGCTCATAGCCACACGTTCCCGTGTGTTTCTACAAACATATACATCCACTGTTGAGTTTCCAATAATAATTGTCAATTGTTGTTGAGTTTTCAATAATAATTGTCAATCCATTGTCAATAACAATCATCGATATTATTAAATTGGAGAATTTATAATATCATACTTCTAAGGTATGTCCGGTGAACTCTTTGGCACAGAAGTCGCAACGAGCCCTACGCTGGGCGCATGTGTATTTCAGGTGGTCCTCCATGAGCACGCGAGGTATCATCGCCCCGCATTTGTTGCCACAAGGGACTGCATCGTGTTTACACGTATTCAGGTGTGCCTAATGAAAATCACATTCGAAATGTTCAAATATTTGTCAAGGTTCGCTCACGATCTGATACCTGATATTAAGTATCACAGGCTAAAATGATGGTGATGTAATCTTACCTTCAGCTTCCTCAATTCGTCCGACCATTTGCAACCGTCCTTATAATGTATGCAGTACACAATAGAGCCCATTATTGTCTTCTCTGCCTCCGAGTCCTGGAGGTTCTGAAAAAGACCGAAATGAGAAAAACGAGTTATTCGCTTGCCTTTGTTGCCGTTTGAAGTGTAAAACCTAAACCTATGGCATTCAGATACTACGACACGTATACTGTAACTCGAAATGTAAAGCAAGGCGAATAACATCATCACGTTGGATACAACATCGTGGGAGATGCTGCCTCGTGCCGAGAACCACGTGGGTGGCACAGCTCAAGAATATCTCAAGTCTATTGTCGTAACTCGAATATGTTTGCCTGTTTGGCGCTCAAAATCATTTCGACGATTAAAAATCAATATCGAATTTGCTTTTCATTTCACATGCTTATTAGTGTCAACTAACGTAGTGTAATTAGTCATACTTGAAAATCGCATATATCAGGTATAATTATTTTTAAAAATGTAATTTACATTATATACAGCTATATGTAATAATTTATTATTTCGAGTCTTTTCTTTTGGTGATACTTTTGAGTATTTAGAAACATGTATTGGAGATTGTCATAAAATCGTAACATTGATATACCTGGATAAAAAGATAGCGCAGAAACAAATAATCAATATACTGTGTCAATAAACACATCATAGACTTGTACGATTTCTTCTTTCTAAGTGCTCGTTCGCCAAAAATGTCCCCCTTATTGGAAACACGTTGATAAGAGAAAAAGAACGATAGTATTAGTGCGACAACCACACCAATATCCCTGCATCACCATATACAGATATATCCAACGTATAATATATATGTAAACGCGTGTTGGGAGGTGCTTGCAAGTTGAAACCTGCACGACCGGCAAGGTCGAGGAACCTAACGCAACCAGTCAGTCGTTAGCGGCGAGATATAAACAGAAGGAATGGAAGAGACGAGCGCTGCTTCATCGCTCTTGAGAAAAGAGCGGAATATTGAGCGTTGTGAAATCTCTTTCGAAATTTCCTGAAGAAGGAGAAGCGAAATCGCCAAGGGGCTAGACAACTAGACAGGCTATTTGCAGACGATAAGTGGTCAATTACGACATTAAGACCGCATAGCATAGTACAGGTTCATAATGTGCACATTAACCGATTAATTAATTACGAGAGTACAGCTCAGATTTTTAAAGTTTCCATGTACGTTCGACAGGAGAGCCAACGGTAATTTACATACCATACCAACTTGTACAAATGCTCATATACTTCTCGAAAGATACGAAACTCTCTGAATTGCTGAGTCGCCCACTTTTCTCCTCCAGAACGGAGTTCTTTTTAAGACGCGACGCGACGCCGTCGTTAGGTATTACGTAGAAGTACCACGTAACGCGTCAAATAGGCACAACATGACAGTTGCGAGTCCCGCGGGTGATATTACAGTAAAATAACGGACGATCGATCTTCACATGTTCCACTTATTAGAGCCTTAGAGTCCATCGATGTTTAATAATATTAAACATCTAATATCGTTGCGGCGACAGAAGGTCGGCATGCTTTGGCCGTAACATGACTTTTTCACACTTTTGCTTCAGCTGCCACACTTCCTCTCCCTCTCTTTTTCCTCCGTTTAATTCTTCTAGAAAAATAAGAATGATTGAAGTTACGAGTTTGACTCGTACGAGCTTGACACGCACGCCGTAAGGGTCAAAAGCGAAGCATACAAATCAAGTTCCTTCGGTCGGGCATTCCCGACACGACTTCCCCCTCAGGTGCATCCATGCCGCCGAGCGTAACGTTCTCGTTCACGAGCGGCACGGAGAAGTTCATCGCCGTAGTGGAATGCGCCAGGAGGAACAATGCGCGAGGAGTGAACGCGCCTTCGCAACCGCGCCGCTTCCGGCGTAGACGCGTAGGACTCGAGAATACCATCTCGTGGGAATGGGTCGCGTCCAAGCTTTTAATATAACACGCGGTAATTGCCGCGCGGGCACTCGTAATCATCCGTCTTGTCTTGTATTCCCCCGACGCGTTGTCAAGCGCCGAGGATGACAGGAACTACGAGTGGTCGCGCGTGGAATGCCGCGCTCTTATCTGCGTCAGAACTCGAATTTGCAGTCGGTGCCGCTGGGAAGGGTACTTTTAATTCTAAACTTCTGCATATCTCCGTGTCGTCGCGCATCCTCCACTTCTGTTTCTTCGCACGACGATGAAAGAAATCTGATCTGCGATCGCAGTTTAAACATAGCTCGCTTCGCCGATGAGAATGTCTCGCGAACGCTGCTTTGTGCCGCAAGTGTTGACCCGATTTGTACCCGTGTTGAATTGAAGCGCAATCTTCCAAGAGTTCAATGAGTAAACGCAATGTAACGTAACAGTTATCTAACAGTTATATAACATTGTTGAGTAGGAAATTGCGACTAACAGGTAAGTTACATGTTGCATTGTGTTCGCTGGGAAAATTCAAAATAAGATCTTGCAAGGAACATCTGCGAAGTGTGTGTCTCCGATTTTGACGAAACTTGGCATATTTGTAGATTGTAGCCAAAAATAAAGGACCCATATTTTTTTATCGGCAATGGCTCAGGTTTAAGGAGTGAAACTGCCCTATCTCGATAATTATTGCAGAGAGGAAACAATTTTTTAAACAAAAATTGCACGTTTTTTTTATGCCATACAATTTTTGTTTCAAAAGTTTTTCCCTATCTGCAATAATTATCGAGGTAGCATAAAGGGGATGAAATTCTGAGAGGCGGTTTCACCCCTTAAACTTAAGCCATTGCCGATAAAAAAGACATGAGTCTCTTATTTTTGGCTACTCTACAGATATGTCAAGTTTTGTCGAAATCGGAGACACACACTTCACGAATGTTCCTTATTAGTCAGTAGAAATTCGTAGAAATTATTATCACCTTGGTCTACTTGATCATACAGTAAACTTGGACACACCAATGTCCAGCCGTCAGTATCCAGTGGAATTTCAAGTCATTCATTATCAAGTCGAAAGGTCGCTCGTTATTCAGACGAAAGGTAGCTCGCTAGCTTTGCGACGCACCCCGTGTTGAAGAAGAGATTTGTAATTCTCGAGCGGATATTGTCGGCCAAGAGAGCGAGTTCTGTCGCGCCGATAAACAACATTGCGACCACGCACGCGTATCAAGAATGAGAACGATCAAGAATCGCCGGGCGGGCAGGAACCAACAAGAGCAAGGCGCTACGAGAGAGAGAGGTCGAGCGAGACTTCGGAAGCGGTCGAGGCCATCTGTTACGCTCGGTTCCCACGCTTCCGCTGCCACCGTCGCGCCTTACAGCCGGCATTTTATTCCAGTCGGATAGCATGGAGCACACATGCAAACGGAATTCCTCGAATTATGCGGGTGCGGAGAAAAATAAGTCTCGGCTTTCGGCTTGTATTTAGAGGCTGTTAAGTGGAAGCAATTCCTTTATGTATAACTATGCATCCGTCTCCGCGACGTCGGCGATTCAACGATAACTTATCTCCTGTGTTTCCTTGTCGGAAATGATGTATGTGCTCTATCGAAGGTACTGTTTCCGTTGCTATATTTACCAGCGGATTTCTTTCGCCATTATCGCTGCCACCGCGGTCGCTAAGCACGGCGATATAAGGAGTCCTATCCGATAAAGAGCGACCGTAGTTAGCGACTGTAACTGTTAGCATGGTATTCCAATCGTGCAACATTGTGAGCACAAATTTAACATTGACAACTATCAACTGAAACGAAAGAAGCATCGTCATTCCGTGTCGATGATGACCGTTTTGCGTCGAGGGTTCATTGAAAGGCCGAGAAAATAATGGGAAGAGAGCGAGAGAGCGAGAGAGCGAGAGCGAGAGAGAGAGAGAGAGAGAGAGGGAGAGAGAGAGAGTGAATGAGAAAAGTGTCTAATGTCTAACCTCATCGGTAATGATAGGCGATTTGTCCATGGTGTCGTTGATCGGGCTGGGTGGTGACGTGGGACTAGCACTGGGGCTTACGTGAAAACCCTTGGACTCCTTGGCGGATCTCTGGGGCGACACCCTCACCGGGAAACTCAGGGTCTTGGTCCACTGCGACAGACCACGCACCATCTTCGTCAGAGGCACTAACGTCACTCGCACGACCGAGGTGACTCGCGTCCGTTGCTGGTAGCATTCACGAGTCTTGGCGACGAGAGGCGAGCCTGCCGTTTTTCTCGGCTTTTTATCGTGTTCCTCCGCGAATGAGCTTGACACGCGCGGCGCAGGCCTTCCTCGCTCCTTCGTACGACCGTACGAAGTAGTCGTCGAATCTTGAATTTTTAAATCGGACCGATTCGAGATATCGCACCGGCGACGCTCTCTCGCAGCCAATGTCAAGCGACAGCTGATCTCAGCTCCGACATACATACGCGCGGTACCACCTCGAAGGAACGCCTGGACGACTCTCGTACGTGACTTTTTTCAAGCGTTTAAGAACACACTCTGCGCGCGAGCCGGCAGACCACGCACGACGGAACTCGCTGATGGACTGACACGCAGGCTGTAACTAGTTCCGCGGCTCCTCTGGACCGAGCGTCGTGATGTCGACGGGGACGACGACGGTAGTGGTGGTTGCGCCAGCAGTGGAGGAGGAAGAAGAGAAAAGAGGGAGGAAGATCGGTCGCGAGCCAGAGGAGTCGCCGCGCCGGAGCGACCGGGAGAGACCGTTGCACCGAAGGAACGGTGCGCAATGAGACAAATATCGGTCTCGATCTTTTCGTTCTACGCGTTTCGACGAGAAGCAATTGAGTGAACCCGTCATGTCTGTCGCGTGCGTCATCTGTCGGAAAATCTCTTTCTCCAGGGAGAAAAAATCCGAACGATACAAATGAGAGCAGAACACACGGGCGTTACGCTTTGTAAATCGAATCGTAGATTTGATGTTCCGAGTATTCAAAATTCACGGCCGGTTTTGCCAGTGTCGATGAACTCCAACTTGACGTAATCGACTGACTGATGCGTTTACTTTTCGGACAGAGATAAACGTGGGCCTGGAGGTAGAGAAAGAAAATGAAAAGAAAAACGCAGAAATCGAAGAGATTAAGATTAAAAGTCATCAAATGTAACTTGACATCGGTCATTAGACACTAACAATGACATTATAACTTCCGCAGGAGAATAAAGTCTCATTTCAAGCAATAACCGAGGGAGAAGCACTGTCGAGAAGCGGAGAGGGTGGGAGAGACAGGTCGTGAATGAAGGAGTATATATGTGCAAAAACAGGAATGCATAGAAGGTAAGCGAGTTAGAGAGACTCTACACATATTCGCAAGTGTACCTTCAAAAGTACACTTGCTCTCTTCAGTTGTCTCTATAATTAAAAGAACATTTTGACCTTTTAACGCCGTAGTATAGAGTCACGAAAATACTCACTCTCGATTAATTAATGTGACATTTCTAAATATTATGCAACACCGTCATAAATTACTGGAAAGGTGAGGAGCTGAGCAGCAGTGACGACGTAGGACTATAGGAAAGGAAACGATCATGTATCAGTAAGATCCTTTCGCAGACAAAGAACTGTCTCCGTGAATGAGAAGAGAGAGAGAGAGAGAGAGAGAGAGACCCGTGTGTTGCCAACTGCGGGTTTATGGTGTAGCGAAGGGGAAAAAGGACACATACGTCGCCAGGCTTATACGCCGCGGCATGCATCGTGCGTTCAACTGTGCGCGGACCGGATCTAGTCCAGCTGCGGCCTTCTTCGACCTTCCCCCCACGTCGCGATGATCGGTGAGAGAAGTCCGCTCCTTGCGACCAGCGGCCGGCTGTGCCACGTTATTCCAAATCTTCGCGTCCTGGCGGACGTGTTGCAGACCGATCCAATAGCCGAATGGCCAGATGAATGTCCGATCAATGCGATATATCACGAGTCACATCGAACGAGCATTTACCGTGTCATTGAGCCGCTTCTGACTTGAAGTGTAGATACATCGTAACTCTGTTACGTACATTTTCTATCTTTCATTATCTTTGTTCGCAAGGAACTGTATCATGGAGTTTTCTAGGACTGAGAGGTAGATGACTGATAATCTTCCCCGATCTCATCGATCATTCGCCGCACGGTATTTAATGCATTTGCGATGATCTCTATGATGTATAGAGAAAGCTTCTAGGAACGTAACAGTTAAACAGAGGCCAAAGAACTATCTGCGATCATCTCCTTGAGCGCAGGTGGTATAAAAGGTTGCCGCGTTTGCGACTGAAGAATCTTCATAAGCGTAAAGATTCGTCGGACGAATCTGCGCATATCGTGGCCAGATGGAACGAACTGAGGCGCTCCCGAGGGGGACAAAGAAGCACTTTTCGAAGCGTTGCGATATGAGAAGCACCTGGCAAGACGATGGAAGGGATCGAGCATACGAAGAATAGGAACGAAAAGCCTGGGGAATAATATTGGGAAGCGTGCAGCTGTCACAGCAGCTGCAAACCTCCTCTCTCTCTCTCTCTCTCTGTCTCGTCCGATGACCGGCAGCTTTTCTGACTCTTCTGCCTCGCGCCTTCTGCCTCGCGTTGCTCGCGCACCACCTAATCCGTGTCCCGGCTGATATCCTTTTGTGGATTTTTATCTATACTGCGTCCTGAGAAATTTATATCCGCAGACAAGAGATTTTGGACCGAATATCACGAATGACACGGCGGGCTGAATTTTTATCCTACGATATACTAGATAGCATAAATTTCTAGAGAATGTCTTAAAGATGCTTAAAAGATATTTTACTTTTTTTTTTAGACGTCTTAAGATATCTTTCAGAAAAATATGTGTTATCTAAATTCTTTTATCTTTAACGAGGTATATATCGAAACATATTCCTAAACGTCTATGTTCCTTCAACAGGATACATCTTTGAAATGCTGAATAAACGTGTGCCTTGTTCGATATCGTTGTCGCATGAAGGCTTACGCTTTAATCACGTTTCTGAGGCAACCACTATCGCCAAGGGGAAGATATCCTTAATACGTCTTGAGGCAAGGAAGTGTGTGCGTGTGTGCGTGTCTGCGCCCGTGTTTGTATCAGCTGCCTCTTGTGTAAAATTAAACTTCCTGCCCTCCTGGTACCCACATCTGCTCTCCTGCGATACATTCATAATGGGTACGCACGTTTGATACATCTCTAGATATGCACGTACTAACGTAGATAAAAGGATATTATTTTCATTGGTATCTCGCACTCTCAACTTTCAATCGTTACCTTCTATATGTCACTTACGAAGTTACAAATCGTCCGATGTGTTTATTTCTTGTTAACGACATAAATGGTACGGATATCGATAACTCGTATCAAGATCAACTAGTAATTGTTCCCGTGATCGAATACACAACCAATTGTTGCAGAACCTTCGAAAATAATAAATTTGTCCTATATCTGCACACGGACCTTCGCGGCCATTAATCATTGTGCTTGTGTAATCAACCTTACTACACGAGTTAGAGTAGAAACGCAGTGTGGAAGACTCGTGTCGCAAACGGCTAAGTGAAAGGAGATTTTTTGCAGCGCTTCGAATATCAAATAAGCCCGAACAATAATATGGATGTTCCAGGATAACAATTCGTGATCCGACGCGTCGATCTTACTTATTTCAGTTACAAGATCGAGACTGTATCCTTTCTTATTTCTTATCGATTGCATTTCGAGTCTTTAATTATTAACGATAATAACCAGGCAACCGGCCAAGAAGCAGCTGAGGCAATCCTGAGACGCAGGTGTCGGTCGCTTCCAGAATGTGGCAGCCAGAGGCAGCAACTCTTAACCACGGCGTGTTGCTGCCCAATTCGATCGACGAAGCGGCAATCCGTTACGCTCGCTCTTCGACTTCTACCCGTACGAGTGTGTATACACGTGTGCGCGTACGCGACACGCGGATAAGAGAAAGTTGAAGCCTCACGAAATCGTCTTTGCGAAAATGCCGACGAGCAATCCTCTATTATGCAGGCAGATACAAATAGGTGACGAATAGAAGTTGAATTCCTTCGATTGTTCTTCGCAAAAAAAGTATGATGTTCTTGATACATGTATATGGGACATTCTTTGTCAAATCAGCCACCTCCCTGCGCATCTCAATTTTCGATATAAATCACTTGTATAGGGCTCAACATTTTCGTTGAAATATCTATTTTTCCGTCGTCTGGCATTTTTGGCGCCGCAAGATGGAGCGACGCCATAATATGTACCGAAACGAGCAAAAGTCATGAAAATTAATGGAAAATCTCGCTTTCGAGGTTTCCAATTTTTCACCTCTAAAACTTAAAAACTCAGTAAATACCCAAGGATGAGATTTGGATCGATGGCATTTTGGAGATATGCCATCGAGGGAGTTCTGATTCGGTTCGTGGGATTCAGAGCTCATGGCATTCCAGCAATGAAGAGATTTCAAGACTATGGAACTCATGATGTATTGGGTCATGAGAATCTGGGGTGAGAGATTTTTGGGTTCGGGTTATGGAGTCCGGGGCTCGTGGCGTGCGAAGAATACAGGTTTTTGTAGTAAAGGTTCATATATTTACCGAGGTTTTAAGAGTTTAGAGGTGAAAGATTGAAAACCTCGAAATTTGTAGCGGGATTTTCCATCGTTTTCATCACTTTTGCTCGGTTTCGGTTCATATTATGGCGCCGTCATCTCGCAATGCCAAAAATATCAGACGACATCGAAAAATAGACGTTTCAAACGAAAGTTTTGAGCCCTATAAAAGTGATTTATATCGAAAATTGAGATGCGCAGGGGGGTGGCTGATTTGACAGAGAATGCCCCATGTATATTTTTTTTACATGACTTTAATATCAATTAACATGATTTTATATACAGAGTATCCGAGATCTTTTGGAAACAAAAAATTGTGAAGATTAATCAGATGAAACTGAAAAGAAAAGTCAAGTAATATTTTGCGAAAATCGCGATATTTATTAAGTTATTAATGATTGAAAATGACTACATCTAGAGGTTTTTAATTGATAATTTGAAAATTTCAGTACTTATTTGCAAAATAGTAAACGACTTTTCTGTTCAGAATGACTTAATCTACAATTATATGACGGCTATTGTGCCTAGCGACATATTCAAGATTCAGGGTTCAAAGTTCAATATACTCATATCTATCGCTAGATACAATTAGTATTATATATATGTATATATATTAGTATTATATATATATATATATATATATATAATACTAATGTGCAATTCTGTTTTCAGACAAATTGTATCAATCTCGCCAACTTACCGTTCTAGACATCCAGCCGACATTATAAATCGATGTTGATATACTGGGTTGTTCACGTTGAAAACCAGAAACAAGCCATCAAGACGAAGGAAGATCGAATCTCCTCTTTAACAATGATCGCTTCGAATCACCGAGTCGTCATCGTAAGTGTTAACTTGGACACCGGTCAATATTGAATCGTTCTAAAGTCTCAATTGCTTTCAATCATATTCGGCAAAATACACGTTCACTTTGAACTTTCCCTTATATTTTGGATTTACGTGAAATTTGCCTCTGTACGAAATTGATCTCAAAATTATTACATGTGCCTCGAACTTTTGATAAACTTCCTGAACGCGACAAGCGTTTGTAAAATAGCGCCTAATCTTAAAATTGACTCATGGCTGTTGCTACGAAGCAATGGCAACATTAATTTAACAACATGTGATTCCAACCGACTCTAGGGATAATGTTTCTCACGAAAATAAGCTTCGGGAAGCGCGTCGCGGATATTTCCGGGAGAATTCCAAGTCATGAACGGAGGAGAGACGACATCGCACTTCGCCGTAATCCAGTCGGGAGTTCGTCGAACTTAGAATCTATATCGCGTGAATATGCGCGAGAACGACTGTCGGCCCTCGCGTGCAACGTCAAACACACAAAACGCGCGCTTAATCAAACGGAGAGGGAAACTCGTTCGCGACTGTAGGCAACGACTGTGTAACATTGACTGCGTATAATGCACAACGCACAGTCGCATCACCGGATGAGAACGTGCGAACGTACGGCGAGAAAGAATACAGCCCCACTACGTGCTAGGCGAAACTAAAGTCCCGCGGGATATTACGCTTAGCAGCAGCAGCATACGCGGCCGTGTACGCCTAGTTGCTTATGAAGGCAGGTGGCGGTAGACAGGTGAATGTGTTGGCGGAACGCAGGAAGTGCCAGAGACAGAAAGGCGATACAAAAGCCTGCGATAGGGATGACAAAGTCGAAGAAGAGAGAAGAGAGAAGGGTAGAGAGAGAGGAAGAGAGAGAGAGAGAGAGAGAGAGAGAGAGAGAGAGAGAGAGAGAGAGAGAGAGAGAGAGAGGACAGAAAGAGGGAGAGAAAGAGAGAATCTTCCGAGTGTCAGCGATAAAACTGAAGAGTTTTCTTCTTTCTCTTCAGAGTCTCTTAAGTTTATATTTTCTTAGAACAAAGATTATGCGCTTAATACGAGCTTCTCGAAGCTTAATTGAAATAGATAAGACCTCGTGAACTTATCGTGATATCCATCGTTCTGATTGTATTTGACCTCGTGTCCTATGGAACCCCGTTCTTTCGTATCAGGATTCCTCCGCGTTAAGTAACAACGTGGCGTTATTATGCCGTTTGCGATTCGTCGTGTACAAGAATAGCTCTCACGCACGCCTTCTTTTGCTTCTCCTTTCTTCCTCCTGCCCTACCCATGTATACATTACTGTTGGCGAATATATTTCTAGTAAACAAGTAGCAGATTGATGTTTTAAGTATCCATTTTATATACTTTTTTTAATGTTATCGTGTAATGTTGTTTAATATATTATTAATATATGTTTAACATATTCGGAAATACGATGTTCCCTCGAATATTGCAAAAGAAGTATCTTAAAAACATCATTGTAATTATTTTATATAAATATAAATAAGTATAGATATAAATATAAATATTAACGTTATGTCTAAAAAAGATATATTTACGGCTTTTTTTGCTGTAAAAGCAAGAAAGCAACTTTTTTATGCACTGAGGGAAAATAACTTTTTATCCTGTTTCAAGCTGCTAACTTTAGGCTTCATCTTGCGGACGAAATGCTTGATTTAGCTACCCCGATAAGGTAATACTAAAAACTATCAGTCCTGAGTAAATTTTCATATTGGCAAAGAGGCCCCGGGGGGCCCGGAGATAATACAATACCGACTGTTTTAGCTATGCTGAAGATAATATGATATTTGTACTATACTATTAGCGTATTCGAATGGTATAAAAAATTTTAACCCACCCGGGATCGATTAAACCCAGGCTCTTAGATTGAACATGCAGGGGTAAGCTTTGTGATTGGCTAGAAAACCTTGTGACGTCATTAATCGACCCCAAGTGGATTAAAACCCATTTACTCGAATAGGCCAATAATATACCTAGATTGCGCGTTTCCTAAATTTCAGAAAGGAGTAGAGTTCATGTAAAAAAAGGATGCACTCTGTTTTGTATCTGTGCGTTTTCTCTCGCACATACAATGGAAAGGGAATAAGGGGAAGCAGTTACCTATAAAAATATATTATAAGCTATAAAAATAGCTTATAAACTTCCTGATTGGCTGTAAGCCACATTTAGAGTCATTTTTAATGATGAAAACTAGTGATTAAAACTCATGCTACTCGAATAAGCATTAATATCTCGTCAGTGGTTTAAGTATATAAAGCCAGCGGCACACGGTGCTTGTTTTCGTGCTGGTTGCTTGCTGTATGAAAATATTGCGTTGTGATTGGTACATTTCCGAAGATGGATGGAAATGCACCAATCAGAACGCAATATTTTCATCCAGCAAGCAATCCAGCACGAAAACAAGCATCGTGTGCCGCTGGCTTAACATGTCGTTAGCTGTCCCTCGAAGGACTTTAACTAGCTGTAAAGAGCCTGGCGCCATCTGGCGTTCTTCTGCAGAATTACTTACACTATTTTTTATGCACTAGTACATAAGGTACAGTTGAAAAGAACAAACCGATACGTGATCATAACACAACTGTGCACGCGTTATTTTGTATGATTATCAATATTTGGCAATATAAGCTTTGTATAGTAACTGATATGCATTTATTATATATTAAACATTTTATGAATTGTATTTCGATTTATAAGAAATGTAACACATCAATAACGTTTCAGTAAAATACGATTTTACTAATGAGTGATTGTTTAAGTGTTATTTGTAATAATACGTGAATTTATTCATTGAATACAATGTCTAATGCAACAAGTGGCAAGAACTTATTACGACCAAATGGACTACAGTGTAAAAATTTACATGAATATTTAAAATCTCGTCCTCCCGATATATTGAATAAATTGTATCACAAACCGCCTATTTGTTTGGCGGTGTTCCGCGAATTACCTATAATCGCCAAGCATTATGTTATGAGATTGCTGTTTGTTGAACAACCGGTGCCACAAGCAGTCATAGCTTCATGGTGTTCAAAACTGTATTTTGAAGAACATCAGAAAGTGGTGCAAATTTTAAACGAGCTGTACGTATGGAAAGAAGCATCTATACCAGGTGGATTACCAGGTTGGATTTTAAACAATACCTTCAAGAAGAACTTGAAAATTGTTTTGTTGGGAGGTGGGAGACCATGGACCATGTCAAATCAATTGGAAACTGATAGTAAGCCGAGAGATGTTGCTTTCTTGGATTCATATGCACTAGAGAGATGGGAGTGTGTTTTACACTACATGGTTGGTTCTCAACAGCAAGAAGGTAAAATTTTTTCCTCTGGAAATACAATAATATATGAGCATATTAGATAAAATATTCAGCATATTATATGAATAGTAATAGAATTCTAATATATTTTTTTCTACAGTTATTAGACATGATATATATATATATTTTTTTTATATTTAATTTCAACATATATCTTACGTATTTGCAACAGGTATATCTGCAGATGCTGTCCGAATTTTATTGCATGCTGGTTTGATGAAGAGAGATGAAACTGATGGAAGCCCAATTATAACACAAGCTGGTTTTCAATTCTTACTTTTAGATACAGCCTCGCAGGTAATGTATTCTTATTAAGCCTAATCCTTCTCTTATATCTATAAATATAAAATATGCTCAATATTTACATAAGTATATAATGGTATTACTATACAATACTTTGTGTATTACAAATACTTTTTTCTAGGTATGGTACTTTATTTTGCAATATCTTGACACAATTGAGGCACGTGGTCTTGATTTAATAGAATGCCTTACTTTCTTATTTCAATTAAATTTTTCCACCCTTGGTAAAGATTATAGTACTGAAGGTATGTCTGAAGGTCTCTTAACATTTTTACAACATTTGAGAGAATTTGGACTTGTGTACCAACGAAAACGCAAAGCAGGAAGGTAAATATATGTTCATGTAAATAAAAAATAATGTTACTTAATATCAGTGTCTTTAAACTGCTAGTACTTATGATTTAATTCATTTAATTTGTTACCAGGTTTTATCCTACACGATTAGCATTGAATATAGCTACTGGTGAAACTAAACCATTAACCAGAGATACAGATAAAGAAGGATATATAGTTGTAGAAACAAATTATCGTGTATATGCATATACAAATTCAAATTTACAAGTTGCTTTACTTGGATTGTTCTGCGAAATGATATATAGGTATAGGCATAATCAATATTTTACAAAAAAAATTAGTAAAAATTTGGAAGCTCAAAATTTCTCAAGTTAATTTCATGTATAATTTGTGATTATAGATTTCCTAATTTGGTTGTATCTATATTAACCAGAGATTCTGTAAGACAAGCATTAAAAAGTGGGATAACTGCTACTCAAATAGTAGGGTATGACTATAATATCAAATTCTTCTTATAAACAAATAATATAAAATGTTTGGTACATACTATATATCATTTCTTATATCAACAGTTACTTACAGCAACATGCGCATAGCAAAACAATAGAAGCAGGACCACCTATATTACCCCCTACTATTGTAGATCAAATCATGCTATGGGAAAATGAAAGAAACAGATTTTTGTTCAGTGAAGGAGTTTTATACAGTCAATTTCTCTCTCAAACAGACTTTGAAGTTCTTAGAGATCATGCACTTACAACTGGAGTATTAATTTGGCAAAACGAAAGGTATGTTGGTTAAAAATCTTTGTCTGATCATTTTATAAAATAGTTTATAAGATAAATTTTATAAAACACACACATACATACACACACAAACACACACACACACACACACACACACACACACACACATATATATATATATAAACTAAATATGTTAGAAAACTAAACAGCTAATGTAGTTAGTAATTTTTTCATCTTGCAGGAAGAGAACTATAGTAGTTACCAAAGCAGGTCATGATGATATAAAAAAGTTTTGGAAACGATATTCAAAAGGTTCAACTTAATATTCGAGCAAGAGAGTTGTAGCAACGAAGAAAAATTTTACAAACACTACCATTACATTTTTTAGAGATACTACAAAGAAATTGTTTCAAAAATAAAGTGCCTAAAAGAATTGAAAAATGTACCATTCTCAAAAAGGACTAGCGAGAGAAATTTTTTCTAATATCAATGTCAAAAAAGACTTGTCTTTTTATTTCTATCATAAATTACAATATAATTCTCATAAATCGATATAATTTTCTTTCCCTTGAAGTATGCCCTTATTACATCAAGTGTAAACACAACTGATCAATGCATTGCTATTGTTCACAACTTACTTATAAGACACATTTCAATATGAATAAAAAGTGGCGTTTTTATCCGAATATAAATGCAGAATGCAAAATATTTTCGTTGTTGATACATTTCTATATATATCAAATGGTATCAAATGGAAAAAAGACAGAATTTCATTGAAACCTAACATGAGACAACATCCCAAACGTTTGGCGAAGAGAGAACTAGTTGTCAGCGCTGTGGTGCAGCTTTTGGTTTTGGCATTTTGGATAATAAGCCTTGAATCTCTTCCTTTTCATCAAACCTATTCCATAACTCATATAAATTTATTATATATCGTGCTATTTCTTGAATCTTTTCCATATCAGCATTTAATTCTGCAAACCACGACTTATGATCTTTTTGCAATATTACACAGGCTATTTGCAAGCAACCTGAAAAAACATACAAATTGTCTTAAAATTTCCTTGTAATATTAAATTATTGAGAACATAACAAAGAGGAAATAAAATAATTGAACTTACCAATTGCTATTTGATAAGGTGGATATAATAAACATACATCAGTCCTTAAACTATCGTTAATAATACGCCATGCAAGAGTAAGTAATTGATCATCTGGCCCCACATCTTGAATTAATGTTAATAAGGGACGGTATGGTTGATATACGATTAAACAACAATCTAAATGCTCCAATAGATAAAATTCACATTCCAAAATATGATTCGTACGATATGGAAATTCTTGTGAATATGCATAATTAAATTTAGTTTTAACTGAAAACAAGAGAGATTGATGAGTGCTATGGCAGTATTGATCATTAACAAACCATAAAAGTAAATTATATACTTATTATACTTACCTACAGTTTGGCATATTGTTATTAGTCTGGTATTAGAAATTACTCCAAATTCTTCAACTTTTGATGCCAAGAAAACTGAAGTAGGAGCTAATAATAGAGGATCTATGCATTTCAAACTATTGCGGGCATAAAATCGTTTAAAGTAAACTGTAGCAGTAGCTATCACCTGCTGCCTTAGCTTTAACTGCTCTCCCAAAACTTGTATTACTGTAATATAAAAAATAAATATAATTATATATTTGTTGTAAAGTTGAGAGGTTATTGTTTTTTAATATTATTATATTCAGATGCACGCTAATACTATGCCAAAAACAAAGTTGTAAAAGCCTTATTCTTATAAAAGATAGTAACAATTAATAATCATATATTGTATATGCAATATATAATTATAACTATAGAACATACATAGAATAATTAATAATGTAAAGAATAAAAATTTATCAAAATTGATACATACAATTATCGAATTGTACATCAGTATATATTAAACACAAGTAAGTACAAATTGCTTTTAGCTAATAAACATTTCAATACAAATTCATAATTTTTTGCAAAGTAAATATTATTTAAACTTACAATTAGAGAAGAAAATGAATAATTTCTGATATTCTTCTTCCGTTAATATTGATAAATCATGCTGACGTTCTCTAACCAAGTCTTGTTTATCCAGCAACCATTGTTGACTATTAAATAGAAAAATTTCATATGTCTGGTAGACACTCACACAATAAAGGTTTATTATAATATAATCTATAAAAATTAACTTACTGATGAGAGCTTTGCCAAAAATTGCCGGCCATTTTATAAAAAAAGATTATTCAATAAACTTTGATGCGTTGGATAATGCTGGCTGTCGAGAATCTTCGTTCTTATTATGTTGAACGTAATAATTATCTCCACATCTTCTAAACTGTGACTCCGCGCTCTTTTAAACATAAGTAAACTGATGGATTCAATTTTGTTTCATGTACAAGGTAAAATATTGAAGACAAAATCGTTAGTATATTTCATGAATAAATAGACATCTGCACAGAATAGTTATTCAAATCGTAATACATTAACCAACAACATGACGTTTTGTCTTCGGAAGGGTTTAGAAACGTTATAGAGAAGATTGAATAACTACTAGATGGGAGTCTCACATAGTAATAAGAGACGTTCTATCGATAAATCGATTCTTGCTCGTTCAAGACTCGATTATACTCTCGATATTTTTGCGCTATTAATATGCATATCGATAATTTTTAAAATTCCATTATAAAATTCTATTGTTGTATGATACCTACACGTATACAAAAAAATCACAATGATGCTTTATATGTTAATTTTTATGTATAAATTTATGTTTTATGTTATAATTATTGTGTGTTACAATTTTTTAAATTATATTTCCAATATTATTTTTGCTTTTTCTTTGAATAAACAGCAATTATGATTCCCGAATATCTAGAGACGATAGAGTATAATGGAAAATTTCTAGAGATTCTGAATCTAGTGATGTCAAGTTATTTATGATGCTTGATGGATGATGCTATATCCTTCTGTCGTGCAAAAGAGTTCGATGAAAATAACGAAAAAAATTGGCAAAAAGTGGTGGGCCAAAAATATTTTTTTGCAAGCTGTGCAATTTTCGGAACATGTCTTAGTCGTTTCTTGTTGTATTCGACAACTATACACAACTGTAGCACAACTTGCAGATTTTAATTATCCGTAACGATTCAAAAGTTACAGAAGTATGAAGTTAGAGACAGACATCAGCGGAAAAACTGAGATGTTCTTTTGGCTGTACTGTGGACTACGATGATCTGACGTAATTTTGCCATTAGGAAAAGTTGTTGAACTTGACTAGCGCAACTTGGCACAACTTTCAAAATTTCGAAAATGTAAAAAAAAATATTTTGGCCCATTACTTTTTGCCAATTTTTTTGTAAGCTGTGCAATTTTCGGAACATATCTTAGTCGTTTCTTGTTGTACTCGACTAGCACAATTCAGCATATACTCGCAGAATTCAAATATCTACCACGGTCCAAAAGCTATAGTGATCTGAAAATTATTCCTAAAAATTACTTTCTTTGAATGCTCGTATTGCGAAAATCAGCCATCTGAGGATATTTTGCAAGTAGAAAAAGTTGTTGGGCTTGATTAGCACAATCCGGCACAACTTTCGAAATTTTGAAAATGTGAAAAATTTTTTTTGCATCACCAATTTTTGCAAAGCTTTTTGCAATCTGAGTAGTTTTCGACATATCTTTAAATGGTTTCTTATTGTACTCGATTAGCACAATTCAGCACAATTTGCAGACTTGCGATAAATGCATTGTAAAAGAAGTTATTTGTTAATTTGTATTTTAACTTCAACATTTTTTTCTACTGAACAAAAGGAGATATCCAGTTTCTTCAAACGGTATAACGCGGCACAAATTAGTAGGAATTCACAAACAAAAATTGAGTTCATTCGGATAAAAGTGGGGGACTGGCAAATTTTCGTTTTTATTTTTTTTCTCAAATGTTATTGAAGTTATCGGTCTCGCGTTTGCGGCACAAATCAGCACAAATATAGCATAATACGGTACAATAAAGAAAAACTCAAAATTCGAAAAGTGCGGAGATACCAAAAATTTAGTTTTTCTTAATTTTCTTGAGTACGCTTTGAATTACAGAGTTGCGGATTGTAACACAATACGGCACAAACGTAGCACAATGCAGCACAATTCGAAAAAATACAAAATTCAAAAAGTACGAGGTCAACTTCGCACACGTTATAGCAAAGCTTTGGCCAACCACTACCGTGGTTTTTGACCCATCTGAGATGTCCCATTGAAAACGAGTTTCTTTCTCCTAATTATTAAAAACAAATTTGTTCGCTATTTTTACCGAACTCTTTTGCACGACAGAAAGGATACTGATACTAGGATTTCAAAATGATAATAGAAGTCTTCTTAATTTCAAGGTAAAAATATCAAAAAACTTTTGATTTGCAGAAATTTTTATATGCTTTGCAAAATTTTTATTATTACTTTGCAAAATATTTTACATAAATTCAATCTTGAAATTATTTATAACGAACGAAAATGTTTGTTAAAAAATAAAAAGCGGAACTCATAAAATATTCACTTTTTTCACTAAGTTTTTACGTAGCTTTTTATTTATATCGACTTATATGATTCTTTGTGCTTTACAATTTCGTTTCTACACTGTTATACAATATGGTTCGCAGTAAATATTCCAAGAAGAATTCACGGTATATGGTCATGAAATTTCTGACACCACTCAAGTCCACAGATGAGGCAAGTGGATAAATATCACATGCCACAACAGTTGATATTTCGCAAAATATAATTTGTTCGACGTACTATTTTCGCAATGACTGTAAAGAATGGGAAGAAGCAAAATAAGAATGGGAAACGCGGGACCCTCTTTTGTCTTACATAGTTTTCTATGACAACCCGTGATTATCGCGACGTTACGCTACGCAACGTCGTGCAACGTGCTATTAGCTGGAATATGTATATCACCTGGATAAGGAAGCGTTGTCCGAATCTTGATGTAGAAACGAACGACGCGCGCAAACGAGTCGAAGGAAATGCAGTCGGCAGTGAAACAGTATTACAATATTAATAAGATCTTCATGTCGAGGATCGGTGGTTGGCCGACCCAAAGCATTTTCATGAAGATATTGTTGCCGACCGTAATATTATCTTTCGTATTCAGCATCGGTTTTCTCGAGGTAACGCACATATATATGCTCTGTGACTCATTAGGAATTATTGCACGAGTGAAATACGAGGAAAGTGTCTTGTAATAACGTATAAACGACTCACTTCATGCTGATCCAGGCGTGATTGAAGATCACGCGTTTGATTTCGCGAGGTTCACTGGAAAACGTCTCTAAAACGTCGTTTTGTATCCACCTGCCGCTGAAGGAAATGATCGATCAGTTTCGTTTTTATATATCGTAATTACACGATACATTTTTTTATTTGCGAAATCAAATCCTATCAAATGATAGGTTGATAATATGATTCGGAACAGTCATTCGGTTTTGCTACTTCTTTCGTCCTTGTTTTATACATGCCAACAATGTACGTCGTTTTTCACACAGGTAGGTGCATCGTTACAAACGTGCGCGCGCAATGTGCTTGCATAATTATTATTGCCGATTTTCAGTTTGTAAGATTATTAGAAACTTGGCATACCATTATGCAAGACTGCGAATGTCTAATTATAGTACTGATTGCGATTGGAGGTCACGTAAAATTATTCGGCATAGTTCTCAATAATAAAAACGTAAGATTTATATGAGCCATAAGATCTTTTCTTGTGTAGTCTTTATTATAATGTATTACTTGTATATCTTGATGTCATCGTTTTTTTTAGATAGAACGATTATTATCTCTCATCGATTATCATTGGCAAATTTTTACGCATTCTTTAGAAAAACAGATTATGCATGATTACGCTATTGTAGGGAAAAAAATGACGATAAGTTATGCTGGTAATAATGAAATGGACTTGAATTTGACTTGAATTTTTTAGCGAAAAATATTTTACATCAAGGACATGCAAAAGTTTGTCAAATATTTAGTCATACTTCTGTTAGTAGGTAGATTGGTTAATAGCAATGAAATAGCATAAAGTATCATCATTAAAAGTACAAATAAAGTATTCTCATATTCCGTTATCTTGCAAGTGATTATTTTGTTTTACGCTTGCAAAATGACTTATTTTTTGAGCCAATGAAATTATCGACGATTCGATGAACTTTTGCAAATCCCTAATATCTATATATGCATATGCGTGGACTTAATGTTATTTCATACATATCTTACATTCTGTACACAGTGCGTTAAGTATATAATAACGATTATATATAATATATTATATTGTACTGTATTGTATTGTATTGTATTGTATAATATACAATATATTGTATTATACAATAATTGTATTGTATAATATACAATATATATAAAACAAAATTACGACGTATATATTTGCAGTTAGCCTTTATACATTAATGAGCCTATACATGCTGATACCAATAATACCCAAGTTATTGGATCTTGTCAAGCCACTTAACAAATCGCGTCCGAATGAATATCTCTTCGATGTCGATTATAGTTTCGACAGGGATGAGTATTACTATGTTTCATTACTCCATTCGTATTTAACAACTGTGATGACTATTAGCATCATGGTAATAATCGATACGATCTATATAGTGTTCGCTCAACACGTATGCAGTCTATTTGCTGCTATCGGGTACAAGTTATAGTATAATTATTCTTACCAAAATAAAAGAAAGCAAAATATCATAACGGTTTCGTGACTATTAATGCATATTGGTATTGAGCATTTTGCTTATATTTTGAGGCGACGGCTAGAAAATCTGGGGATAAATTCGAAGGAAAGTGATTGGCTTATTGAGAATATAGAGATGACGCGTGAGAGACGCGGTTCGATGGATTGCATACTGCTTAACAAAGATGACGAGGTCTATCGTGAATTAATAGTCATTCTACAAAAGCATCAGCTCAGTATCGAGTGAGTTTTACTCGAGTTTTATCGAGGGAGTATCATCAGCCTTCTTAATATCATAAAAATTTCGCAAATAATTGCTTTATTTGATGCACCTGTGTGTTTCAGATACGTTTCTATATTAGATTCTACGTTTGCATTGTATTCATTAATATTGCTGGCTCTCAATATTATAGTTACGAGTCTGCTTGGGCTTCAAGTAAGTGTACGATAATATTAAAACGCTGACCAGAAATTATTTTATATTTCGTCATTAATTCGAGAGATCTATATAATTTTCAGATATTGTCGTTAATGGATCACAAGAAACAAATGATTAGATTCGCTTCGATGTGTATAGGTGCTTTTATGCATCTTTTCGTTTTAAGTTATCCTGGCCAAAAAATAATAGACCATAGTACAGATGTATTTCATAAAGCGTAAATACATATTTTATGAAACTTCTTCTGACGTTAGCGAATAATCAAGAAATGATAAAGATACAAAAACGTGATAAAATATCAGAGAAAGTCAAACAGTATCTGTGAGTTTGCTATTTCTTTATCAGTCAAAAGTTAATCTCTTTTTAGGTACAATATGCAATGGTACAAAATGTCACGAAGATCGATACAACTATTGAGCATATTGCTTTACAGATGTTACGTACCTTGTACGTTAACGGCTGGCAAAGTATACGTGTTGTCGATGGCTAATTATGCCTCGGTAAGCAAAATTCTTAAAAATTGGTCTTTCTCTTGAAACGCGTGATAAAATTATACAATTATTTGAAATTTTAAGATGGTGCAGACATCTATATCTTACTTCACCGCCTTTTTATCGCTCAGTTGAGTCATGATGGAAGAGATTATATCAAATTATCTTGTAGTAAAATCAGTGTTCATTTAATTAATTTCCGCCTTATGAATAGAAAAATAATTACATTCTGCAAAAATAGCAAGTGGAATTAAAGTAAAATGGAAAAAGAACTGCATCTGTGAAAAGTTTACGAGAAATCATTACTATAAATTTAGTTTCCCTATTCTTGCAATCTGCATATTTTCACTTTATCGAGGCAGATTATTTTGATTGTATTGATAATAAGTCTTATGTCATTTATGTACAAAGATAAGAATTATTCTCGGAATTCTTTTTTATTCGGCATAATAATTCAAGACAGCTGATAGTAGATATATGCTGTTAAGTATATATGCTATATATTAAGTAATAACATAATTTGTGTGAAAATAATATATAAGTATTATGTATTAAAGAATTGTAAATAAAATAGTCGATATATTCGCACTTCTAATAATGTAAAAACTTTACTTACAATAGCACAACAAATCAATTGGTAACAATGTGCAAATTGACATGTTAACTTCAACGATAACATTAAACGATTAAACATGCATGGAAAATTAAAATTGTTACTTGCAAATATTGTTTTCTATCCGGGGCTGGTTATAAAATGCATAAGCGCCCACAACTTTTATTTGACTTTAATTATGTTATAAAACTCATAAACATCGTCTCCTGTTTCAATTTTGATAAAAAAAATTGAAAGCAAAGCAATTTAAAATTTCAATGTAAGAATGGCGATAACTCGAGGACGCATTTCCGGACCTATGTTTATATCAACTTTCTTTCTTGCTTTTGGGTTTTCATTCATCTCCTGAGCGATTGATCTCAACTTACGAGACACTTTATATATTTGTGTGTGTGTGTCTATGTGTCAGTATAGACACACACACACACACACACATATATGTATACATATACTAATATCTGCAATTTTTAGATGCCAATCAAATAATGCAAACAATTAAGAGGTAACATCTGTCTAGAATTTTCAAAAAATCTAAATTTTTTTTGCTTTAAATAATACCTTAAGGTGTTAAAAATAAAGTACAATTGGTTTTATAGTGCAAAACAATTTTTTTGAGCCTATTTTGTAAAACGCGCCGCAGCGCTTTTTATGACTTATGGCAACGCACGCCAGTCCCAAGCAACTGTAAGCGTTTGAGCTCAGAGAATAATAAGGGTTCAGTTACTTGGAAATCCTAAAATTCTCATTGTAATAATAGATGGTGTTAGTAGCTTTTTAAAGCATGAAATATATTGGATACGGCCAGTACAGCTATTGAAAGAACACCGTCCGCTGTGTTTTGATTTTGTACTTTTGAATAGCTTCAGCTTTTGTTTCTTAGCTTCTTTGTTTAGAATATTAAAAATAATTAATACAATGAGTAAAACAATGTATCTATCTAAAAAAGAAACCAAGACTAATACACTTGATTTCTAAGAAAAAGTGGCACGAAAAAATGATCGTTGAATCGGTTTAATATGGAGTCGACGTTCGAGAGTGTGAACACGTCAGCCAAGAAACTAAAGTCATCTGATAAAAATTACGAAGTGGAAGTGAACGAATCGTTTGGCTACGAGAGAAAAATCACTCGAAGAAGGCCAAACTAATGATATAACTGTGTCAAGCGGCAGGACTTGGCGAAAGCACGGCTTTTCATCTTTGTTTGGATTGATAATATTATCGAATGGTACACTGGAAAAATCGTCGATTTACTCGTAAAATCGAAAAAGAAAGATTATAGGAGCCAATTGTTACGATTTCTGCACAGAAGTCGATGAGCGCCGCGTCAAACATTCAACAAACTGTTCACTTACGGAAATTGTAAAACAGCTTGTTTAGCTTTAAAATATGCTAGAAAAGAAGAAAAGGAAGAAAATGTAAATTTGGAAAGTCAATTCTATGGTACAGGCATTGCAGATTAAAGATAAATTAAAAACTTCTATAGTTAAATATAAGATAGTGCGACGTAAAACTGTAAACGCGTTTTTCTCGAAATCACTTTCTTCAAATTGGCTTGCGGCATAACTTTGGTAAATTTTATTCGATTCACTTGAAATTTTTACTGTAACTTCTTCGATATATTCTTCAAAGAAATACATACGGATTTTACGATTAATGAAAAACTTTTTTTATTATTAACAATTTTCTACGAAATTTTTTGACTAAAAGTGAGATTTTCTTTTCAAACATGCGCCATTTTAGCAGAAAAACAATATTTTAAAATTTCCGTACGTGTTTTTCTAGCTAATCTTATGTAGAATCTAAAAATTTTTGGTTTTTTGTCCTAGGTCAAGATCCGTGGCAGCTATGCTGCAAGGAGCGTCCCGGAGCGGCTCTCGAGAAAAGCTACTTCGCTGACAGAGCTCTAGCGCCGCCATTTTGAAAAAGAAAAATCTGAAAAGATTTTTTTATACTCATTAAAACATGTACAATAAAGATCTCTATTCATATTTTTTATCTATTTTAATATGCGACTGTGAAAAATGATTAAAATTATGCTTTCTTTCGGGGACCTGGATAGATGTTACCCCTTAAAAGTTTCTTTTCATGCTTGGAAGATGATATTTTTAGTATGAAGTGCTTCCCAACTTAATTCAAATCTTACTGTAGAAGCGGATGTAGCTGAACCTGAGGTCACTGGTCTGACCATAACATTGCTGCGATATATCTCAACGACGATGCGGACTTCATGGTGGGGTCGCACGTGTCATCCCTTTTATCATTGTGATATAACGTGATTGTGATATATAAGTTCGAGTCAATTCGAACCTTTGCTCGTGTACTTTACCGGCATAACGCGCGTGCGTGACCACGGCGTGCCCTCGACATCACGAGCGAGAGAAACATGGCAACTCTTTTACCTCGCTAGTCGATTTGCGACCATCGGCGCGTGTAGATCAATGATAAAGGAACGTCAACGACAGTGACATTCTTATTGTTCCGCAGGTACATTATCACGAATTCTACCACATACAATACAATACTGTCAAATTTACGATATCTTCTCGGTCTCTGTCACAATCCAAAATTACGTTATATCTTTCGATATCGGTGCTGTTCGTTTTCGTTATAATCAAAAGTTACCGCGTCTTTACCCTCAGTAAACTGAACCTGTATTTGAATAGAAATCGAAGACGTGACAAGTAATTACAGCGCAGATTGAGTTACGTACTACATAGAGTGCTCGCGTTTACTGCTAAGCGTTGTCTTCGTTTAAGTGACAGATTTAACAGTAAAAGAAGAAGAGAAAGAGAAGAACGTTTTATCATTCATCGAAAATATTGATGGCTTCTTACAAATTGTCAAAGTCCGCAGCAGAGATTTTCAAATACATGACTAAACTTATTCCTCTTCTACTTTCTCTATTTTTTCTGGTTTAAGAAACTTCGCGGTTTTTGCTATCACGCGATAGTAATTATCAAGACGATATGAATGACGTATGATGCAAAAATACTTGAGGTTGTACAAGGTCAGAAATAAGAAAAATCAGTCAAGGTGCATTTTGTAGTATCGTATTCACCGTTATTCATAATAATCCCGCTATTCTCATATAACGTACACATATAACGTATACACGATTGATATATATCGAGAATAATAAGAATAATTCTCAGTGAGAAATGACTCGTCGATTGAACTCGACGTTGAAACGATGTGGAATTGATGTCGATTTGAAATTTCGACATCGACATCGATCCACGAGTCATCCTCGCTGAATTGTACAATTTGCGTAAAAAATATAATTTTAACTTTAGGTTGAGAAAAGGAAAGAATGTGGACCGTAGGGAGAGCAATATATGAGAGAATAAAAAGAATTATGTATATATTCATCTTTCTCCGATATGTTGACTAAAAAAGTACGCGCAGAAACGAGCACGGGTCATTGAACTGTGGTGACGGCGCGTGTACGATATACATCCTGTGTGCAAAAAGATTGAGTTCAAAAGAATTTAGTATTGCATGGATCCTCAAAATTTCTTTGAAAAGCAACAAGCTTGCAAAATCGCTTACAATGCAAAAATTATAAAACTAATTTGTAAATTTCACTTAACTCACAGATTCACGTAAAAAAATTCGGTTCTTACATGTGACGATATTAATTAAAAATTTCAACATTTACTTAATCGACGCACGTTTAAATGCTTATTCTTCTGAAGAAAACATTTGATATTGATTAATAATTAATTATTTAAGAATTACCTATCGCTTACCTCAATATTGTTTTCGTGAAAAAAATTGATTGCATTTTGGCCAAAGAATTTATTGCTAGCTATATTTGTGGATGAAAGAGGACATCCGACAGTTTCGAGATATTCGAGATACTTTCTAAGTATAAAAAGCGTAAAAGGAGAAACACTGCTGGAAAAGGAAAAGCAATGTATTATAATCACGATACGTCGTCATTATGTACAATGTAATTAATTATGAAGCAAAGTTCTTGGAAAAACATTCGGTAATAATTTATACGCGCCGCGAGGTCGAACAATACTCATCGTCGGAATCTTATTAATAATACGCTCTTGTTAACACATAAAAATGTAAAACGTCCAGCGAGTTAAAACGATGTCAGTACACACGTGTCCGGTGTATATACAGGTCGGCACGTGTACGCGTGTGTGTGTCGTGTGGAAGCATTCGTCCGCGATCTCTAATAGAGTGTGCGGGGCAGAATGACGTAAGACGGCCTTCCACGTGCCCGCCCGCATCGTAGTCCGCACGTGTACTACTATACAACCTTAACGCTTTAATCGAGTTTTTCCCGCGAATGCCAGAATTATCGCTGCGTTTCATCAGCGTCGTTTTAGCACGATCGGCAGAAAACGCAAATACGCGGTGACTTTAAGGCGCGGTGAGAGTGACTTTACTAAGCATCGACATGTGGCAAAAATAGAGAGTGATGATGACATTCCACTGGCCGTAAAAGAAGTTTAAAAAATTCTGAAAAATATTACATGGTTTGTAGATGTTCATTAAAAAAAAGAAATTGCTCAGCCAAACGAATAAAAGTATATCTAAATATTTAAATATAAATTAACATAATTTTATAATATATTAATATTAACATAATATGTTAATTGTTATATTGTATTATGTTAATAACATAATATGTTAGTATATGATAATTTATTAACATATTATATAATTTATTAACAGTTTATATATCAAAGTTTAAATGTCAATAACTAATTTTTTACTATATGTGGAAGTTCCCAGGTCAATCGTTTAATCGTTATCATCGATTTCTAGTCAATTTCCTTTTTGCTTAATTTTGAGATGTCTTATCTCTTAAATATTTAAATATTTTATAAACATTTAGATATTCAATGAGGAAATAAATTAGATTAAACTTTCGTCACAATAAAAATTTCTCAAGAGGAAATATTTTCAAAATTGTTTAGAAGATTAAAATTTCAATGGCTTCAAAGGACCTTTAATTTTAGTTGAAGTAAAACCTCTTACTTCCCGATATTTTAGTAAAAAGCACGTTATTAAAAGTTCGACTTTGTGTGAAAGTTGGCTAAAGAATTCGCGAATTGAAGAACATAAGATCGATTTGAGATTTGGAAGTCTGTGCAATATAATGGCAAATATCATATATGCGAGCAAACGTGATATGTTTATGCAAATTCTGTCAAACTTTATACGCTGCAAGATACGCTGCGAGATCTCGTGAATATTAATAAAAAAAGGATTGTAAATAATGAAAGATTGGGAGCGCGTGTATGCCACGTGCGATGCAAATATTCTACCTGTTCAAGTTTCCGCACACTAATGTCAAGGACTTTTCGCATTTATTTACCATGCATCATATAGCCGCGCGTCATGCTCGCACGTGGTGGAGAAGATTCGAGGTCAAAACAATCTCAAATATATACGCGCCGCGTTCCGGGTGGGAGTTGAGGCTTTAGTATTATTTCGGCACGTGCAGGCACGTGCAGTGACGTTAACGGTAATCAGGTCATCGCCTGCATTGATCGTGTCGCCGGGCGATAAGAGCGACACAGGAAGAATATCCGCGTGCAGGACTCTATGAATTGAACATATAGCGCTGTAGTATCTAAGATTGATCTCGTGTACAATCTCATACGTAGTGTTATTTATACCTCAAATCGGATCGATATTGTTTTATACTATTGAGAATTCTGCTCTTCCGTTACTAAAATTATTACCAGGATAGAGAGAATTATCATTCTTTTCTTTGTTAAATAATATCAAATAACATCTAAATCGCATAGTTAGGAGCATGTCAAAATTTATATTTATATGTAAAATGTATGTTTAAAAAAAAAAAATACTTATGTTTCAGGCGTTTTTTTCGAAAGAAAAAGAAAATGCCATCGATTTGTTTTACGGAATTTACAATAGCGGGAAATACCGTTAACGCGTACGTTTGCCAACGACAAAGAACACAAAACGCTGTGAATATCGAGCGGCAAGCATTGGACCTGGAACAAATGCTACAAAGCGGAACCATAGGTGAAACACCTCTGACATCTCGCACATATCCCTCATCGAAATTAGGACGTACGGTTTCGAACTATTCCACAATAGACAAAAGTGAAAGTCTTCCAAGTAACACAGACGAACACTACGGGAAGCTTATTGCGCCAAGGAAAGGTATAACAATTATTAAAGAGTTATCTTGAACTTTTGCAACAAGCTGGCCAGCAAACTGAATTTTGCAGCAAACATGAAGGCGTTTTTCTTTTTTTATTTAAATACATCTATCGAAAATAGTATTTTGTGACATATATGTATAAAGTCCTTTTATCGTGATATTCATATGATGAAGATTGCCGCTAACTTTTTTGAAAACATTTTAGACAAACGCTTGCCAGCAAATTCTTAATTAAAAAATTTAAACAAAGCGTACTGCAAACGTTCCCTGATTTTAAACTGATTGAGCTTGATAATTGTCTTATTTTGTTTTAACGGTTAATATTTTGTTCTTGATGCATTTTTGGATTATTTCCATAGATCTCTTGAGTATCGTTATCCGTACGATAACTCTTGTACGACAAAATTGTATCCTTCAAAGACGTGTAGATGCTTTGCAAACGGAAACGCAGAGGATTCTTCGTTCAGTACTAAATAAATCAGAAAATCAGCGTCAACAAGATAGATTGCAAATATCGCAACTTGAAAGTGAGATTGTCTCATCATCCACGGACAAGGTTGTCTCCATGACATCGGTATTACTCGATTCTGATTCAATCGGAAATTCGCTTGGTCCCTCTCATAGAGTTACTTCTACCTGCAATAATCATGATTACAATGAAAATTGTGCATTCGTGTGTAAAGAATAGGGTTACTAATCAATCTTTCTGTGCATTTATCTCTTTGCCCTCCCATCCATATTTATAAAAAATTTTATTCTATATATACATATGTACAAAACACACACATACACACACGCATATATACATAATGCATCTGTATTTATAAATGCATATATAGAATAAAATTTTTATACATGTAATGAACTCTTCTCTCAACGAACAAACAAGTCAAGCTAATAAAAGCCTATCTTAAATATTATAAATTTTTAAATAATACAAACTAAACGAGAACATTTCGTAACCGGAAGCAGCGATAATCTATGATTCTTGTAACATTTATAAACTAATATAGAAATCTTTGCGGCATTACTTCTGTTACAATTTCAAAGTAACGTATTACCGTAATCTTAGAGAATTAAAATGCATTTTATCACATTTATCACATGATTTTCTTTAATATATGAAATTTATTAATTATATCCCTGAGATATATGTATTATAATTATCATACAATTGTAAAACTAAAGTATAGATTAAATGCAGTGTGCTAACATTGCTTTCGATCTGTCGGTTAAATGTAAATATTTCAAAATACATCACGATTATGTGCACAATAAGTAATAATTCTTTAACTCTGTGAAATATCTATCAAATTCTTTTATAAATATATTATTTTTATATATACGCACGCACACATCCACACATTATTACTATTATTATTAAAATACATTGCTTTCATACCATGTGTTCTACTAGATAAACATAAGCAATTATGTTAAATAAAATGCATTTTAACTCTTCAAGATTACGGTAATACGTTATTTTGGAATTGTAACAGAGATAATGCCGCAAAGATTTCTATATTAGTTTATAAATGTTTGTAATTAGTTTATAATTACAAGAATCATAGATTATCGCTGCTTCCGGTTACGAAATGTTCTCGTTTGGTTTAGATTATTTAAAAATTTATAATATTTAAGATAGGCTTTTATTGGCCTGACTTGTTTGTTCGTTGAGAGAAGAGTTCATTATATGTATAAAAAAAATTTTACTTATGAAGTACTTCATAAAATTGATTTTGCAGCCGATCACATTTTCAAATATGTTTCAAATTACCAAAAAAAAATCAAAAAAACTTGTTTCTTTATGCGATATCTTCCACCAATTTGGTGCACGATATTTAACTTTTAACTTTTATAAGATATACAAAATCTTAATTGGATAATTTAACATAATTGTTTATGTCTATCTAGTAGAACACATGATACGAAAGAAATGTATTTTAATAATGATAGTGATAATGTGTGGACGTATGTGTGCGTATATATAAAAATAATATATTTATAAAAGAATTTGATAGATATTTCACAGAGTTAAAGAATTATTACTTATTGTGCATAATTGTGATATATTTTGAAATATTTACATTTAATCCACAGATCGTAAACAATGTTAGTACACTGCATTTAATCTATATCTTAGTTTTACAATTGTATAATAATTATAGTACATATATCTCAGGGATATAATTAATAAATATCATATATTGAAGAATTTCGTATATTGAAGAAAATGATGTGATAAATATTCTTTTAACACGAATGCATTATTCAATCAAATTATATGTAGAAACAACCAATAGCATTTGTGCCTAAAAGTGCATGTATTATGTATGCGTCTAAGCGCTACTTTTTATCAATATAATAGAGCAATACAAATATGGATATTTATGATAGAAAGGCAAGTAGAGGCAATTAGATAATATTTAGATTCGATGTAGTAATTAGATTTAATTATAACATTTTCTCTAGATTTTATCGTCCATATAATCACGAAAAATGTTTTAGGAATCTGATCTTGTGTATGCAAAAATAAATTTATCGCAGAGAATATTTAGAAATATCTCAATATAACTAGATATGACGTGATATATCTTAATATAATATGAAGACATGTTAATTCTAAACGAGTATATAGTTATCGGCACAAAAGTTCTAAATTTTATCATAGTTCATAAACACTAACAAAAACAAGTATTGATAATTTATCTCGATTTTTTATTGCATATTTTTATTTTAATACTACCCATGTAACACTTATGCAACTGTGCAATACGTATTTAAATGTATAGTAAAAAAGTAAATCTAATTTAACATTGTATGTGTGTGATTGTAATACTTCATAACTATCACTGAAATTTATTATATATTTTATTTAGATTTTATTTAACAATGATTTTCTTTGTAAATATTATTATACTAAACTGTACAAAGTCTAATTTACATCAAATTCGAACATTATCCTCTGATATTCACAAAGTAGTGAGTTTTTTATAAATATGTATTTTTCGTTTTTGCTTTAAGATGTCATATGTTTAATTGCTGCTAATGTGCTTCCGGTGATTGAGATAAAAGTACTACCAAAACCCAAAATTGGAGCAATGCCTGTAAAAAGATACATGTATTATATAAATATGTCTTTTTATAATGTTAATGACAAAATTACATATCCACGTATATATGTATACTGACCATGTAAATCAATACTAAGATTCTAGCTAATGGATATCTCCTTAGAAAAACCCCCGTTCGGACGCTTATGGCATCCAATGAAGAGTAAGCTCTTTTTACTCTTCTCGTAACGCTCGTGTCAAATGGTGTTTCCATTAAAAACGTGGGAACTTGAGCTTTTGCGTCGTCTGTATCATTCATATTATTGTACGAAATATTTCGTCGTAAATTGCCAACAGCATTTCTATACTCGTGCTGTTGGAAAGATTATCTTGTTAGTGTACATTTTGTTATGTATAAGATTTAAAAATTATTCGCAAAATATTTTATATCTTGCATATATCTATGTGAATCTCAAGCCTAAAGCAATATATTACGAAATAAATTACAGCGTATCATATCATACATATTACTCTATGTTGCACAATATGCAATCTATTATATTTACCTCAAGCTTTTCAAGTTGAAGACGTAACGCGTTTCTTTCTGTTGTCAAGCATTCCAATGCTTGCTGTTTTAAAACCAGAGTTTTTGTAAGAGATGTTAATCTCAAGTCCATTTCATTACTCGGTATTGCCGATGCAGACAACTGTAACCTAAGCTTAGAAATCTCTGAATCTTGTTTTTGTAATTGTAAACTGAATCCATTGCGTTCAGTAAGTAATTCATCTTTCAAAGATCTTATTTCCTGCAATAATATTTTTTTATTAACCTAATTGTTCACAACTGTAACTTCATTTATATAAATGCAATAAAGAGGTGCACAAATATACCTCAGAACGCAGTCTCACATCTTCTTCTGCATCTAACCTTCTACGTCTTTCACTAGCAAGAATTTCTTGATTTTGTAGATTTGTTTCAACTGATTTTTGTTTAATTTTTTCCAAATTCAGATCTGCATTTATCAGTTCTTCACGTAGCATCTTTAACTGGTGACACATTTGTTGATTTTCCTCTCTAACGCTATCGCGTTCCTGCCTATAATTAATGTAACAAATTATATCGTATCCTATAAAGAGAATAAGAAAATTTTATAATATATTAATATTATATACTTCAATTGATTTAATTCCATGACAGTAGCTTCATCCATAGCTGTTGATGCATTATTTTGCAATTCTGCTATGAGTTTTTCCTTTTCTTGTAAAGTTTTCAATGCTCTAGCTTTATGTTGTTCCAATTCTGATCTGATTGAGTTTAATTCTTGCCTGCTTCTATCAATAATAAATTGCAAATCCATTATTTGTTTTGACTGCTCTAATTTTTCTGCTTCAAAAGCTTTTAATTTTTCATTTAACATTATAATCTCCTTTTGATGATCTGTTTCCTGTTTCCCAAGTAATTCATTCTGTTTCACTAAATTTATTTCCATCTCTTTCATGTACTTTTTTATAAATTTATTTTCTTCTGAATCGGCTAAATTATTTAAATTATCTGATTTCAAGTTATTGACTTTCACTTTGTATTCAGGTAGAGAATAGAAAATATTTGAATATCCTTTCATGCCATTATGTTCTACAACAAAAAGTGCTAAATAAAATTTTGATTTTATATTATAAAATTATATGTCACACATACATATACATATATATGTATATATATATATATATAAAAAATACCATTTTGTACATGGACCTCTATTGCTTGTTTGTCTATGCGTTCACAGTCTAAAGTGCATAGTTCAGCATCTGTTTGTGCATCTTTATCATCTAAAACATCTATAGAGATATGAGTTGGAGTTGGGCTAATTCGATCACTATGAATTGATAGCTCTGAGTCTGTGTCATCAGTAGGATGTTCCACTAGTAATGAAGAGGTAGTTGATGGTGATTTCAAGGATTCTGTTGTCCTTTTTGGACTTGGTTCTGGAGTATTTAAGTATGTGAACAGAGCATCATCTTTAGGTGCTGATACATTTAATAGATCTAATGATGTTAAATTTAAAGTAGGACCAATATAGGATATACGATTTGAAGATTCCAATAAAGATACCTTGGATGCATCTTCATTTAATCTAAAAAAGAAACAATGTTTAACAAATTTCTATTTACTGAACTGATTAATTTCCTCCGTTATATTAGTAAACATCATTTTAATAGTTACTTATTGAAGATTATCTAGAATTAAAATTTTATGGTACAAACTTATATCTCGTAAAAAAACGCATAAGATAATAGATAGAGAATAGAATAAAGTAATAGAAATTTATTGAAACTCGTAAAGTGATCGCTAATCAAAATGTTTATCGGCAATAACCTGAAATTAATATATGAACATAATTACCCTGATTCCGGAGAAAGCCACGTAACTTCTGACAGATGACTATGTGACATTTCGTACTTATCTTTATTCAATACAGCCGCAGTATTCTTATCAATTTTATTTAATAAATTTTCTGCCTTATCAGCAAGATCTGACAGCCAAGCCATAATAAAAAAAAAAAACTAATAAGAACTCTCTTGATTAAAATAGCAAATACAAAGAATCATATGATACACGTAACAATTATTCAATGAACAATATGTCATGGTGAACGCGGTGAACGCAACTAAATATTGACTATCTGCTGTCATCTAACGCTGTTTATCAGGAACTAATAAATCTGGTAATTGACTACAGACGGCACCTAGCGATATTTTTGAGAAACTAATTGCGATATTTACCATTTCCTGTTTGTACCTTCAGAGTCTCCATTAAACAATGACTATACTATATATATATATATATATGTATATATATATGCATGTATGATGTATGTATGTGAATATATATATACAGGATGTAGTGAGAAATAATGTTATGTATTACGCTTTTATAATGCATTACTACTTTATTTACACTTTTTCGTATTTGATCTTAGTTTAAGCAGCCGAGAAGTCAACCATCTGAACTTGCCGATACGATACGATGCATGCAACATCTATACACGACTCCGTGAACTATAGTGCTGTCGGTAATGCTAAATCGTGTGGTAAAAAAAGGTGAATTACTTACTCGTTTATACCCTGTATGTATCTTTTAAATATTTCCCAATTATGATGAATACTTGAATATTAAACAAATTCCCATATTAAACGTATATTACTTTATTTACATTTGAGCGACGGATACAGAGTAACTTCTATCGAATTGCAGTAATACTAATATTACTACTATTAATGAATAAAAAATAAATGTCATAATTGCGATGCGCCATGAGATAATCGGATATCGAGAGATAATCGGTATCGTAAGTAAGTAACGCAGTTAAAAGTATCAAGAGAAATATAACATAATGTGCAATGCACAACATTGCGCAATTGCACATTTCTTAATTTCATTAAACATAAGTTAACGGACCGGGGCGATAACGTATCAAGCCACACGGAATAAATTATCATAAACAAGAGAAAGCCTTCATAAACCTTCAAACTTATTTTTTCATACACTGCGTTTGAAAAGCGTAAAAAGAATTAATTTGCGGCGCAACGAAGCCAATAAATAAATACAAGTCTATGGATCTGGTGTGTCTTTACACATCATGTGACTTAGCATATTATTGCCTCAAAACCTTCAACTGCTTAAAATCCTTATACGATCATAACAATTGGATAGGGAGAAGATCTAAATATGAATGTGTACACACAGAGAGATGAAAGAGAAAAGATGAACTAATGTACATAAAATTAAGTATTCCAACGCTACAACTGCACACCATTATCCAATTGATCTCAGTCATCACATTATTTACTGTCTCGTCCTTTCTATATACTCTCACAGTAATTATTGTTTTTGTATAACATTAAACATTTCATACAAAATATATAGAGATAATTTAATATATATGGTAGAAAATTATTTATTAATTGCTGTAGATATAATTTTTAGTTTTGAGTTTTAGTAGTTAAACTCTTGAGTCGAAGTAAATCCAGATAAAATATAAATACCTAGATGAGATGAAATTTTATCTACTTGAGTTTTTAAAATTGATTTCCAAATCAATTTTCTTTCATCTTTGTTATAAAATAATTTCATAACTACTTGAGAAATCTTAATATTGGGACACTATCAATTTTTTAAAATTTGATCTGAATCTAAATTTGATCTGAAATCTAATATCTGAGATTCGCTTATTAAAGATTCGAACAACGTATTTGCATGATATGAGACATCTTGTCGATAAATAATATGAAGTTAATACATAAATCAGGAATCAATACTGAAAACAATACAACGCATGCTTATTTGATTAACATATATAATGGTGGGTATTAAAAAATCCGTTTTAACGATTTTTTGGTAACATAGGCGTATGAATATTCGAATATTTCTTCGAAATATAAATAATATGTTCAGGTGTACGGTTATAGCATTTAATACGACGCGTTTATATCGTGCTCCAATCAGTAACCATCTTAAGATAAAAAAATTAATATTTTGTAGATTCTTTATATCATTTGATATCATGAGATATTTGCGAAAACATTGTAGATCGATTATTAACAGTAATTGGAGCCAAAATATATGGATAAAGTTATGCTAATGATCAAACCGTACGCGATTTCTTGATAAATCATTCCTCGATACACTAACAACGTTAGAGTTAATTGTAACAAAGTGGGAGATAAAATCGAATAATATAGAACTACATATGTATACCCCTAATTTTATAGCTATGAATATTCAGTTATTTTTGTTTTTTTTTCTTTTTATTATTATCTGCAATAAACTGTTAATCTTAATTATTCGTTTTCATGTTAAATTACATTCCTGTACATAATGTCCGACGATACTAGTTTGACATATAACATATATTAATACATATGCAAAAGATAGATGAATTATATTAAGATTCAAAGAGAGTTTGGTGGATCGTCCTATTTCAAAGGAATGATTTAAAAGAGAGCATGTACAAAGGATTTATCGCTTAGCTTCGAGATCAACATGTACAGGAATATCTTCTCTACATAGCTATAATAAAAATAAATTCGTGATAATAAATAAATAACAAACATATACATATTACAGAGTGTGATGTTTAGTGGAAGACTGTATTAAGGTTAATATATGGGAGATTTTTATGTTTTAAACTTTGAGCAAGGGTTCCAAGAATACAGTTGAAATATTGGAATTAGTAGCAAAAATTGTAATTACATATCATATTAATAAAATACCGTGCAAATCGTCCTATTAATAAATGATGATTACGTGCGAAATAATTGTAAAGTGATTTAAAGAAACACTTTATGAGCATGATATGGAAATAATAATGAGATGGAAAATATATAATAAAGAAAATACAAAAATTACAAAAAATATAAAATATTTTACCATCGATGTAATAAATATAATAAATAAATGTAGAAATAATATAAGGATACATATTCTTATATTATTTCTATATTATAAAGTATATAAAGTGTGTATATATATATGTGTGTGTGTGTGTGTGTGTGTGTGTGTGTGTGTGTGTGTGTGTGTGTGTGTGTGTGTATGTGTGTGTGTGTGTGTGTGTGTGTGTGTGTGTGTGTGTGTGCACATATAGGTATGCATATATTATGTTACATAATATAGACTAGAGTTTGAATATTTCAAAAAGCAAATAGACATTGCACAATATATATTCCCTCGGTTTTTGCATATCTACTTATCAAACATATAAAATATATTTGTTTTTTCTTTAAATACAAGTCACAATGTATATTAGTGATGTGCCAATAAATTCGGAAACGATGTAAAAAATATCGTATAAAAAAAAATAATTGAAACAAAAATTAAATTGTTAGATAACTAGGTAGATATCGCTGTACTTTTATTATACGACTAACTTTGTTAACATAATTTTGTATACAATGTATAAAGTCAATATAGAAATATATGTTAGCAACGTATTATAAATACATGCCAGTCTGTAATAAAATCTGCATAGTAGGCAAGATGACGAAATAATACAAGATAATAATAAGAGTATGTATATTTTTTTATCCAATTTATAATAGAATTACCGAATATTTCTCAATACTCTCAACTGTATCCTCCGTTACCCTTAACTTTAAAACAGGGACTTTTGTTAATGTAAGAGAGAGAATAAGGAGAAAAAGAGAAAAAGAAAGAGAGGGAGGGAGAGAGTGAGAAAGAGAGGAAAGGAGGGGACGGGAGAGAAAGAGAGAGAGTGCTGGACAGTAAACATTTATAATATTTAGAACAGTTAATTTTACGAACGTATATTCCAGTCAAATAGATAATTTTGACACAATTTTTTTAATTTTGACATAATTTTTTAAATTGTCAAAAGTGCCAAACCAAAGATAAAATTTTCATTTAAGTTTATAACCAAATGGAATAATTTCTAAGTACTGTATAGCACTTTGGAGCATATCTTTTTTTACAAGATGTATTGTCAATTTTTTTATTTTCTTTATAAAGCAAAATCTATGTAAAAATATTAAAAATATTTTAATACTAAATTATTATAAAGTAATAAAACTCGGGATCTGGTGCGACTATCTTAAAACGTAGCAGGAGCATGAGAATGCATTAGAGATAAGAGAGTTTATGTATAAAATCTTCTTTTTTTATTAACCACCGTTTAATCTCAATTAATCTTAGTGCATCAGAAACATTCATTTTATCCCTCTGACTGGATTAATGAGACAGTTATATTAATATAATACAATTTTGTTCATTCAAATTATTCGGATGTGACGTGTTGCACGAAAAGTTTCTTTATTCGGCATTTCTTGCGCGTTAATTTTTAACACTGGATTTAATTATTAATTTATAACCAAATGTTCAGCACTCTTATCTCGTAACGGGTTTAAATTTATACACGAACAGTTGGTAAAGAATTATTAACGTATGAGGCAGGTAGCACAGATACGTTGAGGCCCGATGCAGTCATCGTGGCAAAAGGCACCACACTGCCGACAAATTACCATAGCTCCTCGCATATTACATTCGCATGGGGGTGGTGGATCACCTCCGATTATCATACCGGGTGCACCGGGTTCCGCGCCACCCGTCACTCTGCTATCCGCGCCTCTTGCTTTCAACGTGACAGCTTGATGAGAGCCTTCCCCGGCACTCGCCGGTCGTCCACGCACCAAATGTACTCCGACACCCATCCCTGCGATTTGCGGAGGTAATGGAGGAGCAGACGACGCTCTCGGAGCACCATCTCCGACTCCCGTCCTTTGTACAAGTATGTATTGCCCAAGACCGTTACCAGTGGTAGATCCGAGTTGCGCTATAGGAGCATTTTCTGCAACCTGTAAAGCATTGAGAACATTATTGATGCGATCGTCGTGAACATTTAACGCAACTTGAACTAACGTTTCGCGTTCAAGTTACTTTCGTCCAAGTAGGGATATATTGTACGAGTAACATTTCGATTTGTAATATTCTAGCCTCATCGTCGGTTGTACAATAAACACGTTTATTGCTCATCCCCGTTGTCATCGTACTGGTAGAAGTAACTTTTCGTAGCAATTTGCGCACCGCTACACTGTTGCATCTGACACAACGAAAGTCGTACTATCTCCACTACTGCATTTTGATATCCAAAACTAATGTAAAGATTTGTTCATTTAGGTACCTGTATGATACAGAGATCATCACAAGCGACCCGCAAGATTAGCACTGTACACACAGAAAAGTATAAAATAGTATGCACGTACGCTCAAGTGTCCAGTACACATTTTATACATCAAGAAGAGTTTATACACAGAGATAAAGTCGAATTAAACATTTGTTCACAGCAAAGAGAGAAATTGTATATTATTGCATGTTATCGTAATCTATCCTCTTAATTTACATGTTTTTTTTTTCTTCGTAATTAATGATTCATCGCAAGTACATCGTGTCCAAGAGAATTGACGGCAATTTATTCGGATATCTCTCAAAAAGTTAACGCAACAAGTTACGTGTATGTGTGTCTCAAGCATAGATAGATGTCATTTAAAGCATGATTTGATAATACGCGCTACATACCTCCGTTGATGCAGCTTGACGCGCTGTAGCGAACACATGTCTCAGCATAACCGTCTGTGTTTTGTTTTGGACTTGTTTGTTATGTTGTATCGCTTGCTGCGTTTTTTGAGGTTTCACCGTCGTTACCGTACGTCCGCCAGACTTGTTTGTCGTGAATGCACCATCTCCTCTGGCGAGCAAGCTGGGTGGCGGTTTTAAATGAGCTTTCAATTGATCTCTATTCGGTGAACTTTGTATGACCTAAAAACAGTAATAACGAATGTTCATACGATAGAAATCAAACTTTTTTTCCTCTCTTTTTTTTTTTATATATTTTATATACAATTTTAGCCGTCAAATTAATACTTACCGCTTGACATATCTGATAGCTACGCTCCAAATTGACAGCACCCGGCGGTTCTTTCGTAGAGCTTCTTGATCTTCCTCCTTGTTCCTTGTTACTGTTTCTGGAGCCCCTCTGGCTGCCTTGATTAGATATACGTGAAGATCGTGAAGAGACGGTCACGGATGGTCCAGCTGGTCCATATTGCTGTTGTTGCTGCTGCTGCTGTTGTTGCTGTTGTTGTGGTTGTGGTTGTGGTTGCTGATGCACAGCGGATGCAATTGGTCGGGGCTGAGCAGAGGCAGCAGGCTGGTGTTGAATAACAATTGCATTCTGCGCCCGATTTTGAGACTGCACTCCCAACGTAGTCGAGAGAGCATTTTGTACTTGGCCTTGCGTCGCGATGATGTTCTGAACGTTATTATGGGCACTATTGCCGTTCGGCGTGTTCACTTGAGCGATAGTATCCTGCGTCCGAATCATGTTAACTTGCGCAGTGGTGCTCGGTTGTGGCTGTAATTGAGCCGCCGAAATTGCGGACGAGGTATTCAACGTGGGCGTTGATTCCTGTTCCTGCGGATGAAAGTTGGTTTGCACGAATCTGATGGACTGCAACGGCGGGAACGCGATAATCGGCGGGCTTTGCGAGCTTTGCAAGCTCTTCATCATGCAACCGTTTCCAGGCGTATTGATGGCTAAACCATCCGCTTGAAACGCGGCGCCTTGAACAACTGGCAATTGAATACAGTTGACGGGCTCCACGTTGGCGTCAGTGTTAATAAATTGCTGCGAAGGAGTCGTAGAGTCAGTCGTTGTAGACGTTTCGCTACATTCATCCTGCGTTGTCACTGTAATATTAGCTGCTACGGATCCGTCAAGTGCAGCTGCTACCAGAGGCCAAGGAACTTGTAGTTCCTCTTGCGTCTTTGTCCGCGCGAAGGTGTAACGAGTACAAATTAGAATAAATTTGTAATATGGTAAAAAAATTCTTAAGTATAATTATGTCATGCATATATGCTTACCCTATTGTTGTTGTTATTATTGCTGATACTATTAACAGTCGGATCCACTGTCCAGCTGCATTCTAACATTTCGGAACAAACGTAATTGTTTGCTTCTCGGAGGGCTTCATCCTCATTACCAGCATGTACGTCCGTTGCCCTGGTATCTTCAGTCTGTCCAGATACTACTTGAGGTTCAGTTACTTCCGTATTAGTTGATGCCATTTCCATTCCTTCCAAAATGGGGTATATTATCTCTTCCGGGCATCCCGAAATCTCTTCGTACATTTCCCGCATTTCTCCTCGTACCTGGAATATAATTATAATGCGATAGTTTTACAACCATAATGAAATTCGTCGATAGCTCGCGATACTCTCGTTGTTGAAATTGTTTGCTTACCTCGAGTTCATGAATACGTTGCAAAGTCTCGCTATCGATCTCCATTCCTTCTGGAATCTGCGATTCACTATCCGCTGGATTCTCATGTGAACCTTGAGTCGCTTCGGTCTGATTGGTATTAATCAAACTGGTATCCTCAATAACAATGTCCGTTGGCCTAACTTGATCTTGTGGCGACGAAGTTTCGAGGATACTCGTGGTCTCACAATCGGATATTTGATAAATTTGGTCATTAGACATCTGAGACATCTGCTCCTTCGCGATTTGCGGAATTTGATCTATAGATGTCTGCGATATATACTCGTTAGATAACTGCGAAATCGATTCCCCAGATGTGTGAGACGCACGTTCTATCTGTTCGCTGGATCTAGGTGATGAGTTATCGTCAGGTAATAGCACAGTGTCTTCTTCTGACGCTTCAATAATATTAGCTTCTATAGGCTGTAAGCTTTTATCGCTAGAAGGAAAATCTGTTTCTTCTTCATAAACATTTGAAATGCTTTCTTGTTGACAAATTTGTCTCGTAAGGTCATTGGCTTCAATTAAATCTTGTTTATTGCGTATATCAATAACTTTATCAGTTTCCTCTGTTTTGCTCTCGTGCATTTGGATATCTTCTGTTACTTTTACAGAATTCATATGTGCAGAATTGTCCAGGTGTTTCTCATCGGTCAAATTTTCCGGCAACGCATTATAATCCAAAGGCATTAAATTTTGTTGCACTCCTTCGGAGTTGGTTATATCGTCCGAACTTTTTATGTTGATTTCGGCCTTGCAATTGGTATCACTCTTACCTTCTGCCATTACGATGGGACATACCGTATGTTCTGACACAGGAATATCAATATTGGATTCCAGGCGAAGTCTTAAACTTGAACGTGTTACCGCACCACTAGAACGTGACTCGCTAATATAATGAAGACTCGATTTGAGTTTAGGCTCTCGTTTCTCTCCCCATATTGGCTCGAAGTGTTTCACTTTCCATGGGTCTAGCTTATTTTTATCGCGCTCTGCTTCCATTTTCAGACGCTGTTGATTTTCCGGAGTAAATTCTCCTTCTGCTAAACGTTTCCGCCATTCTAGACAAGCTCTCGCAAAGAATTCATTATTCAATCCAGAGATAGCAGCATCCTAAGGATGATAAATTAATATAGATAGTAAGTTAAATCTCAAAGTTCAATATGTACACATACAAAGTATAATATGTGTAGATTATTAAAAAATTATAAGATATACCTGTCTATCTACAGCAGGTAAAAGTTGTGCGAGCTTCCGTTGATACAATGGAGGTAAGCCTTGAAAAGTATGCCTATTTAATAGAGCTCGTAAACTCGTACTTGCTAATATGCTTGCTGGAGATTCCAAATCTACAAGACCAGCTTCTAATTGTGCTGTCGCTGATAATCTTTTTGTAGATCGTCTGCGACCTGATTTTAAGCTAAATCCAGGTAAACTAGCCAAAACTTCTCTCATTGTGGCAGCAGGTTCTTCCACTGCTATATTCATAGAAAATATGGATTGTAAGAAATATTTGCTAGTTATCAAATTATATATCAATGGAATATAATACTATGCAATAACAAAACTAGATACAATGTTAAGTCACCCAATGCTAGTATCCAAGAAAAAATGCTTATCTCCCTTAATTTACAAAATAAAAGAGATAGCTAATTGTGTCTTAGGATACTTTGTGTTGATATAATGGTATTAATATATTATATGTACTAAAGTAAGCAAAAGAAAAATAGACCAATTGTTGCAGTAATCACCAGTGTTGATGTGTTGCACATTATTAACTGGAGATGGTGGATCGTTTGGTGGAGGTGGAGGTAACGGCTTGACAACAATCCTAGGTAATGTACGAGAATTGCCTGCCGCTATTGTTGTGTTCTTTCTACGTCGTTTGGCCTGTTGTCGTAACGCATGTTTAATGACTTTCTTACTATGCACCATGCTAGAGTAACCAGAGCAGCCCGGGATAGTATCGCACCCTTCACTTTTGCCAAGTTCCACATCTGTGTCCATGACAGTGCCTACAGTTTTAACATCGTCCAGCGAAATATCAGGACACGTGGTGTAAGCTTGTCGCGGCATGGTGTTAAATAGTATATTGACGTTTTCGTTCGTTGCATTCCATTCTCTCGTAGATTCAAACTTCACAAACGTCTCCTACTACGTTCTGCTTGTCGGGATATAAACATAACATCTTTCTTTCTCTCTCTTTCTCACCAGTGACAACCGAACACATATCCGTGCAACCGGTTAAATACGTTATAAAGTTTTTGTGGAGCCGCTCACGTCATTTCGTTCGACGATACGTAAATCCACAAGATTACATTGAATAGTGAAATTTTACGACTCTTTCAGTCATATGGCGAAATGTCATCCGCAAAAGTAAGAAAGATTCCGCTTCTCTCGGCTATACTGTATTTACATATTTATGTCGCGGAAGTGTCAATTGATGTAGATGCACAACTCGTTTATATTTTAAAACTTGCATACTGAAAGGAGTATGACCAATTGGAACAACGGTCATGTTATATTCCATCGGAATCTAACAGAATACACGAATCAAATGCACTAATCATTAATTGTTTCTACAGGATGCAATTTACATCCATATTTATATGAGGCCTGTTCGTTTTATCTGCACTATTGAACTGGTGCATTAAGTTAAAGTGAGACAAATGTAGGTTTTCTCACTTCAACTTGTTGCATCAGTTCAGCAATGCAGACAAAACGAATAGGTCTGTTCTTTGTAACTGCACTGCTGAACTAGTGCAATAAGCTAGAATGAGAAAACCTATATTTGTCTCACTTTAACTTATTGCACCAGTTCAACAGTGCAGCTACAAAGAACAGACCAATAGTCAGGCCATATATTTAAGACTTCCTTAAGTTTATCTTCAGATGGTCTATAGCCAATAAAATAATCCGTGCAGCACCTAATGATGGATATATATATACTGGAAATATATAGTTTGTGTCACGTATATTATAGATTTTTAGTGCTGGCAGTGAATATTGGAACATAGGCAAGATGTTTCGATGCTTTCTTTCCCTATATAGTTACATTTTTTATGATTGAATTTCGGAACGCATCAGTAAAATCCAATAGGAAAATTTGTTTCCAGAAAATTAAACATTAGCACGCGATTATGTAAGTTCATCTGAATGAGCCTTAATAATGACAAGCAAGAACCTCTTCTGAAATTTGATAAAGGATAAGGTTAGGTCTTATAGTAGGAGTCAACTTTATCCTTGTTTCTGTCATTGTAAATTGGAAATATATTATCACTTATCTAGAACGTTTATTACTTGTAAATCGATCATGACGCTTACAAATAAGGTAAGAGAAATTTTAATTATTATGTGATGACTGAAATTTTACATTCATTTAAAAGTAAGACTGAGATATATACTTTGGACATTTATTCAGATGGACATTGATGAAAAAAATGCTAAGGGAGAAGGATTTAAACCATATTATATTACAAAAATCGAGGAATTGCAATTAATTGTTGCTGAGAAAAGTCAAAACTTAAGGAGATTGCAAGCACAGCGTAATGAACTCAATGCCAAAGGTATCTGTTCTGACTTGATATGATACAAATATGTAGAATTCGTGAAAACTTAACATATCCTTAATTGCACATGAGAATTATATTATTTCTATATAAATGTTATATTCTCTACTTTCCTCTTTCTTTTTTTATAGTGCGTATGCTTCGAGAAGAGTTGCAACTTTTACAAGAACAAGGTTCATATGTAGGAGAAGTAGTTAAACCAATGGACAAGAAGAAGGTTTTAGTTAAAGTACATCCTGAGGGCAAGTTTGTAGTAGATTTAGACAAGAATATAGACATCAATGATGTGACACCAAACTCACGTGTGGCTCTGCGCAATGAAAGTTATACTTTACATAAAATATTGCCAAATAAAGTGGATCCACTTGTTTCTCTTATGATGGTAGAAAAAGTACCTGATTCCACATATGAAATGGTTGGAGGTTTAGACAAACAAATAAAAGAAATTAAAGAAGTTATAGAATTACCAGTCAAGCATCCGGAACTGTTTGATGCTCTTGGAATCGCTCAACCTAAAGGTGTACTATTATATGGACCACCAGGTAATAATCTATTATGTTATTAAAAATATAAACATAGGAATTATTTAATATTTATTATTTTTTATTATTTAATTTTTTAATTATAATTATTTGCACTCATAACTTACAATTATTTAAACTCATAACTTTACTTGTATTGTAACAATATAAAATTTTTAGGTACTGGTAAAACTTTGCTTGCAAGAGCAGTTGCACATCATACAGAATGTACTTTTATTCGTGTATCTGGATCTGAATTAGTGCAGAAATTTATTGGAGAAGGATCACGTATGGTTCGTGAACTATTTGTTATGGCAAGAGAGCATGCACCATCTATAATATTCATGGATGAGATTGATTCCATTGGTAGTTCTCGAATTGAATCTGGATCTGGAGGCGATAGTGAAGTAAATATAGAAAAGAAATTATATATATGTATACATATATATATATGTATACATATATGTACATATATGTATATATATACATATATATATATATATTCACAATATTTCATATAACATTTACAATATTATATTTCCTAACATATAAATTATATGTTTAGGTTCAACGAACGATGTTAGAGTTACTTAATCAATTGGATGGTTTTGAGGCTACAAAGAATATAAAAGTTATCATGGCTACAAACAGGATTGATATTTTGGATCCTGCATTATTACGTCCTGGACGTATTGATCGTAAAATTGAATTCCCACCTCCAAATGAAGAAGCTAGATTGGATATCTTAAAGATTCATTCCAGGAAAATGAACTTAACACGTGGAATAAATCTAAGAAAGATAGCTGAACTTATGCCTGGTGCATCAGGGGCAGAAGTTAAGGTAATAAATGATAATTCCAGCTCATATCTATACACTTTTATAATTTTTGTATAGTATATAATTGTAAATATAATCAACTCTTCAAGAAGCTCCAGACTCATATATTTATGTTCTAATATGAATATGTTATTGTTATACTTACCATACTACTTATCACAGGGTGTATGCACCGAAGCTGGAATGTATGCTCTTAGAGAACGTCGTGTTCATGTAACTCAAGAGGATTTTGAGATGGCTGTAGCAAAAGTTATGCAAAAAGACTCCGAAAAGAATATGTCGATTAAGAAGTTATGGAAGTAATCGACCGCAGTTTTTTCAATATTACATTCTCTTTAATAATCTTTTGATGTACTATTGTTTCGTTTATGTAAGCAAACTATTTTAATCAAGATCGAAATATATGATGTATTTAAAACGTGGAAACACAGAAATTTCATATAAAATTAAAAATGTGCAACACAAACTTTATATCAATATGAAATCATTAATTAAATATATCATATGTGAAAATATAGTCATATTTCATTATTAAATATTTTATTTGCCACTTATTTGTCTATAAAATTGATAATTATATAATGTTATATTAAATGTGATTGTATATATTCAGTAACTTTTTAATTCAAACTGATCTGGAATCGTAAATATTGATAAAATGCTGAATATGTAATTATGGATATATCAGTGCAAGTATATAAAAGATAAAAATATATCGAAAGATATGACTTTTTCTTTTTGCTTGTGAAAATATTAAGGTGAGATTATGAATTATGAAAACTACAAAATTAAATGTATTCCGTTATAATATTCCATCCTCCTTCCCTCATACGATTTTAAATATCAAAACATATATAACAAAAAAACATATCCTATATTCTACCAATATATTCTTATATGTAGAACAATCAGAATCTATTTATATAAAAAAGGAATGAAGAAAGAATCATAAATATGATTCAATCTGTAGATATATTTCTAATTTTTAATTTTTTTTACGAAACCAAACTTTAAATGAAAATATTTTATTTATGAGAATTATTTTGTTTTCCTGACTGCGTATGAAGTACATTTCGTTCTACATGTTCTAAAAAGATGTGCTGCTATACTCTATTATATAACTTTGAAGTAATTGTCGCAACTTAAGTATAAGTTTTACAACTGAAAGCTTCGTAAATATTTGCCCCGAGCATTTTGATCTCGTTATTTGTCATGAGACATTCAAGCAAATCTGCTGATGCGTCTTTTGCTATTTGTTTATCTGGAATTTGTCCAATTACAATAGGAATAATTTTGGCCATAGGCATGGTGGTTTTATTAATATCTAAAAATTCGCTCGTTCCATTATCCTTAGTTACAGCATCCTTTGAATTCATCGAAATATGATCATTTTTATTTGATGTTCTTGGATGTGATATTCCATTCTTAGTTTCGGAAGCATCATCAAAATATTCAGATATGTGATCTATTAATGACACAAATCCACTTCTGATGTTTCTTTGCGTTAAATTTTGGACTTCATCACTCTCTAACAGATCTAGCGTCTGATCAATTATTTTTGAATATATAGATGTATCTTTTTTAACTTGTTGCGACATCGTATAGCTTACAAAGTTCTTGATAGGATCGTTTGAACTATCAGCAAATATAGATGATGTAATTGCCCAATAAATTTGCTCCAAATCCCTTAATGTTAATTTGTCATCCAAGGATATTGAGGCTGTGATTTGTTCAACCTTACTCTTTATAAGATTGCACAATTTCTGTACACCTTCGTATATAAAATAAGCAGAAAGTTGTAGATACTTTGCTCGTACATCATATCCATCAGTGTTGTCCACGGTCTGATTTAGGTACATATATCCACTGATTAAATTGATTTGAATTTTAAGAAATGTAATTAGCATTGTGTAAGCATAAATTACTACAGCTGACCGTGAAATAGATACAACTTTCAATTCATTCCACAATGCTATCTTATCTGCAGAGCCATGTTTAAGTTGATTTATAATAGTCTGCCCATCAAGTTCTTTGATTATAGTGTTCCTTACATTTAAAGCAAGGCTTGTTGTTATCTGGTCACAAGTTTTTTCCAAATGTTCAAAGTGTTGTTGTTTCTTTGCTCTTTCTAATATTGCTCTTATCTCTTTTTGTTGCCATTCACGAATCTTGTATTGGGTATAACGCGTCGCAAGGATAATACCACTAAAAATGGCACTTCCAACTATAAATTTACGCTGATGACGTTTAAAGAATTTCCATATGCCCGATAACATGATGAATCCTTGCTGCTGATTTAATTCACATTGAAATAATTACAGAAAGTTTCTATTGCTATTTATAGAGAATAAAGATGATTTTTAAAATGATGTAATCATTCCAAGTTATCCAGTTCAGGCTGTGAACTTGAAGCAATATGTTTTAACCTATTTGTTACAAAGTTGGTAGTATCGATGAATCTTTCAACGCAATTTACAAGGCACTTCTGAACTTTTGTCTCCAAGCGTGCTGATGGTCTATCCATGCAAGTCTCCCAACAGATATCAGTTAATTCGTGTACTAATAGCTAAAAATACCGTCAAAAATGTGAAAATACTGTTCTTTATGAAGGGATATAAAGAGAAAAAATAATATATTGAAATATGTACTCATGTATCTATGCAATTGATATTTTAAATATTTGTTATGTTATCCGATACTATTTTATGTAAAAAAAATAATGCTACAAAATGAAGTCACATAAAGAAAACATAAAAGATAAAAAATCTGAGTGCAACTTACGCGAGCAAGTCGAAACTAACCTGAAATTGTTGTTTTCTATTTTCAACTTCAATGAAATCTTTCAGTCGATTATCTACGACAAATTGCACATCTGAATTCTCGACAAGATTCATACTTTAAATTCAAAGCCTCCTTCTTTCCACATTAATGTAATGGAAATAATTAACCTTTAATCGCTTATTACACTCCAAACTACTTCAATCTGGCTAACTCATCGAATTACTACTTGAAAACATCATCTTCTAGTTCGAACCATGGTATATCGAGTGTTACAAGAGGAGAGAATTAAGTCCCTTGCACAATGCCAGGCAACAGGCAATAAGAATAAAAATAGACCAATCACAATAGACTATTCTTGTAATAGTCGATTGTGATTCGTCTATTTTTATTCTTATTGCTTGTTGCCTGACATTGTGCAAGGGGCCATACAGTCGTGCAATTTCTACCTCGGTTTCAAGAGATTGGGTATCGTTCAGTGACTTTGAGCCCATATCAAACTATGGATTGTGATTGAAATTAGATTGAAACTTGACCAATTGGAAAAAAGAAAATAATCTCAAATATAGTAAACTTAGGCCCAGTTGCACCAACATTATTTTGGTTTTAAGTGAGACTTAAATATATCTCTGTCTTTATTTATTTAGTGAGAAAGATAAAGATAGACTTATGTTTAAGTATCACTTAAAACCAAAATAATATTGGTGCAACTGGGCCTTAGTCCTGATTGGTTAAATTTCAATGCAATACTCAATTCCAATCCGTAGTCTGATACAGGTTTAGGATGTATATGACACCCAATAGAATAACTCGTCTGTTAGGAATTTTGACGTTGATCATGTGACACATAGGACGACATGTTGCGGTTGGAAAGGCGCCTGCTCGCGCGCACGTCCGTTTTCGTCATCGTTCACGCTTGAGGTTAGGGGCGGGGAGAAGAGTACTTATCCAAATTCGTGCATCTTCTGTCACAACGGGCAAGATTAGTCCGTAAGTTTCGTTTAACGCGCGTAACTTGCGGGGCAACAGCGTGCGGCGCGTTAAGAAGACTCGGTACAGGTATCGATCGTTATCGCTTGTCATATGTTTGTAATTCGTCAGTTTAATCACGAAAACGTTAGCGGTGAGATGGAAAACGAAATTGCGAAAGAGGCGAATGTGCGGCGATAGCGCGTCTACGAAAGCGAGGAGAAAGAGCAGACGAGAGAGGAAGAGAGAGATAAATAGCGATAGACACAGCGATATCGTCGCGGAGGGTAACTGTTCAAATAAGCAGGGTGTGCATTTCCAAATAAGGTATTCTCGTATGAGCGAGCCTTCGTGTTTCTGGCGCTGCTACGTGGTCACCGGGCGAGTTACGTTCGGCGGCGATGCGTGTAACGTTAGTGGCGGGAATACAAATCCCGTGCTTTCGATCGATTATTCTCCGCAGCTATCGTTAACGGTGACTAACGCTCGTTGAAAATGCGTCGCATACATGAGCGTGAGATAACACGCAGCCGTGATAACAGGCAGTCGGTACGAGAGTGCGGCTTTCCTTCCTGTTAGATTCGCCGGTCCGTATCACATTTTTGTGGTAATTCGCAGTGAGCGTGCGAAAGTTGCTCCGAATAGCGCTGCCCTTCATCACGCCGCGATTTTCGAAACTCCAAATTAATCGTAAGAGTATTTTAGAGTTGACGCGCATACGTGTGTGTTGTGTATCGCGCGAGCGTATGACATATATCGCATATTATTTTGAATCGCTCTGAATCACGATCTCGCGCTTTCTCGCTCTGGCTCGCGTTGACGCGGGCGCGGCCGCACTCCGCGACGGTCGTACTCGCGCGACCCCGTCTATTTCGGTGGATCGAAATCATTTTTCGATGCACCATGTAAGGAGCGCGCGGGAAGTGTGTTCGTCGCGCTCTCCGCCGCAATAATCTTTAACGGCTATTAAATGCGTGGCACATCCACGGCCATTCGTACTGCACACATGTATTGATATGCACGAATAAATGGTGACCAAACGTACGAAATATTATTCTTATTTCGGTCGTGTATCCTTTCGGATCGTACAGGGAGGTTGAAGAGTGGGGAATCTATTTATAAAACGGGGATGTTCCACACGACGCCCACGCCCGTAGTCCCGTAGCGCGGATACACACGTAACGATAATTTATTAAAATAATCATAATAAGCGACGCGTAGAGCCGTGTACTCTGTTGTTAGGTTATTTAGCGTTGGTCTTTCTCTCGCTCTCTTTCTCTCTCTCTCTCTCTCTCTCTTCCTCTCTTCCTCTCCTCCTCTCCTCCTCTCCCTACCCTTTCTCTCTCTCTCTCTCTCTCTCTCTCTCTCTCTCTCTTTCTTCTCTCTCTCTCTCTCTCTCTCTCTCTCTCTCTCTCTCTCTCTCTTTCTCTTTTATACACACTCATCCTCACCGAATTTCACTCACGTCTGTTCTGTAATTGAAAGTAGGTGCAGCAGACATGTCTTTTCGCGTGGTGCGTAGCAGCAAGTTTCGCCACGTGTACGGAACCCCACTGAAGCGCGAACAATGTTACGATAATATCAGAGTCTCCAAATCATCATGGGACTCGACTTTCTGCGCTGTGAATCCCAAATTTCTCGCTATAATCGTAGAATCGGCGGGTGGCGGTGCCTTCATCGTCTTGCCGCACAACAAGGTAAATTCTCTTTCATTCTTCACTTTTTTTTTATTTATAGTCCAGTTTCACCAAGCAATACCAAAATAATGTCGTCAACTTTCTCTGGCTTCATTTAACATAACTGGATTGTACTGTGTAACAGAAAGATTATATTTTTGTTGTAGCAAATTTGTTGGATTTGGATACACCATTAAATGCTTCTGCAGACTGTAGTTGACTGATAGTTGATTTTTGCAAATCGTTATAGGTAGGAAGAATACCAGCAGACTATCCTTTAGTAGGTGGACACAAAGGACCTGTATTAGATATTGCATGGTGTCCTCATAATGATAATGTCATAGCTTCTGGTTCCGAAGATTGTGTTGTCAAAATATGGCAAATACCTGACGGGGGTATTTCCAGGACATTGACTGAATCGATAGTAGATCTGCAACTACACCAACGCAGAGTCGGTTTAGTACTATGGCATCCATCTGCTCTAAATGTGTTGCTCACAGCTGGCTCAGACAATCTTGTTATTATTTGGAACGTTGGAACAGGAGAAGCTTTAGTGCGCATTGACTGTCACCCAGATGTAGTTTATTCTGCATGCTGGAACTGGGATGGATCTCGGATAGTTACTACATGCAAAGATAAAAGGATTCGAATTTTGGATCCGAGATCAGGCGAAATATTAGAAGAAGCTGTAGCGCATGAGGGAAGCAAGGCAACTCGTGCCATCTTTCTCAGGTATGTTCTCTATATTTTATGTACGTCTATTTCAATATGTCTAGCAGTATCTTCTTGCTTTCTATCTTATTGCTTTCTTTCACTAATGTATATTGCTCGAATATATTCGTATACTGAACAATAAGACTGTGCAACTAAAAAAGAAAGGGGAAAGGATGGGTTAATCTAATAAAAATAGAAAAATTTGAGTATATTTTTGGAAAGCATCGCGATTAAATTCTTCAAACGATAATTTACTGAATATCATAAAGAATTTTTTCTAGGAAGATAATAGTACTTGATTTCGATTTGCTTTTGAAATCTAAATATTTTTAGTTGTTCCAGTCTTATTTCAGAAGTGCAATGTTTCGCTCGTTAAATGATCAAATTTTGATATGCAAGTATAAATGCTTTTTATCATAGATGCAAATATTATAAATATTTGTTCCATATTTGATCAAAATATGTTTGATTTTAATGCATATTTAACTAAAATGGCAGAACATTTTTTCATGTAATTTCTATTCTTACATACATGTGATATAATTCTGAATGTGTCTGGGACTTGAATATTGCAGTATTATATAACATTCTTTTTATGATTATAATTTTATGAGAAAGAGTGTATTTTTTTGTACTAACGAGTGAACTTGCATGAGAGAGTGTGGATGTAGAAAGTATATAAGTGCCATATAAATTGCCAAAAAAAAGAAGAATGTAAATAATATTGTATATCAAATTTAACTCATTGTAAATATTCATTTATGTCATTAGGTATGTAAATTTGATTGAATATTGTATATTGTATGAAAAAAATATATAATATAACATAATCATCAAATAGTATACATCCACCTTTTTACACAAGTATATTAGTAACAGTATAATACAGGTAATGTCGGATTATCTCTCGAATATAGCCATGTATGTTCGAGCTCTTCACTCTTTCGTTTATTATTGCCTTTCTACTGTTTAGTTTTTGACGCGATAATATATGCGTACCAACATACACGTAGTACTTCTCGCGCTTTAGTTATTTTCGCGCGAATGCTGTGTAAGAGAAGCAAAACATTTTTAAAAGATACATTTATTTTTATCAACTTGTATTTCCGGTTTGTGTAGTGCGAGATTCTGTAATTTTTAATGGAAAACTGCAAGACTGAATTTACAACATGACGAAGATGCTGACTTAATAAATACGAATGTCAAGATGCGTGCTCTATATTTCTCTCCATAGAGATGTTGCAGTAAGTATCGTATTCATCAAGTTATTCATTCAAACCGTAATACATTGTAAATGTCAGGTAAATATTAGATTGTGCAAGTAATTACGCAAATTATACCGATAAATATTAACTTTGTGGCAGTGTAACATCTTTATAAAATAATACGATAACTGTTGTTTGCATCTGTAAAAGAAAAGAAAGAAGGGAAAGACACGCCGGAGTAATTAAGCAGAAATAAATTTCTCTAAGTAAGTACTGTGTGCACTGTGTACGAAGTAGTGATATTTCCTACATTGCAAAAGGTATCTTATTTATTGTGAAACAACGTTCACGAGAGCATTATGAGAAATATTGTCTCTTTATGAAATATAAGGTGGTAACAAGGTGGATGTAATAAAGCTTTGATGATTAATTTCTACGTGTGAAAATATATATTATACATTGTGACATATTAATATGCTAAACAAAAAAAGGACTATCGCATTAGATAGTACCGGCGAAGTGCGATCGTGTAATCACTGTTAAAGCTACTTGTATTCTATTTTCAGGGGTGGCTTGATTTTTACCACGGGTTTCAGCAAAATGTCGGAAAGACAATATTCATTACGAGCTCCTGATATGTTGGGCGAACCCATAGTTATGGTAGAATTAGACACCAGCAATGGAGTTATGTTTCCGTTGTATGATCCCGATACAAATTTAGTATATTTATGCGGTAAAGGCGATTCTGTGATCCGGTACTTTGAAATTACGCCTGAACCACCGTTTGTTCATTATATAAACACTTTCCAAACTCCTGATCCTCAACGAGGTATAGGAATGATGCCAAAACGGGGCTGTGACGTTAATAGCTGTGAAATAACCAGATTCTATCGATTAAACAATTCGGGCTTTTGCCAAGTAGTCTCTATGACAGTACCGAGGAAGGTGAGAGATAGTGTGCTTCATATTTTGAAATGAATGGAATCATATTTTAAATTTAACGAAAAATTTCGAGAAGTTTGAACTGGATTTAAAAGCGCGTTGAAAAACAGTTGCTGACAATCGTAGTGCAAGTTACCACATGATGGTGTTTCAGTCGGAGCTTTTCCAAGAAGACTTGTATCCTGATACACCCGGTGATACGGCCGCGATATCGGCCGAAGAATGGGAAGCCGGTACTGACGCTGAACCTGTTTTGATATCTCTTAGGGACGGTTACCAGCCATCCGTCTCGAAAAATGAGCTCAAAGTTCAAAAGAAATCCAATATACTGAGCAAAGGAGCCAAGGTTGCATCTAATGCGCAGAATGCAGCGCAAATTTCATCAGCAGCATGCGTACGTTATCAATTCTGTTATTTATTATCGATATATTTACTTATGCGAGTGTATCGAACAAGTTGATTATGGTTCATTGTATCGATACATCGATCGTCATTGTAGGAAGAAATGCTGAAGGAATGCAGGGAAGAAATACGAAAATTAAAAGCCGTAATTGTGAAGCATGAAGGGAGGATACGAGTGTTGGAATCGGCAGTCGCACTTCAGATGAAGGAAGAGGAGAGAAAAGAGAAGTCAGCATCACCCGACGGCAAGGAAGCGCTTGCTTCCGATGAAGTGTAAACCTTTTTTGGGTCTCGACCAAGTTCCGGTGTGACGCTGTATTTCTAACTAGAGCATATTTTTTACTAGAATCACTAATATCGTGTAATAAGAATGACCGTATATTTTGATATAACAAACTTGTGTAAATAGTAGGTTTTAGCGATGACGTGTGTCTGACTCCTTTTCTTTCTACTCTGTCTGTTTATCTATCTATTTCTATCTCTTCGTAATGATATTTGCTATTTATTGTACATCCATTATCGTACATTCTCTGCATTTGTATTATGTTTATATGTTTTATTATTATTATTATATTTACTGACGTTTAAAGCCATTGTACGTAATATTATCTGCCCCCTAAAGTTAAGTTTTCGCGCGATTGATGCAGCGATACGCGATACAAGACTTGTGTAAAATGAACCTTTGTATGAATAATTATTCGTAACACATGTGAGTGCCTAACTTGTACAGATATTTGATGTTAAATAACAAAGAATATTATTTTGTTTCAACGTATGACTTATATAGATGTGATTGCGAGCAGTGTCCGTTACTCGATGAAGTTGCTCGAAAATTACACGAATTCATTCCCGGTGTGTTTCAAAATTACCCGCGTTCCTATACACGATTCAACGATTACAACGATTAATGGCAGGTGTCGGGGCAGTCGCAATGTTCCTGCGACCGATATTATCGATTGAGCCGAACTGTACTCGCTCAGGCGATTACACAGTCTCCAGCCTCCGGCGATTAGTTGACATCCAGTCATCGGTCGCAATCGTTGATATCGCGGCTTGTTCTGAGACACTGCTCGAGAGCCATTCATTGAGAACAGAGGAGGCGGAAGAGATATGCGCCTCGTGAAATCCTAGTATCGATGTAAAGGAGATCTGCACCTCTTCAGTTGACTGTGAGTAACGCTATCGTAACGAATACTACTGCGATTTATCTTACGTTCGTCAAAACCGGCTCTAGCTCTCTACATCTTCGAACTGCCCAGAACGACGTAACATTTTTCGTCGGATATTTAATGATTAAATTGACTGACTAGAATCTTTTCTCCAACTGACCGGGTTCTCTCGAGTGTCTTGGTTGATTTTTCACCTGACTACGCACGATTGTCAAGTAGCCCGAAGGGCTCAACAGCTGAATTTGCGTGCGCCGTTCGCAGCGAAGGATGCTCGAAGAGTGTGCGACGCTAATTAAAAGCTCTCACTCGAACACATGTTGATGAGCGCGAATGAAACGTTAAATATGATGGTTCTGATATCGACGACTGGGCATCGGCGAATCGAGTCGAGACTATATGAGGATATATTGAATAACGCGTAACAAGTAGCGCGTTATATATGCATGATCACGCGTTATGCGTGAGTTTGATGCGAGTGACATTTCGGAGCACTTGGCACGAAGGACACTCGTGAGCCTCGGACGCGCTATTTTAATCACGATCTTGCGACATCCGTCTCCGGCATTGTATTCTCACGTTATGGACATATTTCAAGGCGTTCGTTTATTCCACAAGGTTTTCCCTCGACGCCGACACGGACGCCGGCTACAGCGAGCTTCACCGGTAATCTTTTTATCGTCGTTGTGAGATAATTTCATGCTTGTAATTCATGTGTGTCTGATGCAATTTGGATTTCGATATGAGTCATATGTTAACGGATGTTTTTTTATCAGTTCGTTTTTGTGCGTGACACAATAGATCGAAGATATATATATATATATAGTATATTATATGTATGATTTATGTATGCATGTGTGTATGATCTCGTCATTCGACGACCAATCGTCGGTATGCATTTGTCTAACACGCGTTGATTAAATAACCGCGTGTATAAGTTATAAGCAGGTGTAACGACAAACGTCTTTTACGTAATTTCACGTATGCCCGGACTCCTGTCAAGGATATATGAAAGGATATGCTCGTAACGGAGCAGTGATATAGTAGTAAATATAAAATTCAGCTTTTAAATAATTGGTATTTTACGATACGATGCGCAATGTTGAAATTAGTTCGCGAACGCACATCCTAGATCGGTAAACTGTGCACTCGGATATATATAGTATGTGTAAGCTGTTTCTTTTAAATATTATATGGAAAATTGTTCGGGTTATTATTAATTAAAAATCTCATAGTTGTATGAATGGTACGAATGCTCATAATAACAAATGGCCCGACATTGTTTTGAATATGCGACGAGACTTATAACTTGTTCTGAATATTATATAAAAAAAAATCCTTCATATAATATATAGTCTTATCGAAATAAAATTCATACACATTTAGATTTATATATTTCGATATACTTTCTTTTATTATGTATATATATATATATATGACTAGCTATCATTTGGAAATAAAGTTGAACCTGATTATATCTCTCAAAATTTATTATTTTTATACACTGAATTTATTCTTCAAGTGTATCTGATATATTAAATTATACTTTGTATGTATTGCAATTTTTATATACACAGTTAAAAACGTTTCGCACTTTTGTTAAAATTTTTTGTGTGTAGAAAGTTTTGTGTTAAATTTTTTACATAGTCGTGTGTTAATTTAACATATTGTTGTTGTGTTACTTAGACTTTCTTTTGTTAAATTAAGATTAATTATTTTCAAGTGTTAAAATAACATTTTCAAGTGTTAAAACAACAGAATTTATATATATAAATTCTTGCTCTGACATATTTTATATGTTAAAGTCAACGCTTAAAATGTATTACTTTCCTCATTATAACAGTTATCATGTGTTAAATTAATAGTTAACTATTTTCAACTTTTTAACATATAGATTTTTAACACATTATGAAAATGTTAGATTATGTCAATCTAACATTTTCATATCATCAAATTATAGATTATTACTTTTCCCAAATGTTGAAGTAACATTCATTGTATGTCAATTTAACACAAACTGTGATTCTTGGTGGCATTCAAATGTTAAATTTTTATATTGATTTTTTACATATTATGCGTGTTACTTTTTAACATATTTGCTATATGTTAAATTAACATATAAATGAGAGTGGATGATTTGAGACACATGAACATGAGACATATTTTTTATAGTGTAGAATATATATTTATTTCAGATTTTCTCGAAAAAATCGAGAAACTGTGTGACAAACAATGGCATCTCTCAGGTGGTTCGTAGCAGGAGCTAGTGCTGTGGGTGCTGGTACTCTTACTTCATATTATTTTCTGTCAGATACTACGGTAAGCGTACAATAATAAATTTGAAACACTCGCAATCGGAGGCACTCCGATCATAAATACCAGAATGCTTCAGAATACTTTCTTGAATTCTCTTTTGTTATTACTTACACTATGTATTATATAACACGGTATCTCATGCTAAAATCGTGTCTAGTTATTTGGCGCGATAACTATAGTCGCATACATATATACTTCTCAATTTATCGTTCATCGTTTGGTCATAGGTACACGCCGAGAAGATCAAACCAAGACCGCCTAGGAGGACTTTACCGACGCGGGAGGATCAAGTGAAGACGCTAAAATCGCAAGATTACGATGTTCTGATCATCGGAGGTGGTGCAACAGGAGCAGGATGCGCTCTGGACGCTTGCACACGAGGTATATTGCCGCACAATTTGTACATTCAGCGAATGCAACTCTTGAGTGATCTGAAGCTCTTCGTCTGTTTTCTTCTACAAAGGTTTGAAGACCGCGTTGGTCGAAGCCGACGACTTCGCTTCTGGCACCTCCTCCCGCAGCACAAAGTTAATTCATGGCGGCGTACGGTATCTACAGAAAGCGATTATGCAGTTGGACATTGAGCAATATAGAATGGTGAAGGAAGCGCTTCATGAGCGCGCGTCGATGCTGCAAAGCGCACCGCACCTGGCACATCCGTTACCTATTATGCTGCCAGTTTATACGTATGTTTTTACGTTGATCCTAAGTTTCGTACATATACACAATTATTCCGTGTTACTCGTATTTTTCAAAGACAAATATTTTTACATTCCAGATGGTGGCAGATTCCTTACTATTGGTTCGGCATTAAAATGTACGATCTAGTAGCGGGCAGCAAAACAGTCAAATCTTCGTATTATTTGAGTAAAGCGAACGCTTTGGAACTCTTCCCAATGTTGAAGGGCGACAAGCTGACGGGAGCTATTGTTTATTACGATGGTATGCAAGTTTGTCGCGCGCGCGCGTGTGTGTGTGTGTGTGTGTATGTGTGTGAACATGTGTGTATGATATTCGTTATGATTCTTTCATTCTAAGCTAGCGAGTCGCATTTAGTCGGCCGTATATTCTGTCCGTAAATAAATCTGTTATTTGGCGCAATGCAGGTCAGCAAGACGATGCTAGGATGAACTTGGCAGTCGCCCTGACAGCCTCGAGACACGGTGCAACAGTCGTGAATCACACTAAAGTAGTCAACTTGTTAAAAGGTCTTGATAAGGTACGTACTGGCTGATCGCAGATTAGAATACTTAATGAAAAATCTTAATGAAATCTCTCTTCCACTCCGAAGGACGGTAAGCGAGTCCTTGTGGGAGCTCATTTGAAGGACGAACTCACCGGCGAGGAATGGGATGTGAGAGCTAAGGCGATTATTAACGCGACTGGTCCTTTTACCGATCACATTAGAAAGATGGACGACCAGAATGTTCCTGAAATTTGTTGTCCGTCTTCTGGGGTTCACATAGTATTACCAGGATATTACAGGTAATATAAAAAAATTAATATCGGATTTATTTATGCAACGTGATGCTTTACTTTTATAATAAAAAGTTCTTAAAATTCTTTATAGTGATTTAATATTTATTAATGTTATCAGTAATATTGTTTAATTAGTCAATAGTCGTAAAGTCGATACCAATACTTTTAATTTTATTTACGATTTTACTTATGATTCCCCGTAGTCCCGACCAAATGGGTCTACTCGATCCAGCGACGAGCGATGGCCGAGTGATCTTCTTCTTGCCATGGCAGAAGCAAACTATCGCGGGGACGACCGATCTGCCATGCGAGGTAACGCACAATCCACGACCTACAGAAGACGAGATTATGTTCATCTTGCAAGAAGTCAAGAACTATTTGAATCCTGACGTCGAGGTACGCCGCGGAGACGTTCTCTCTGCATGGAGCGGTATCAGGCCACTAGTCTCCGATCCGAATAAACCGAACACGCAATCGCTCGCCAGGAACCACATCGTGCATGTCAGCCCTACGAATCTTATCACGATAGCCGGCGGCAAATGGACGACTTATCGAGCGATGGCTCAGGAAACCATCGACGCGGCTATAAAAGGTATACATTGTTTAACAAACATAGCTTCATCTTCTCAAAATACTCATGGGTACTTATTTGTAGCTTGCGATCTGCAACCGGAAAGACCTTGCCAAACCGATGGTTTTCTTCTGGAAGGTGCTCAAGGTTGGAGCCCTACGATGTACATTAGACTGGTGCAAGATTTCGGTTTAGAGTGCGAAGTCGCTCAACATTTGTCCAAGAGTTATGGGGATCGTGCGTTCGCCGTGTCGAAAATGGCTTCCCTCACAGGAAAACGGTGGCCAATTATCGGGAAGAAAATTCATCCGGAATTTCCGTACATTGATGCTGAGGTATAAATTTCTTTTTTATTATTTAATTAAGTTATTAAAATTATTTAAATTTTCTTGAATGCGCGTAATCAGAGTATAGGAAATATACATATGTATTTCAGATACGTTACGGTGTACGGGAGTACGCTAGAACTGCTATCGATATGATTGCGCGTCGCCTAAGACTCGCTTTCCTCAATGTTCAAGCGGCTCAAGAAGCATTGCCGGTTATTATAGACATCATGGCCGAGGAGTTGCATTGGTCGGCGGAAGAGAAGAAGAAGCAACATCGTGAGGCCATCGAATTTCTCGCTAACGAAATGGGTCAAATGGTGAATCGCGCCTCCCGCGATAAGATCCCCATCAATCTTACAAAGGATGAGGTTCAACTTTACATTAAACGCTTCGGAATCATAGATAAGGACAAGAAAGGATACGTCTCTATCAATGACATTAGGCGAGGACTAAAGGTTTGGATTTTAAACTTGATATTTATGACAATTTATGTCTGTAACATAGTATTCAGTTGTTCTTCTGTTTTGTCTTTTCTTTTTGTCGTTGAATCGACATCCACTAATTAACGATGTGCAGGTATTAAATATAAAATTGAGCCAGGACGAGATACACAGCTTGTTGAGCCAAATCGATGTCGCATATAACGGCCAAATGGAATTATCAGATTACTTACAGGTAAATCGCAGAATATATATTTAACGTATGCTCTTTTTTGCTTTTCACAGTTGTTCGGAGACAAGGAAGTACCGGGTGAAGAACTTCACGAAATTCTACGCGAAATCGACACCAATATGAACGGTCAAGTTGAATTGGACGAATATCTTCAGGTCTGTTGCATCGCGCATGCACAGTCCGTCGAGCGCTTTTGTTACGCACTTTGTTTTACTTCTGTTTGCGTAATGTGGCGTAAAAGTATTTTTCTAGTGAAGTTCCTGAGTGGTTATTTTTCATTTCTCTTAACACGATTTTAGGCGACATTAATTCTTCACAAACTAAACTCACTCTAAATTCATATGGAAATTGGTAGTTTTGTTGTGTGCATTATCATATTTCTTTTTCTTCTTTCTTCTTCGCTTGATTTTGCTTGCAGTTATTGTAATATATTTATTGGTTAAGTAACATCACATCGTTTTCTTGAATGTCCTTTCGGGATATCTGTTTGCATAATTTATTTTCTTGCTTCATCTTGATATATGCATATATTCATGCATCACTTTTATGTTTAGATGATGTCAGCTATAAAATCTGGTCATGTGGCATATTCACGTTTTGCACGAATGGCTGAAATGGAAGAAGCGCAGCATGAAAAAGAGAAACTTAAGAAACAGATAAGTGTCGAAAGGTCAGGCGGCGGACTATGAAGAAATATCCCTATATTTTAGAGTTTACAAACATTTTAATTTCTCATTGTTTGGATTTTACATACATTTCATCATTGAGATGAAACTATGTACTACAGAATGTCGATTTTTATTTGATCAGATATTTTAAATAATTTTACACACACATATACATATATACATGATTATATATATATATATATAGTCGAAATTCAGTATCTCATAATGAGGTAACAAATTTTTATCCCAAATATTTAAAATAATTTTCAATGAGCTACAAATGTTTTATATTAAACAATTCGCAACACCAAGAGTGAAATGTAATTATTAACTAATTATGGGTACAATTTTATACACAAAGTGCATAATAATATGTAAATTATCAATCTTTAATATATATATTCGTGAAATATTGTTATACAAGTTATATAAGTTGCATGAAATATTATATAAAATTGTCGTCTATCTCAAGGAATGAAATTTAAATCTTACTTATTAAATTCATGCAAATTTGCTCCAAGTACAATATAAACACAATATAATATAAATCACAAATCAGAATTTTGACACAATTATTTGGACTTTATAACTACAAGTTTGAATTGTTCATCAGTACATTTGTTAGCAGATAACTGAAATTTTTGCTATAAGAACAAATTTCTCTTTATATAATTCGGTGTGTTACTTATATATAACATTTGTATTGTGTACAAATGTCAAAATACTCTTGCTCCTACTTGTATATACAGGATTCTAAAGCACTGTATAGTTAAAATTGTATCTTACTCTTGTACCAAGAGTATTGTACGATTCTACATGACGCAAACCAATAATATTTATAATATTATTAATTGTAGAAATTCTGTTTTATTTACTTCAATATAATAATTTCTTGTTCTGTTGACATTTGTAGTATATTTATGCAAGAAAACCGTTGATAAGTTTCAAAATATTGCATAAATAAATTTTGTTATTAGGTTTTTGAAACCAAATTTATTTATAACAAACTATGATTTATGTTGCTCTCTTTATATTTATTAATGTAAGATGAGGGGTTGTACAAATTATAAACATTGTTAAAGATTATCTCTACTCTCTCTTTGGATCAATACTGTAATGTTATACAATGTCAATCCACAATTTATCGCGTAATTTATTTCATCATTATCGTCATATTAATAAAGGCAATGGCAAAAAATAATTGATGTTGCCTAGTTGAAAATAAAAAAGTTTATTGTCTTGTCGTCAAGTTAAACAAAATAAAACTCGAAAAATACAAGGCTGACGATGACGTACTGGTGATTGGTTTTAGTAAGCAGCTGCAAATTTGCACATATATATTGTGCAACACGTTTATATTGATATAAATAGTCGAGAGATCCGGATTCTCGATCTCGACTAAAAACTTGGAATATCTAAAATTTCTTTTCGCAAATATATCAGGATACCTCGCTTTTTGCCCATCATATATTTCTTCATATAAAAATGTAAAAACGCCGAGCACAAAATTTTTAGTCTTTTTAGTATTTGGTACCAGAATACACACACATGATGAACAAAAAAAGTCTCGGTTCACAATAATAATCAAACGTAACTACATTATGAATCGGTAAAGTAAATTGCGTTTAATATGTGCATTCGTTTAATACTCGAATGTACATCACGATTACAAGATATTTGATACACACTTTGAACAAATATTACAGTAATCATGTAAGCAATTACTTACATCGAAGTATATTACTGTAAAATAATTGGTGTCTCTTAATGCTCGTGTACTAGTATAAACTTTTAACTACAATTATTTTATTATAAAACATAATAATAGCCAATTATACATATATACAGACTTATCGCATACATAACTATATCGGAGATACAAAGGAACAATTATTATTATACGTTATTTTTAAGTGGAAAAAATAATTATTATTCGCAAATACACGTTATTTGATTTTCTTATGAACTCAACATACATAATAAGTAATAAATTATGAATCATGATATCGCGATATATGGCATTTTACTTACAATTAACCAATTGAGTATAATTTTGCGAGAACGTTTTGACACATTGGTAAATTTTATATCGCAGAAGTACGGTTAGTACTTTCACAAAACTTCTGCACGTCTTCGGCAGTGCTAGCATAGTCCGTCCGTTATTTATCACTACATTTTATTCCGTTGGAAATCGTTTATACCCTCTTTATTACCCTGTTTATTGCATGCTGTTCAAAATAAATTTTTATTTCGTTGATTCTGATATCTCATTGGTACACCTTTTTCCGTCAGCATGCATTCGTCCACACTTCGTCAATATTAATATTAATATTGAGTACAGTTTTGAAAGGATGACATCAGGATACTCAATGTCCAATATTTCACACATAAGTGTGTGAATCGGCTAGAAAAATTCTAAATCTTTGAGTCTTCTCCATCCATAGTGTGTTCACATTACGAACATTATGAACAAAATCTTTTCATGCAAACATTCAGACTAAATTTTTCTAGCATTTCGTCGAACTTCGTTGCTATTGTATGTATGTTTTCAGAGCTATGTGGCAAATGCATTCTTCATTATTTAACAACTATGCAACCTCAACTCTCACACTCGTCTTCAGGTCATTATTTAATTAACAACATGTATCCTCCTTTCCCTTTATCCAATTACATTCCTGGTACCATTTCTTATCAAAGATTGTAACTGCTGCGCTGCGCCCTGAAAAAGTGAATGGAAAAATTTAATTTATTTATGACTGATAATATACATGAAATAAAGAATACTTAAAATTTTTTCTTAAATATTTAAAATCATTCTTGTAATTTTTCAAAGAAAAGAATAATTAATATAAATTACATCTTACTTCAGAGTTCTTTTCTCCTCTACTTGATTTATTAATTAAATGAAAAGGATAAGTTTAAAGAAAGGTGAGTATTTACCGAAAGTGCAGCGCCAAGAAATTGACCAAATGCTCTAGTAGCAGTAGCAAAACCGCTGCCGGAATCACTTCCTCCTGAAAAGGAACCTCCGAAAAGAGGCGGTGGATACGTTGAACTGGGGATCCATGTTGTAGTCTGTAGCTTTGGTCTGGAGGTTGGTCTCGGAGTCACTACTTTCTTCGGGGTCGTACTGACCGCACGTGACGTACTCGAGACGGGGGGCAATTTAACGGTGGCTATTGTCATTGGTTGAGTAGTCGTTGACTTCATAGTCGGATTTGATTGCGATTGAGTAGCTAAACCTAGGCTCTAATGAGGATATATTAAATGTTCAATTTTAATTTTATAATTTTGAATGAAGATAGCTAAATACATCATTTTACGGAGTTATACAACATGCTGATCATGCTTATTTCATAGATCTTTTCCGAAGTTTCCTGTTGACAACCGAAAAAGGTAAGAAAGTGAAAATTACTCACAGCTAATTGCAACTGTTCTCTAAGCTGCGTTGCTGGCGTCGATGGTTCTATACCTTGCTGCTTTAAAAGTAATGCCAACAAAGCGGCAGGATTCACTTCGGTAGAAGATGGTGCGGCAGTTGTAGTAGTAATAACTTGATTACTTAAAATCGCCCTCAGAAAAGCTTCATCAATCTCGGTTGCTCCTTTGGACGTTGCAGATGTACTTGTTTTCGATTCTAATATAACAATTAATTAATTTATCATAAATTTCATTATAAAATATATTTCACATACACATACAAAGATTGATTTGAAAAAGGAAAAATAACTAAACTTTTTTGTAACATAATTTTAAAGGAGGAATAGAGAAAGGAGAAAAGTATTTTCTACCTACCCGTTTGTATGGCTCGTAAAAGCGCAACTACGAATTTGGCATCATCCTCGGGCGAATAAGTGGACGTAGAGATGTCGTTCAACCTAGGATTCGGATTATTTAACAGCGTCTGACGCGTGGTTGAGATCGAGCTTGGCGTCGACATTGACGCGGAATTGATGTTATCTGAGAGTAATCTAGACGGGGACACCTGGATGTCCGAGATATCTACACTTCTTGGTGTTGTGGGCGATTTAACCGGTGCTGCGGACATAATGTGACTAGTTGCTGATTTTGCGGCCTGTGTCGGGTTCTGAGTTACCCCAACAGGTTTCTGCGTAACGGGTACTGACGTTACTGCTTTAGCCGTGGACTTTTGCCTCGTGTTCCTCGTAATACTCGCTGCTGTAGTTGCTTCAAATAAGCTACCACCACCGAACAACGCTCGCCATAAACTCACACCAAATCCGGGTGCTTGCGTGGTGGTTCTTGGCCTCGATGTCGTTTTAGGCTTGGCGGTAATAACGACTGGTGGCTTGGTCGTTGCAATTGGTGTGATAGGTTGTGTAGATGTAGTTGTGCTTGCATCCATTTGTTTCTTGGTGGTCGATGCGACGTTACTGACGCTTGAATACGGTAACAGATCGATTATTATAGGCTGCGAAGACTGACCAGACGACGGATGGTTGATGGAATTTTCGTTTATATTCAAATTGACGCTTGGAATCGCTTTCGGAGATCGCGTTGGTCCGGGTTTAGCCAGTGCAAGTGCTAAGATCTATAGTAAAATATATTAATTGTGATAGGCTGTTGAAATTTATTATACTGTATTACACATATAATTATTATACATTAGAAAAATTGACGATGTGTTTATTTTACTTACTCTGTTTGCTAACATTTGCTCCACTTCACTCAGCGTTTTTGGTGTGGTGGCTTTAAAGTTGTTATTCTGTAACTGCAAGAATTTTTTTATTGCGATATATATATATATATATATGTATAACTACAAAAGTTAACACTTTGAGGGAAAAGTGACACTGAAAAACCAGTTGATACGTAAGTTGCAAATGAACCAAGATTTACCAGTGAATTTAAGAAAGCCAAATCTCCATATGATGTACCAAAGACGTTCTCCTTTGCGTTCGTCTGCAATTCATTCAGTACGTTTTCCGTAGATTTTGGTATTAGTGACGATGTCATTGCATCCGAAGTCCTTTTTACGTTTGATGAAATTTGAGGAATTGCAGCAGGTGTGGTTGTTATATACGTGGTGGGTTGTATATGTGGGGTAGTAGGTGTAGTACTTGTAATCATTGTTTGGGCTGTCGTGGTTATTGTAGGTGTTGTTGAAGTAGTAGTAGTTGTAGTAGTAGTTGTAGTAGTAGTAGTGGTGGTGGTAGTGACAGCAGCGGTAGTTGTTGCTACGGTTGTAGGTGCTGGTGTAGTAGTAGTAGTTGTAGTAGTAGGGGTAGTAGTACTCGTTGTAGTAGTAGGAGTAGTAGTTGCCGCAGTGGTCGTTGATGCAGTTGTAGGCGTTGGTGTAGTAGTGCTAATGGCAGCCGAAGTAGTAGCAGTTGTAGGGGTGGTAGTAGCGGTAGTTGTGGATGTTGATGAAGTGGTTGACGCTACTAGTCTGCCCTCAGGACTCGTTAGGCTTGCAGTTGGCGTGAATACCTCTACAAGGGGACTTACGGGACGCGCGACATTGTTCTCCACCAACTCGCCCTATAAATAACGATGTAAAATGATTAAACTGATATTTGTTGAATTCTTCCGGTTAATACGTACCAATTGATTCGATGCTACGGATGCTGTTTGTATGGGTGAATTGGTGGTAATACCGAATATCTGATCGAGAGGATCGTTCCAAGGGAAACCAGGAGATGCTGTTATTATGCCATTCGGCTGTTGATTGTTCAACAAATTTTCAAAGGACGGAACCGATGCTAAGGTAGACGCTGAGCCTTCGTTTATAGATGTCTAGTGACAAATTTAGTAATACGAGATTTAGGAAAAGAATGTCATGTCTTTTAGAGAAGAATGAAATGTATTTTAATTAAAATGTTAAGTTTCCCGATATCACATTGATTATACTCACAGCCACTGAATTTATCTTCACATCAACGACTTTCGGATTGACAATAGGTGCTCCGTTAATCTGATAATTAATGAATTTATCCTGAAATATTTATAACTGCTCTAAAATTTTTTTCCTTTTTTTAAATGCTACAACGTTTTATCTTTTTATTACCTGTCCGATATATACGGAGGAACGTTGATCCGATGTTATTCTTGACCGAGAAGCTTCACTCCTGTCGTAGTCTTGAACAATAGGGCCGATTGGATCTTGCGTCTGAACGCTATTTGTAATTGGTATTTGCAGATTACCGATCGTCGACGCTGCGTTTGGTAGTGTACCCATTCGTGTGTTTAATAATATGTCGCTCTGAAATATTTACGTCACGCATTGAATAATTCCAGTCAAAAAGTAAAGAGTGATTATTAACAATATTAAATAATAATATTAAAATAAATTTGATAAATACTCGATAAATATACTCGACTTTTAAAAAATAGTGCAAAGAATATGAAATTGGTGCATTCGTGTCATTTCGCAGTGTACTATCAAGAGAATGTTTAATTGCTTTTTAAGAAGATTCAGAGAATACCACTTCATCTTTTTCAGTTCAAAATAATTTTAGTTGATGCTGATATTTAAATAATCAGGGTTCATTTTTATCAGAGAGAATTATCAAATATCTACTATAAATGAGACTTATAATCAAATTTTGCACATACTACGTGTAATGAAACACACAGTGCGTAAGTACGAAAATTGAAAGTGCAAGTGAGCAGATAATAGTGCTAATAATATGCCACGACTATTTACAAATTTACAGTGATACTTTATGTACAGTATAGCTGTTGTCGTATGTTTCGATACTTTAGACCTGGAAAAAAGAAATATAATAATTGCACGAAGATATCAAGCATACGATGTCATAGAACAGAGTAAATTTTCTAGGAAGTAAGATATAAAGATAAGTTATAAGATTATTTCGAGAAATTGCGTTGTTATTACTGTATATAATGATTTGTCAGGGCATTATGAAACTTTGCCGATGAGAGAATTTTATTAATGTACTTTTCTTGATAAATAATGATTGAAAATTGTATATTAAAATTTTTTCTTTCCTGAATATAATAATTTGTTACATGTAATAAGTTTTTTTAATGAAGAATATTGTTGTTTTTTCGAATAAATAGATTACTCACGTTTAACTTTTATATAATGAATAATAAGGTACATCCTATGTCTGAATATAAAAAAAGATACAAAAGAATAAAGAACAAACAGGTGACATAAATAACAAAGAGACAAATATAAAGATTAAGAAACAAGAGAAACGACTAGATTATAATTTTAATAAATTGCAATTGTTCTCGAATTTTAACAACAAGGTTATTGCCCTGACTTAAGTAGATCGTTGTTAAGAGATTACACCAACGTTATGTTATAAAGTTTATAATAGCAAATTCCTAAAAAGGTTCGCTACTTTATTATCGAGATAAGTAAAATTTTACTTGCGAATAACAGATAACGAATAAGAGAGACTTTTGTAATTTATTCACGATCAACGAATACAATTGAATTTTTATTCGGGATTTTATTCGGAACAATTTACATTATCGAGCAGGTTATCACCCGAGTAATCTCGCATCCGATTATAATGATTCAAACTGATAACGCGTCCTCGTTATCTGTTGTCCGCGCGAATAACGATGAATACAGACAAACTCTGTACTGCTGTCGGAATAAAGTACGATTTGATGATGAAGATGTGATCAAATAGTGATACCATTTTACTTGCGCCCGGGATGCTAGCAGGGGTACCGAGTGGTCCCGTGAAATAGGGCCCACCTCCGAAGGGCCCTAGGGGTACGCCAATTGCGTTAGCAGTAAGTCCATTATCAATGGGGCCAGGGCTCTGGGCGAATCTCGTCAGCTCATCCACGGGTCTACGATTATTATAGTACACCGGGGCTTGGTACTGGTTATTAGCCTGGTTATAAAATGGCCTGGGTGCTGGTCGGTTAGTAGTAGTAGTAGTAGTGCTAAGCGTGAACACAACCTCGACTGGATTCCTGGGCGAGTCCGGTATTAGAGTCCCGTTGGGGAACTTTCGGACTAATCTGCCATCCGGATAGATGCCGAATATCACGTACGGGCTGTTGACGTTCCTGGCGTCTATCAGATTGTCCTCCGGCCGCTTCCGGACGATGGTCTTGTTGGGATAGATACCGTAAATCAAATAGTCGCGAACCGGCGCCTTACTGGAGGATGAGGACAAGGGGGTGAGCCTCGTTGCCGGTGTCATGGGATTACCGCCGAAACGTCCCAAATAAGGGATCGTGTTGAAGGGACCGACAGGTGCGAACGTCGGACCAGTTCGTATCGCTCCTTGACCAATGTTCACGGTATGCGTGTTGAAGAACGTCGTTGATGTGGTCGGCGCACTGGTGGCTAATGGTGCAGTGCTCGTGGTCGCTGTCGTCGTTGTCGTCGTCATCGTCGACGGTGTCGTCGCCGTCGTTGACGGTGTTGTCGTCGTAGACGTAGTCAACATTGTTGTCGCTTGTTCTTGGCCAACGTCCATTCTCGATATCATGTTCGAATCCTCTGGCTCGTTGGGAACAACCGTCGTGCCTTGCGTGGTCAAGATGTCGCCCGATGTTTCGGTAGAGAGGATGTTGTCGTCATTTATGTTCATACTTGAAGTGGTTGTTTCGGACATTGGCTCAGACGTTGTCTCAATAGTCGCTGTCGACGTCGATGTCGCGGTCGTAGTCATGGTCGCAGTTGTGGTTGTCGGTTCTGTCGTCGTTGTCGTCATTACCGTCGGTTCAACCGATGTGCTTGTGATAGCAATGGTAGAGGATTCAGGAAGCATGGGGAGATCGGTCGACGTCGGTGCGGTTGAAGGTGTTGTGACAGTGGGAATGGTAGTTTCGGTCGTTGGCTCGGGTTGGATGGTTCCTGAACCTGCCGTCCCTTGGGCGGTTGTTGTTGCCGTCGTATCCTGGAAATGGGCAATCAAATTTGGATTCTCACTCACGAGATCGGTTAGCATTTGAGTGGGAACGTTTGTTGTTACGTCGTTGGACTGATTAGTGGTGGTGTCGCTAGAGTCTAAATTACGAGCTATTTCCGTGGAAGGCTCTGTACTAAATGTCTGCATATCGTTTGTGTCGGTCGTGTTGGTCGCGTTATAATCGGGTACTATTGTCGTGGTGGTAACTGATGCATTTGCTACAGAGGTCTGATCACTAGTAACCTGCAAGTCGGACGCAAGTTCTATCGTGGTGGTCTCTGGGGTCTGATTAGTGGTATCTATTGCGCCCGTTTGCGTGGCGCTTATTTCTGCTACGTTAGTAGTTAATTCTGTTAATTCCGAATTCAACGTGCTCGTTGTCGTGGGCTCGCTCATATCAACGAGCGTTTGTTCTGTGTTTGTGGTGACAGAGTCGGTCGCGAGAGGGTTGTTAGTAGTGGGACTCGACGATTCGACGTTGCTGCCCGGGATAGTCGTGGGCTGATCTTGTTGCGCGGGGTTGCTGACCGTAGGCTCTTGTCCGGTGTTATTAGACGCTTGAATCGGATTAGTAATTAGTGGGGAATTCACGTCAACTGACTGTGAGGGTGCAGTAGTCGTCTGTGGTGTGTCAATACAATCGCTTGAAACTGTAAATCTTTCCCTTCCTGAAATAGATCCTTCGTCATTCTCTACCGTGCTATTCGCTTGGATCGCCTCGACGTCGGGGACAATCTGGTTCGGTACGTTTCGCGTTTCATTCATCGCTTCCGAGAAAAGGGTCTTCGCGATGGTCATTAGTTCGGTGAGCAACGTGTCATTAGACGACCGAGGATTTTCGCTCTCCGCAGCGAAATCTCGCGAGGTAGGCATCGACGTGACAATCGCGACTTCCGCGTCCGTCGTCTCTCCCGATGAATTCTCCGGACTAAGCGTGTCCTGCATAGTCGTAGTCGACTCTAACGACTCATTTTCTCTCTCGTCGCTCGAGGACGTGGTATCCGAACCTACTGTGTCTTGGGTGATCGTTTCTCGCGGTCCATTCGTTGCGTCGGTAGTCGTCTGAATTGAATCCGCATCGACTGTGTCAGTATTTTGAACGGTCGTTATTTCCGCATCCGGTAATGACGACGTCGTCGTCATCTCGACGTTCATCGTTGAACTCTGCGTAGCTTCCGTCGGCATAGTGCTTACTTGTCCCGATTGCGTCGAACTTTCTGTCGATGGTGATGACTCCGGACTGGTAGCGGTGCTGAGTGTAGCAGTTGAGGAGACATTGCCTTGCAAATGCGACAAAATGTCTTGCGCGAAATCGATCAATCGGGATCGAAACGTAGTCGTGAGGACGGGTGTCTGCGTAGTCTGGTTTTCGATCACGTCGTTAGAGATCTCCTCTGTGCTGGTTTGCTCGCTGGTGCTTGTGACTTCTATCGTCTGGAGCGTCGTCACATCGGACTGCTGTATGATATTCGTTTCTATATCTTCGATCTCGGCATTGCTAGGCATAGTCGTTTGCTCCATCAAACGGCCAGACTGTTGTATGGTGTTCGTTTCTATATCGTCAATCTCGTTGTTAAGTGCAATCTCGGTCGTTATATCCGGCTGTTGCACAGTCCTCGCGGTTGTACCCTCGGTCGCGTCGTTGATCGGTCGAGGGGTCGTTTCCTCAGATTGTTGTATGGTATTCGTCTCGATACTCTCTGATACATCGGCCAACGAAGCTAAAGTCGTTGTTTCCGATGGTACCTGCGTGATCCCACTGACGTTTTCGGTGGTTGGGGTGATTGGGTCTAACGTTTGTGGAGTTGTCTCAGTGGTCGTGCTGATGAGTAGTGCATTCGTATTTTCTGCTTGCGTGACCTCGGTGCTCGTCACCGGCTCGACGAGTCTAGCGTTATTGTCGTTATTGTCGCTGGATTCCGTGGTAGGTAACGTTTCCGCAGTTGCATCGTTGCTGGTCGACGCGTCGGTGCTGGTGATCGGTTCCGGAGTGCTCGGGATATTCGTTATAGCGTTATCGGGGGTAGTAATTCCGATCGATTCCGAAGTGGGGACCGGGGTGGTTTGGTCGGTGTTAACGTTCGACGATGTCGACGGTGGGGTTGTAATCTCGCTCGAGTCCGGATTTACGGAGGTCGGGATCGTCGTCGAAGATGACTCCGAGGTAACCTCCGGGGTATTCTCCGTATTTAATCTCGAATCGAGCGAAACGTCTGCCGACTGGGTGGTAGTGGTGGTAATGTCTACAGTAGATTCTGAGGAGGGTGTAGTTGCGATTGATGCGGTGGTGGTAATGGTGGTGGTGGTGGTGGTGGTGGTGGTAGTTGTGGGGCTTGCGGTGTCATTGTTAGCAGTGTCATTATCGGCGCCGTTAGGTACAGTAGCGTTAGAGTCTACCTTCGTTAACCCGCCCATTAGTCTTTGCTGCTGAGAACCGTCGTCTGCACTCAAATTCTCGTTTTTTATGCTAGCCGACTCTAATGCCTGATAAAAAGTGACGAATCTCGGCTCGCCAGGGTTGACGACGAGGACCGGCGACGCTGAACTGGAATTCTGCAATCAGAAATTCGGTGCGTGCGAGTGCTGTACACACTTTGGTGCAATTACGTGACAAGTCAGTTGGTATCAAACAGAGATCGGTTATGAACATTATCTATATGTATACAGTCTACTGTACATTAGAGGGAGCCTTGCATCTCGGTCGTTATACTACTTTCAGTCATTAAGTGCACAGCTTAGTTCTCTCTAGTGATGATTAAACGTAGCCTATAATAATAACGAGATCTACGTCACATTTTGATGAAGCTTGAAGGAAGCTTGCGTGTGTAAGCGTTGATGCATTTTTAATCGTTCTAATTATATATGTGCAAACAGATGTGCATTTAAGCGAGTCGCGATTGCAGCAGGTGGTTGCGAGAGATACGGTGTGCCTTTTGCGATTAGCAGATTATTTGACAAACAATTCTGAGATGATACAACAATACGCGTAATGACACAACGATACAACTGACGATTACGTTCATACAAGTGGACGTTATGAGCGTTACAAACATACACCATCTCTTGGTAAATGTACGAACTAATGCTAGAGGAAGTGAGTCGAGAATTGTTCCCACAAGTAAAGTTTCGATATATAACAGCTTGGAACTCGTTCTTAAGGACGCAGATATACTGGGAGACACGGCAAAGACTAGTTTTTCCTTCTCGTTCTTTCAATATTTTTTATCTTCTTCGATACCGCCGGCTTTTACTTCGCTTCTGCAGGGGCCTCCACCGACGTACTTTCGCTATTACATTATTACGGAAGTGTTACATTAACGTTTCCTTTCCTTTCGCATAATTCTTTGACGGAGAAGCCCCAAAAATGAAAAATCTGGGCGGCATGTTTTAATTGCGGAAGTAATCCGTGAGATTCGTGTAATTTGTCGTGCAAAAATAATTCTAATTTATCTATAAAATCAACACGAGCGAATTCTAGTAAAAAATATGCTAGCGTAATGCGTGAAAGTAAAGTGTGATACTTATTTGATCACGTACAACGCGTTACAACGACCTGCTATGTTTTTCCTTCTTTGTCCGAATTTTGGGGAGGGAATTTGTAAAATATATGCATTTATTGTACATAAACGCGTATTTTTCTCCTCTATCCCTCCCCCTTGTAACAATATTCTCAACGTGAGAGAAACGTGAAAATTATTATCTTTTTAATCGCAGCGAATATTATATCTAGCGAATATGACAATATCGTTGATACTTATCGAAGATATAATGTTAAATGCGTACAGACATGATTTTTAAAGTGGATTTTGAAGTTTCTAAAGCCTGACGTTCACAAATTGGCAAGTTGAAAATTATTATGGTAGATCATAGCTCGAAGCATGGCTATTTTGTTTTGTCGCTAATGATTCGTGCGTTTACATATGTTTGCTCAAAACGTCAACACTTTTATCGATATCTTTGATGCTTCATTCTTATAAAAAAGACTTATATATGTTGCGTAACAATTATACTTGTATACTGTTTTTATTGTCACGTCTCGTATATTGCAGTTACAATAACTTGGCTAAATGAGGGCAAACAATTGCTAATCGCGTGCGATGCTAAAATAAAAATACATTTATTATAGAAGACATAATTATAAAGTTTGTATGATACAATATTTGCGTATATAGGTGTAAAATACGATAATGCATGCGTGCCGTGAGAGATGACGTGACCATGATCGATGACTGTGCACTAATCCTTTTTCCGACAAAATTTACATAACAAATCATACCTTCTCTCTCTCTCTCTCTCTCTCTCTCTCTCTCTCTCTCTCTCTCTCTGTATCTTTCCAAGGCAGACATTCCTTCCCCTAAATGTGCGTGTGTGTCAGAACATAATGTTCCACGACTAAAGTCGATCGTTATGCCGACAGATCGTCTTAAATCGCCGTGGCGATCATGCGATGATTACATTTATGTGCCAATGTGCTTCCTCAAAACGATCGTATGTGCAAAATGGTATTCACAGGTGAATGTAGACACTGCATTGAATGGAGAGATGTTAATATATAATTTTGGAAAGAGAACACAAAAGAGAAACGACCGTCACTCGTACAACGACAGTCGCGTTAGGTCGCGGTGTTGTAAGGTAACGACGACTACTCGCTAAAGTAGGAATGAGAAGAAAGCGCAATTATAAGACTCGAAACGGTCTCCCCTATATTGCAATCGGGACGATCGGGTTATCGCAGGCTGTTTACATCAATATGATTAAGAACGAGTTTGCTGGATGAGGTTGTGACGATAGAGTCGGTCCATGACGGTGGTGCGACTGCTGCGGAACCCCCTGGTACCTTCGTGGGGAACACCTTTTAAGCACAGAAAATTACCTCACGTAATTTCTCCTGAAGGGAACCATTAACGTTCGGCTCGCATACCGCCTTACCTTGGCCTTTCCATTGCGATACTTTCTTTTTTTTACTACGACTTATCGAGACCTATGTACCTACCCCCCATTCTTTCTTTGTCTCTTTTTCTTTCTTTTTCAGACTACGTGTGCGCGTACTATATGTATTTTACATAATGTAATGGCGTAGTGTGTGTAGTATATAGTAGTTACATATACACATACACAGACGCATGAATGCGAGCAGTTTACAGCTAGCTTAAGTTGGACGCTAAATGAGACATAATATTTGGTCAATGGATTACAAGTACGTATCACTATAACTAACCGTGAATTTTATCGTCACGTCGTTATCGTCGCTTTTCAAAGTGAAAACTATTTCTACGAGTGCATTTTTATACGAGTTATTAACATGTAACATGTGACAGTTTATCGACAACAAGTTTATCGCAAAGTGACGAGGTACCACACCACATGAAATGAAAGTATCGTGTGACGTAATTCGTATGATTAGAGCTAGCGAATTTTCCGAATGATCGAGTTCTCTCTGCTTCGATCGAGTACACAATGTGTAATTAAAAGGTGGTTACAATGTGCGTTAATGGACAAGAAAAGCTTCGACTCTCTTCTCGACGACATTCCCTCTTATAAGATTCTCTCCAAAATCCTCAAAAGTCTTACCTCTATTGGCGTCGAGGCCGTGGTCGACGACGTGGTGATCGATGGTACTACAGCTTGACCAATGTTCGGTTTTCTCACGAGCAACTCTGCTCCTTTGTACCTCGCGCTGAATCTCGGCGGGGCACCGTTCGGCGTTATCCTGGGCGCAGGATTCTGTTTTCACAAAATATGAACACATGCAAATCTATACCAATCTGCACCAATTGTAACAACACGTAACTGTACGTCGTGCTAAATTCCTCTTAAACTTAAACACCTCACATTCCATTGTATCTAATATTATTATTATTATTGTTATTATTATTAGTATTATTTTTTTATTGCAATATACTTTCAAACGGATAAGCCGTCGTGACTGTTTGCGACTGCTGCACGTTCAAAACGCTTCGGACGCGGACTAAACGACACTCAAGTAGCTGGTGATACCTTGAAAACTTGCTCGCGAAATGGAGAATTTAATGCTCTCTAGAAAGTACAATCAGATATTCTTTATCAAAATATTATATTTATAATCGCTGGTTCAGTTAGCATACACACTGCAACCAGTGAAATCTCGCTTATATTGATTCACCTAAACAGAGCGCGGGATTACTCATCACGTGTCATGAATCTTTCGAAGGTAATCACGCATGTAGTGGACGATCCGATTCAGCCGCACTCACCCCGTTGGAGTCCACGTTGGAGTAAGCGCCAGAGAAGACGGGGGTCTTGTTGCCCAGGGTATTCAAGAGCGGTGCCACGGTGCTTCGTAGCTGCTCTAACAGCGTGGTCGTGTTCCCGGCGAGGAACGCGCTCCTGGTAGGGTTGAAGATGTTGGAGCCGCTGACGCCGTTGCTGCTGTCGGTGATGCCGGCCAGACTTGGTGCGCTCTCGCTGGGTGTGTCGATCCTCACGCTCACGAACGGTTCGGTGGGCACTGAGCGAATATTCGGGGTGGATGACTTGACGCTGGCGTGAAACTTGATCGGTTTCGGCGTGATGGTGACGCCGTTGGCGACGGCTGTTCCTTGGTCCTTGGTCACCATCGGCTGGGACAAGGAGCTGGTCGGCGCTTCCGAGTGCCTCCTGTAGGTCGCCGTGCGCGGACGAAATTCACGTCGCTTCGTCTGCGTCACCGTTGCTTCTGTACTGGCTGCCTTGGGGACGGCGTCGAACGGCTTGAAGACACCTGACTTTTTCCTGATGTATCTGCTGGTGGGCCCGACGGTCCTCGACGTCACCATCGAGATGGCCACCTTGTCCGGCTGCTGCTTCGTGTAACGGGGCCGGAAGCTATTCTTCGTCGTGTCACTCGTCGTCTCCTGCGAGCTGTCGTTTTTCTTCGAGTTAGGGACGTAAACGGGGTACAACTCCCTCGGTGTCGCCGTTGTCGGCGTCGTCGTGATTGTGGTTGACAGGTGCGAATCGCTCGACATAGTAACGGTTGGCGACAGCGTGATCTCTTGAGCGAATTCTGTGGTGAGGAACCCGGACTCCGTGGAAGTGTCGACCTCCGTGGTCGACGTAACGCTCGAGATGGTGGTTGTTTCCTTTTGGTCGGGTTTCGCCGGTTTTTCAATCAGTGTCTTGTCCAGTTTCATCGGCTCGACAAGTTCGGTCGTGACGATGATGTTCTCGTCTATAACATCCATCGCGTTAATGGCCATCGTTGACATTTCATCACGCGACACCGTGGTGCTTTGCGATATGGGAGATCGGATTTTGGTCGTGTCGATAATAGTGGCGGCCGTTTCTTCCACGGGGGTGGTGCCACGATGCGAAGTCGCGATTTCGCGCGGAATGGCGTTGAGCTCGACAATGCTCTTCGCGGAGGTTCTCTCGAAGAGGGAAAGCGCGACTGCTCCTTTGGGGATCACTCGGCCCTTCTTGGTCACGGGAGGTCTTGACGAAGCGTCGGGATTCGGGTTCTTCGAGAGTTTTCTAGGAGTCCCCACCATTTTCCATCTGCCTCTCAAGCCCGACTTTTCTTTCTTTGCACTTTCGCTTATCAGACTTCCGTGTGCAATACGAGAGCCGTTGGCTTTGGTCGTTCTTGTCGTTTTCTCTATAGTCCTGCTCTCGCTGACCGTCGAGGGATCTTTCATTTTGGATTTACCGGAATAGGGAGTCGTCGTTACGTCGAAATCATTCTCGTCGACGTTCAATTCGGGTTTAATTAATCTCCTAGCTAAATCCAGTTTTAGCTTAGACCTTTCGGAGAATAGAGCTGAGCTTGGTTTTGTAGCCTGAAAAGGTCGTTCAAAGAGCTCCGTTTTAGATTCGCGACGGAAATCGCCATAATATGCAATTCGTAAGCGACCTGCCGAAAGCCCGAAAGTAGGCTCTGTTAGTGCGGCGCGACGACCTTGACAAGGCGTTCGTCTTCCTCGACTCGAAGCGACGTTCTCAAGACGTTTTTCGTGAAAATTAATTGTAGAAACGTGTGAATTGTGTCTCTCTTTCTCTCTCTTTATAATAATGGAAAAACTAATACATATCGATCGTCTAAGAGCGCTGCACCCATTCTGCTTTTTAAGGGGAGAATAGAAGCCAGATGAACCGAAGAAAGAAGACGATCCATGCGGTTAGGTGACTAACGACATTCTCGAGCCATGATTTCATTGGCGTGGGTAACGACTGAAAGTTTAATTGTTCTCGTCAGACAGCACGTTTCAAGTGAGAATATTTCTTTATACCCTTCGCGAGGAAAAGTGATAAAGAATGGGAGATGCGAATCTCGAAGAGGAAGATTAGTAATTTACACATGAAACATCCGATGAAATACATGGAGAGAGTATACGTCAAGTATAAAATATATAAAATTTAACGAGTGTATACACTGATTTTGTTAATCATTGACTCTCTAATTATCATTAAAGCATATATCTTCGCAGTCTAATTATGACTTTGTGAAAACATTTTTTTTCATAGGTATACTTTGCATATATATGTATATATATATATATATAGTTTACAAACAAATATATTTATATTAGATATAAATGTGATACCGTAATTCAAAAGAAATTTATTTTCGATGATCTAAAACGCAAAACACCTTACAACTCGGAATATTTCTCTGTGTGTGAGCGGGCGATTGTGCTCTTTCTCTTTTTATTTATTTCTAATCAAATTAATACCTCTAATAAGCGATCGTACGGCACACAATTACATACTGTTCTTTATACCATACCCGTGCTTCAAATAAATATAATAGGTGCTGTCTCTAAGAATGGTATTAAACACCTGTTCCTTTTCTTTTCTTTTTCCTATTGTGTCATTCTCCTTCACTTTTTCCCGTTACACAGCAAAGCAAGGTGTTTTTATAAATCTTACGTAAGATTTGAGAAACTATAATACATATTTCAGATGTTACTTATACCACAGAAAGAGATGTTACACGATATTATTTCAAAATATACTTCTTTTTTTCTAAATGTGTGTGCGTCGAATAAAGCTGTGCAAATAAGAAAGATTTTATTCTACACTCGATATATCGAACCTGTCAGATTTTCTGCAAGTAAGACAACGATATCCTTTTAGAGAATATCTTGTGAACCGCGTAAAATTAAATTCAATTATTCGTTTGAGTAACAACGTGATTATACTTGATTCGCTTCAATGACCTACCTGCGAGTATACTTTCTCTCTTGGATTAACTAGCAACGTAAGAACAAAGAGGAAAGCCGACGGTATCATAACTGGTTTGTAGAATTCCAGATCCCATTTCATTTATCACGCGTCGTTAATAGTCTCATCTAATCGCCTTTAGTTTCCAATCGTTTCGTTTCATCGAAAGCGTCTGAACGTGAAGCAAAATTCGAATTGCGACCTAAAGATTTGACGGGAAATCTCTATAAATAATCATGCTACCTTTAAGATCCTTTGCAATCAATATATATCTTGAATAGAATATCTTGAGAAAACTTCTCGTCGAGGATTCGCCATTTCTTACATCATAATAATCGTTCGATCCAGTCTTGTTTGGATGTTCACTGCGATGCCTTTGTTCTAAAGCTTCTGTAAACGCATAACGAAAGCTTTCCGATGCGAAAACCTCGAAGAGTATATCTTTCGAAACATAATCGTTTCGATTGTACTCTACCACCACCAATCACCGAGTAAGTTTCACTGGCAGAACCAGTTCAGAAGAATGTTAATAAGGCATCATTATATCCAGTTCCAATTGGTTCTAAATGATGCACCTGTGTGAGTTCGTGTTTACAAAACCACCAGTTTTTTATTAACCACACCGTTTTTTATTTCACATCTTGTCGATTTTCCAGCCCGATCGTAGTCTCGAAAAGCGGTCGCGTTCGGCGATTATTCATTAAAGAGATCATTCGTCTCCGTCACGGAGACGAATAAAGTTCAAAGGTATTCCTTGATGAAAATAGAAGCCAAAGCTAAATTTTTTTCATTGTAATATTTTTTTCTAAAACTGAAAAAGTGGACATAAAGGTGTAGAGGGAACATGTGTACCAAAAGTGATTTTTCTCGTGCAAACAGGGAGCCGCTTGACAAGTCCAGTAAAAAAAAAAGAAAAACAGACAAAGCGATTATCCGATTAGTGCGTAAAAATCTCAACCTGCTATTAAAACTCGATGGTACTTCCGTTATATTCTTACGTGTCGCGTGTGTGGGTCAGATACCGAAGTTAAGGGATTCGTAGGAACGACGTCTAACAATACATCTGTCGCGAACGTATTTTCCACAGTTTCGATATTTTCGGATACATGCGGTTTCGTGCTGGATCGTATATGCCGACGGATCGTAACCCTCGGATGTTCCTACGTAGGACATTTCAAGCTTTATACATATGTATAAGAAGAATGTATACGCGTATGTGTCGGGGGTAAATCTGCACCGTATTAATTGATTTACCATGTTACGTATTACCCTCGTATGTTTATTCAGGGTCGACGAAAATTTGAGAACTAATCGACTACTACTTGTCATGTTAAATCTCGATATTCGTAATATCTACAAACTCAAATGTTTACAAATGGCTTTGATTGAAAGAGGTATAGAATGCATACAAATGTTAAGAATCGTTAATATGTTAAACGTACGTATTAGTTATCAGTTTTTATCTAATAAATAAAGATACCAAACATTGTGCGCCTTACCTGGGAACTGGTTCTAGTTAGGCCCTTCGCCCCGGTAGGTTTCGAGTTTGAATTCTTCTGGAAATATATTTCAGTGCCTGTGTATTTTACGGTCAATTTCTTTGAACGCAGCGGCGTTATTAATACAGCGACCATTATAGTTCACGTTGAAAATAGTCTCAACTGTACAGTGAGAGGAGTACAGGATACTTGCAAAATATCGTAAAGGGAAATCATCTTGCTAATAATTTTACGATAAACACGTTTGTTCCTGTGTCAATTTAGCCGTGTCAATTTAGCATTCACCGGGAAGCTGCGCTTCGGGAATTTCGTATGTTACGGGGAAAAATCAACCATCAAAGATCCTTCTAATGTAAGATATCTAAGCAGACAAGAGCTCTTCTAGCGCAAGCAGGTTCAGACTCACCAATTGAGACAGCCTTGCCCGAAACGCGGGAGGATAATTGTCGCTCTCCTCCTGCTCTACTCTCTTGGGTAAGTCGAAATTTTTCGACTTGTCGAATGTTTTGCTACCCCTGGTCACGCTCTTCGCCGCGACGCCCGAAGCGGTGTTAGTCTCATCCTTCGCTTTTGGCCTTTTGGTGCCTCTTCTGCCGGCTTTCGCATTGCTTAACGGCGCTTCTGGTGTGCCTCTCGGCGAATCATTGGGCGAGATGACTTCATTGGTCTGATCCCGATTAATCGGTGCAGAGGTAGTCGACGGAACATCGTGATTGACGTGACTAGGTCGCCGTCTAAGAGTCCAACCAGGATTGCCACGTAATTGCGTCTCGCTTTTCGGCGTAGTGCTTTTCAAATCCGGGACATTCGAGCCGAGCCCCTCAGTCGAGCTCTTTCGACCACGAAAGCCTAGGCCGTGATTAAAGAAGTCCTCCTTCGGAGGCTTCTTCGAACGCATACTTTCTCCCCTGTCCCTTCCCTTGTTGCGAGCGGTTCGATCGGTCGTGGATGTACGGGCGGCCGCTGGTGTTCTGCTCATCGAAGAGGCGGAATTGGATGTCGTAACTTCTGCGCTCGGAGCAAAAGAAGAAGCGGTCGTAGTCTCAGCGATCGTCGCTTTCGGAACGAAAGCGTACGCGGTGGTAATGTCTGGGAACAATAGGCGTTTTATGATCAAAACTTTCGATCAGATATCGGATCGGGCTTTCATTCGGCTGATGGACTACTCTTGCGTAACATTCGCGAGTGACTCGATATGCCAGGAGTTTACTACGAACACATTCGCCATCGTGCGTCGTATATGCATGACGCATCGATCCTCATGAAAAAGCAACATCGTGTATCCGTCATCGCACAGCGATGATCCTTCATGTTATGCCCACCCAAGCAAGTTCGATCTGTTTTGCGTGAAAATGAATGATGAAAATTACACGAAAATACGAAAAATGTAGGGCGGCTTATAGCAGGCGGTTTTCCAGACGAACGCCGGTAAGCGCTGACACGCTGAGTCTCCTGATCGAGGAGAATGAAACTTACCTTGGCCGCTGACAGCGCGTGACCGAGCTCTGGACTGCGCCCGAACTGCATCTCGCTCCTCCGTTCTCGATTCCGTCAACTTTGTCGACCTGCTGTCGCCGGATCTGCGTTTCGTCTCGGGTGCGCGTCTGTCGTTCGACGAGCTGCGTCGCGTCTCCGTCTTTGCGTTCGCACTCGTCCCGAGATCGATGTCTACGTTTCTGCCTCTAGCTCCTCCGCTACTTCTCGCTTCCGTCGCGGTGTCTCTGGACTTCGGCGCGGGACGGCCCCTGGAGCTGTTGCTGTTCTTCACATTAGACCTGCCTCTGCTGTTGGAAGATCGTCCGTTCGTCTCCGCCGCGGATGAACCTCGTTTGCGGGAAGCGCTCCCGGAATTCGTCGCTTCGACCTGACTTCGACTTTTCGCGGACTTGGATCTGTCGCGAGACTTGGACCTGTCGGACTGCCTGCTCTTCTTCGCGCTTGATCTCGTGATATCGTTGCTCTCCGCCCTCTCCTTCAGCGGTCTCGCGGCTTGTCTTGAAGACACGTTGACGGATGAGGTCGCGGCGGATGCTGAAGGATTAGAAACAGCGCTTGCGTCATTCCGCACCTCCGTCAGAGGAATGTCCACCCTGACGCTCTCGGAGCCCGACAGCGGAAGGTCTCGTTCCTTTTCATTGTTATTATTCCGATCGCTGGAATTGTTCGCGCTCGTCGTGTCCATCCTCCTCGAGGCCTGATGGATGCTCCCTTTGACGGTGATGTTCTCTGTGATGTCGGCGGTTTCTGCCAATTTCTTCCAGTGTTCCGGTTGCGACTTCGCTTCCTCTTTTTCCGATCCACTAATCGGCGTCTTAACGTTCTCGGAGGTCTTAACGGGGAATTTCCTGGACCGTGCTGCTTGGCTGCTCAGTTCCTTCTCGTTGTAATTCGTGTAAATCTTCCTCCCTGTTCGTGATCTCGGACGGTTGGGCGATTTTGTCAGCACCTCGAGGTCCAGTTGTCTGCTGTTCTCCAGAACAGGAGGAGATGCCTCCGAAGACGATCTTCGCGAGGCTGTCTGTCGTTTCGGTATTTGTAACGCGCTCTCTTCGTTGCCATCTTGCCTACCTTTTGCTATTTCTCCCTTGGGAAACTGCGCGGTGTGCGATTTCGTGCGTGAATTTCTTTGATTACCGACATCGGAGCTCGAATGTTTCGCATTCGTCCGCAACGTTACGTCAACAGGGCCACCAGTCGTTTTTGACAGTTTCAGCTTCGATCGTGATCCGATCGAACTTTCTCTTGCGACATGCGACTCGTGTTTCTTTAACTCGGGCACCGTTTCCGAACGGGAACTTTTGTCCCGAAGTGACCTCGACGCCTCGATCGACGATGCGAAGTTATTATCTGATTCTGTCGTCGGCTGTGAGTAAAATCGCGTGCTACCGCGACTCTGTGCTTTCTGCCCGTCCGTCTGAAATCATATCGCGGTAACGTGTGCTTATTTATATAATTTATCGCAGCAGAACGGAGCGAGGCGAACCACGTCTCCGTCTAATCATTCTTTTCTAACCACGTGCATTCGAACGTCGAGTAGACGAAAATATAAGCAAGAGACACATCAAATTATGGAATTCGCCCTTAGAATTAGTGATGCCGATTTTTTTTCAAACAGATCGATTTAAAGATCGATTCGAATTACGGAGAAAAAAATCGATCTTTAAAAATTCGGTTTATAAAGAATTGATTTCAGAAAATCGATTTGAATATCGGTATACATATAGAGTGAACCACTTATTAAAGTATATTATCTGTCAAATTTCGACATTCTAAAGTAGACCTCGTGTAATTCATATAGTTTAATATGAATCAAAGAAATTAAATTTTAATATGAATTAGAGAAATTAAACATATGGAATTCTTTTGGTTGTGTTCTGTGTGTGTGTGTGTGTGTGTGGCCAGAACAAAATAGAAAAAGATCTTTAAATCTTTGTGCTAAGGATTTATTAATTAGTTTGATTTAACGTCAATCAAGGGTTTTTAAACGTTATTAAATAAGAAATCACGTTTACTATTATATGCATATACATATGTACACAATGTATATTATTATATGGAGTGGCTGTGATTGGTTCGCGCGTTTCGTTCCGCTGAAAATTCTCGCCCATGGGACATCGGTCTAAAGGCAACATAATGTGCATTGTGCAACCATTGAGTGAGTACAAATGTTACAACTAAAAGAAGTAAAAAAAAACTATATTACAATTAGAAACTGAAAAAATCGTGTCGGCGATTTTCAGAATTTACAGATCGATCTTTGAATCGATTTGAATCAGTTCCAGAAAATCGATTTGAAATCGATCTTTTAGGCTCCGATTAATCGATCTTCGATTAAATCGATTTAAAATCAGTATCTCTATTTAGAATGTCAGAAAGTGCACAAAACGATCTCGACCCGTAACGTTTCACTTAGAAATCTCATTTACAGATGATCGATGCGCAACTGCTGGACTGTAGTAATCGGGCCGGATAATGATAATTGCTGTATTATCGTCCACCCAGGAAGTTGCAATCTGTGCGATCTTCGATATCAAAGATACGAGAAACAACACACCGTCGAGAGTGGAGAGCTCATGCGGGCCCAAGGAAAAAGAAACCGTAGCGATACGCGGCGACTCGATTGCGAAGATGCCATACCTGACGAAATCGCGGAAAGACACCAATTACGCGATTAAGAGGATCCTCTGAAATCGCGATTAACGCAAGTGGTAATCACCGGTAATCTCGATGGGTCGACGGACTCGGTCGATCGATCAATCGGCCGGCGGTTATCGTTGATAATAACGCGCCCGGCCTTCCCTATTAATTGCGTCTGCAGTTGTTACGGCGGAATAAGCCATACTTGTCGCGGATTATACCTTCACCGTCAGCGTTAACGAGCCCGCATTAAAACATTCGTGACTGCATTGACTCGCTGACGCTTGCAGGAAAATGATTCCAGCACAAGCACACTCTTGGTTTGGCTTTTTCTCGCGTTCTCCTCGTAGCTATAAACGACAACGATTTCGTGATCGGCATTCGAACAGTAATGCTAATGTGGGCGTTGTCGGTACCGATGAGACATCTAATTAGATTCCGTGTGTGCATGTATATGTGTCGCCCGCTTATATCCTGTTCGCGCGAATTGGAATTCAAATATATCTTAGTAGAGCCACAGCCCTGAGTGGTTGGTTGGTGGCTCATGGCGCGTGAGTACGCGTTCCAGTTTCATTTACGATCTGTCCGAGCCCCGCGTTTAGTCGTCGTACAATCGATATTGAAAGTAAAAGTCGGCGTATAACGTCACGGCACGCTTGCTTCCTAAGGCATGTCGCTAAAAGCGAGCCGCTGCAAACCTGACTTGTCGACGAACGGAGTCGTGTGTAATCGAGACCGCGAGAAATTTGAGAATAACATGCTCTTTGAGAACAATATGCGAATCTCGCGACTCTAACGACACAGGGAGGTGAACGTATTGTCAAAGCATTCGTTTCTCAAGAAAAAAAAAAAAAAAGAAAAAAAAGAAAAGACAGTAAAGATCCGTAAAAAACAATAACGAGAAAACGAAACGCGGCAGGGATCGAAATACGTAACGAACGGTACGTTACGGATGTAAGGAACAGGTAAGGAACAAGCGGTAAGGAGAGCGTGCGCAGCGAACAACGCGAGTGGAGAGGTGGATTCGATTGAAGTAAGGAACCAAGTGAAATTGCGCCGGGGAATAATGAGTCTGATTCACTTCGCCATGTAAAATTATATTCTAATAGAGGCTGAAACCCCGCGATCGATTGACCACACGCTCGGCGTTGCTACGTTTTATTGAGACTACAGATGCTTATAACGCCGTGCAAATTGTTGGAAAAGTACTTCGGACAGGTGAGAGGCTCGCTCCGCTCTCCCCGAAGGTGGACTGCTTCTGCAGTCCGTGGAATCGAGAGAGTCTATACCGTCCGACGTCCAGGCGCATTGTCCTTGCCACGACGCTCGGTGGAATTCATACGGCCGATATTATTATTTAATCTATCGCGCTCGTAATATTTTCCGCGTCAGATCACGGAAAATGGCCCCTCCGCACTTCGCGTTCTTTTTTTACGGACTGTAAAAGTTACGTGTTATCACAAAGCGCCTCGCGTTCAATGTGACGAAATGTCCGACCGACGGAGACGCGAAAAAAACGCGACGCTCTTCCGTTCAGAACTTTTCCGCTGACGCGGCGTGTCTTTCGCTCTTCTCTGTAAAATTACCTGGGAAAAATACAGAACTGGAGAGAGTACGCGAATAATTTCTTCGCTCGCTATAAATATAAATAAACCTTGCGAGGTCTCACAGCGAGTAGCTGTATTAACATATATCTTTGTTCGCGTCGCGGATATTGTACAGAAAGCACGTACAGGACGCGACCTCAAAAAAAACTGGTTCGAATGAGCCAGTTTTGAAAGGTGTGGCCCCGTCGTCGCGAAATTAAAGTACGAGTAGTTTATAGCTAGCGATTACTTAAGAATCATCACTTTCACCCATACTTTCGCGCTCCTCGTGTAGCGTATGCGGCAGTAACGGGATGAAAGCGCATTGTGATACAATTATGCATTCAATACATCGCCCGATGTGGACTGACATTGAATCAATATTAATATAAACATATAAAACGCAGATGTCTATGTCAGTGATACTTTCGGGACACCTGTTCGCATTCGGCATATAAGTGTAAACAGCGAGATTAAATGTTTGCTTCGTACGATGTGAATAGCGCCGTATAAATTAATATTTTTCGTCTGAGATCAAGTGACAACCGGAGAACACTTGTGCATACGCAAGTATTACAAGTGGATGTACATGAAGATCGTGTTAAGCGAGATCGTGATTTCGCTTTTGACTTCTGACCTTTCGCGAGCTGATTATCATACGCATATGTCTCGGGATTATTCGGTAAGATTAATGGTGTGTGTTTCGATCCTCAGCAACCCGAAATCTTGATTCTATTTATTTTAGAAATGCGGAAACAGCGTCAGAAAAGTCACGAAAGAGAAAGCTTATCTCTTATAGTTTCAACATTCCGGAGAAAGATGCTAAGCGGTAGAATATTTCGTAAAGTATTTGTGAAATCTGCCGGTTGTTTTTGAAGAATTCACACGTATGTGACATTTACCTTCACTCGATTAATTATTCCACCAGTGCATTCTATCCTAATGGGCAGTTTTGCATTTAAGTTCATATCGCTAATTAGTGTAAAAGATAACGCGATATTATAAAATTGGTTCATAATAATGCAAAAACCGATTAATTATACTCAACTCGGCGAGTTGAGTTCTTTTTTCCCTCGAGCTGTTTTGTCTTCCAGAACAGATTCAGTCGAGAACAATAAACTCTCGCGTTCCCATCATTAATGAGGGATATTGGACTTGCAGACCATCCTTTTAACATTACAAGTACGGAAGCGACTGAGAAAAACCTTTGTTATGCTATTGTAACTACCGTGCGTTAGGTTTCCGTACACTTTGGATAAGTGAGTCATTACTAAGAATTAATGTGAAAAGCGTAAGTATAAGTTACACCAAGTACAGCCGCATTATCGTTGGATTAACAATAAAAGGATACACAGAAAAATATAAATGTCTTCAGAAACGGCAGATAATACCGGACACGCGTTATGTAGTAATTTGCATGTTGTTTTTGAAAGTGAAATTAGCTTCATTCTATTTATTCCGATTAATTCCCGGGGAAAGATCCATCATCCACGTCATTTTACTCTTCCGCAGGATACGCACGACGACATCGCGCTACATTGCAACTGCAAGTTGCTTATATAATCGTTCGTTTTGTCAAATCCTCGTGCGGTGGAGACGAGAGAAATCCCCCCAAAAACTTACTTTAAGGATCATAAAAAAAAAAGATAATTAAAAAACCGAGAAGACGGAGAAGATGTAACGGACTTCAGGAAGTCCGCTGAAGCGAACGATGCAGAAGCGGCACTTTCTCCAATGGAAAACCCGATTTAGATCGCACTTGTACGCGCTTGTGCAATGCGCTACATCCGTCTGCGACTTGCACACTTATCGGCGCGTGTGTACGTATATACACGCGAGAAACATCATCGAGCCGCGAACGTGCGTTTAGCGCAATACGCAATTCACGTCGGGTGCACGCATACGTTCGTGCGCGCGTGCGCACGCGAATGTGCTATCACGAGATATGCGAGATAGATTGATCGAGAACGACGGGATGTGGATAGTACGTAATTTACTTTGGCAAAAGGATTCGAGGAACGAGATTGACGTCGCGCGTCGAGTCGCGTTTCGCGCACGGCCGGGTGTGTGTTGCGTTCCTCGAGGTTCGAGGTAACCCTTTGATCGCGCGCTCTCGCAGTGTAAAAATCCTTTCACGTTTGACACTTGAGACAACAGAGCGGAAGAGCTCGTCGTCGTCGTCGTAAACGTGGAATAATTACAAATGTACGAAAATGCAGTTTTGTCTGTGCGTAAGCGCTTATTATATGCGGAATACGCTTGAGATGATTTCCCTGCCCGAGTGGCAGTGAGTTTTACGTTAAATCGTAATTCTTGCAGAATTAACGAAGAGGATATTGCACATCGTGCGGATAAAAGAGAGGTCTGCCTTGAACCATGCATCGATTTCTGTTGGGATAATTTACAAATCATCAGCAGATCGATCTTCATACCACCGTTACAAATCGCCCGCGATTATGATGAAATGAAAGACACGCGGCGAGCGCCGCGATGGCCTCTTTTTTTTTAACGAGCCGTTCATTTATACAGCGATAATAAGAATTGCCCTGGAATGAGAGAGATGTGGTTCTCTGCTCTTGCGTAACGCGTCATTAAATCGATAAGAAAATCATCCCGCTGTTGCTTCTATTAAGTCCATGATTGTCAGTGTGCAGAACGGGGAATAATTGCGAACCTCGCGCTTACGTTCACCGTAAGCAAGAATACGCGTTTCTTCGCTCGCAAATGCAAATGCGAAAACTCTTACTCGATCCAGCTGTCGACGCGGTTCAACTCGGACGCATTACTCGAATAAATATCTTAATTGGTTTGTTAATTCGATCGACATTTCATTCGTCGTTGCGCCATCTCACTCGTTACGTCCCAATTATCGGATTTTTTTTCGTCAGCTTCGATCGCTTCGATTCGTTTAGGCGCTCGGTGCAGTTAATTACGATTACTCCTGCGCGAGGAGAGGATACGATACGATTTACTTTGTTCATCAAATAAATAATCTTTATGACGGAGTAAAGAAGGGTTATTTTTGGTCACGCGGTATGCATATCGTTCGCTAAAAGCGAACGGTGCAACACTAGGCGTGGTCCATGCAAACTTGCGATCTGTTTTTTTTCTTCTTATCCTCTCACTCCATTTATATATGCGTTCTATGTGTGCATGTTCTACGTTGTATCGCACAGCGTCTCTCAATACCTGGAGATCGAAGCGAGTACTATGTGTTTACTATGTGTACGTTCAGCAAAGGTGACAGTTGCAGTAGCCTCGAGATAACCTCAGTTCGAGAAAACTCGACTCGAAATGTAGTAATAAAAAGAATGTCACGAAATAAAGTCCGAAACAGACGATCACGTCCGTGAGACCGAGATAATGAAATGGCTCTGCTCGACGGAGGTAACAAAGCGCGATTTAATTCAGTTGAATAAAGGAAGCAAGTGCTGATTTGTTGCGAAGCATACGGGACGCGAAGATTTTCCTTTCCGACGTTATTCGAGTGATCGTCGTGAAGAAGCACTTCCTTTCTCGGCTTCTAATTACAGCGTGCGCAGTGTGCAACTTCACTTGCGCGATTTAGTCGAATAATACGAATCGACTCGTTCCGCTGGGTCGATGGCCTTCGTGTAAAAGAGAGGGAGAGAGAGAGAGAGAGAGAGAGAGAGAGAGAGAGAGAGAGAGAGAGATAGAAGGAAAGAAAATCAGCGCGTTGCAATGTCGTAAATGCTAACATTAAGTACGCATCCTTGACACAAAACGCATGTAAAACGGATCTCGCCTGTCTTCCAGCCTATCTCGCACGTTATTTCACAAGTAAATTGTGAAAAAAGTTGTCTTTGATATATTTTTTTAGGTTTACGTTGCAGAACGTTCCACGCGACGTACGGGAAAAGGAGCTCGGCAAACTTATGCACGTCCTTCGACAAAGTGCACAAAACGATTCGTGTGCGCGCATTCATCGTTTCTTTTTTGCATTTCCCGTTTCCTTCCTCTCCCCCCCCCCTTCCCCCCATTCTTCTTTGCATCTTTTCGTTTTGCATCAGTGCGAAGGGACGCAAAAAAATCTCTCTTTCAGCTTCGTACAATAACAACGTGCCAACGTTGCACAATTTCGGCAGAACCGTTTATTCGCCAGGATAAAAAGGAGAAAATCAGTCGGTGTGATTCTAATAGACTCTCTATCAATCTACACACACACACACACACACACACACACACACAATTATGCGTCTCAATTATCGTTACCTGATTAGTCCGTCCACGAGAGGCTTCGGTAACAGCGAGTATCAGCAGCAACGCCACTACCAGGCCGAACGAAAACGTCCGTGTCATTCTAAAAGAAAAGAAAAGAAGAAGAATAATGAAAACATATCGATATTAAATCGATATGAATATCGGAATGTCCGGAGCGTGCTGACTGAGAAATTTCGTTTCCGACGTAAATAAGTTTCACAGTCACGCGGAACTAGACGCTTTCCACTGTGCACACCGAGTATACTCAGGTCAGTTAATATATGCGCAGGTAGACCAAAGCGCAGGCACACATTGCCTGCACTGCTCAAATTTACTTTTACTCTTGCCGGTTGTTAGTCTCTATCTCGATTGCGCTGTTCATTCTATGAGAGCAGAGTGCATTGCGAACATTCTCGTTCACCTAGTTTCGACGAAAAACTGCGTACCACGGCGGCTCGCAACGGCGAAATCCAAAAAATCCGTTACGTCCAATCCGTTGCGTCACGAGAAAAAGCTTATTCGCCACGAAGCGCCGATGTAATCGACCTCTGCGAGTCGAGTCGCAGCGCGCGGGACACTTCGACATTTGCTTCCCTTGAATTACGATACGGATGTCGTGATCGTGATACGTTTAGCGCGGTCGTGGGCGAGCAGATGAATGGAAGCATCGTGTGCAGAGGCGAAGATCGATATCGAGCGAGGATCAACGATCGCCGTTACTCGAATCGTGACGTTTTACCGATTCATTCGATCCATTCAGTTCCGCAGGAATGCATGGAGAATTACCGAAGCGCATTATGGACTTGTATCTCTTACCAATCTGATATTTCATATCGCAGGTGAGAAATCAAAATTAAACGAGCAACGCAATCTCCCGGAAGAGGTCTATCTCGTTCAAAATTCCGTTAAGAGTTACAGTTAAAAGTTTTACAACGACGAACGCTCGCGGATAATAAAATCGTTGATCGTTGAGAAAAGAAGAGAGATCGAGAAGAAGGAAGAAGCGACGACTTTAGATACGCGTATTAGAGTCACGCACAAAATTAATCACAAGTGCGTTTCGTAACGACGGCTTTAATTTTCACAACATCTGTCTGCACTTGCAGTTACGCGTCGATAGAAAGTAAATTCTTCTCGTGCGAATCGACGACAGCATATATCAAGTTATCCCGAGAATATTATCCTGCGACCTGCAGAATCCAACGAAGAGTGCAGCTGACTCGTCGTTATTTGTCGCTAATTTAGGTTTTCAGGTAAAAATCTTTTTCAGATATAATTTGTACTACGGTGATGGAGAGAGAAGTTCTCTCCTTATTTTGTGCAAAGAAAAAGAAGAAATATAATATATCGCTGCAGATGTGTTTTCGTCGAAACGGCGCTATCTTGCAGGTGCGAAGATAATTAAAAAAATTGTAGGGAGAATTAACTTCGTGACAAATTATTAGAGTAACGACGTCGAAAGCGATCCGACCGTGAACTGGCAGGAAATTGCCCGACGAAAGGTGCAGACAGAGGTGGACGGAAACGAGAGATTTTCGTCGTTTTGAGCGACCGTTCGATTATGATTACACGGGTGCCCGAGTTTTACGTAAGAAACGGAGATCGTGTATCTCTGGCGGTTTGCGCACGTGAAAGTGGTCTGCCGAGTTGTGTCGACGAGAAACGGTCAGTCAATTCCGAGCCTGATCCGTTAATGCTACGCACGCTTCTGGGCCACGTTTCGCGATCGACGTATGAACAAAAACCAGCTTGTAAGAAGGAATTATAGTATGGAAATTCAGAGATACACAGGAATTATCTCGATTATTAACCCGCTCCCGTACGAATCGCGATCTAATGATCGCGTTCAAGTTGCGCTTCGTGGCGCCGCGTCGCTAACGCGAAAGCGAGACGGCCGGTGGCGTTTCGAGGCAAATTTGCAAATGCAACAGGGAGTTCTTTAACAATTTGCCATTTTGGCAAACGCTCACCTTGCTACTACTCAGTCGCGTCTAATAATCCTATGTCTCATTTCAAGTCACCACAACACAATTTGTCCCGGCAAACCGTAATACTTTCTCCGATAACGGATTAAGCGGAGAAACTTTGGCGAGCCGGATACGGGTATAACGGACGAGTCGAACGATGTTTCGGAACGTGCTGCCGGGACGGGAACACTTCGTTTTCGGTCGAGATTCCCTCGGATCCGCGGCGTAATAATGGTGACTTTCGAACGAAAGTCGCGACAGCGCAGGCACTGCTCGATTCCTCGATAAATCGGCGATATCACAGGACTCGCGTGATCGGACGGGCGAAAACGAAGATAGATTGATCAGGTACGACGATGCACGTGACGCATCTTCGGACGCGTCGATTTTTCGCGCGCTCGCAGCACAACGGCGTAGGACAACGTTCGATAGAATGCTCCGAGACCAAATGCAAGTCGTTCGAACGGTCGGCCGTGTCAAAAATCCCGGTCGCCAACAGGGGAGAAAAAAGAACCATTCGACCGACCACATTTTCCCTTTCGCCCGAATGTAGGACCACCACCACGATCACCACCACCACCGTCACCACCACTACCGTCATCACCACCGCCATCACCACCGCCACCACCGCCACCGCCACCGCCACCGCCACCGCCACCGTTGTCACTACCTATCGTCATTGCCATCACTATCTCGCTACCGCCGTCTCGTTACCGTTACCGTTACCTATCATTAATGGAAGAATATGAAATATCAAGAAGGAGACGATGAACGCTACTCTGCGAAAGCGAACGCACGAGGAGTTGGTTTTTGAAAATCTTGGAAAATCTGCAAAGTTAAGATATATCTCAAGATGTTCAAAGTTATGAATAATTGGTAACGGATGTTATTAATTCTGTACATTGATTCTCAGACTTTGAAAAATATTTGCTTTTTGATAACATTTAAATCAATTCGAAATTTATGTCACATATTCGAGGGGAATTCAAAAAATGTAGTCGCAATGCAACTCGCAGTCACGGCATAAATCGACACTTCAGAGAGCGTACATAAGTAACGTACACAAAATGCCATAAATTGATACTGAACCGTTGGCTGATTCACGAATCAGATTCTTTAATTAATAGTTTGTTCACGGATTGAAATTAGCTGTCCGTAGAATGTTCGCATGAATAGAACTTCGAGATATCTCTTATGAAATATCATATATGTATCGATGCTTTTGACTACATTTTAAAATGCACAAATTTATGCGTGGAACGATATGAATTCGAATTTAAAATCAGCAAAATGAAAAAAAGGTCTGCGATCGCGAATTAAAGAGAAAGGATCCGACTCTTACGAAATAAGATCTACTGATACGTGGGAAGGTCGAAAAGTGAATTTCCTTGGAGTGAGATCTGTTTTTTTAACATTCACTTAATTGATGTAAATTTAATACCAGTTTTTGGCATTATTATTTGAACTGATGTATGTAGCCACCGAGTGGCTTAGTTGCTTGTTTTTAATCCCTGTTTACAATGTACAAAACATATGGATATAAATTTACAATTGTAAGTAGTTACATACCAGTTTTAAACACGACATATTTGATCCTATTTATAGTACTATTGACCCACTATTGGTCCTTGATCCGTTCGGTCTATATGTAACAAAAAAAAAGATATACATTTGTATGTAAATGAAGTTTCGTCAATAACTTTAATGCCCAAAGGGCAAGTGATATCTATGATACTATTTTGTTTCTCATAAAACGCAAGACTACTCACCGCATGCTCTATAAACTTTGTGACGTTTAAAACAAATTGAATTGTAAAGGTTAAGTTAGACAGAACATATACTTACATATCTAAGAAAGAATTCCGGACTATGTTAAAGATTTTATTCATCTCAGATTTGTTCGTTTTTCTAGCAAGACTTTCCCACCTCTTTTACGATTGAAATGAAAGAACAAATTCGTATTTGAAAGAACAAGTTCGAAATTTATATCCGTATGTTTTGTACATTGTACATAGGGATTAAAAACAAGTACTATACTCGGTGGCAACATGCATCAAATAATATTCAAATAATATTCAAATAATAATGTCAAAAACTGATATTAAATTTATATAAATTAAGCGAATGTTAAAAAAAAACAAATCTCACTCCAAGGAAATTCACTTTTCGACCTTCCCACATATCTTACTTCGTAAGTCGAATCCTTTCTCTTTAATTCGCGATTGCAAACCTCCTTTTCATTTTGTTGACTTGCGGCAAACAGAGAAAAGTGAGGCAAAGTACAAAGAGTACATTTGCAGAAGATGCAACCAACGATTAAACCTATTCACTGATCATGTATGCATATTATTACTATTACTATTATTATAAAATGTGTATTATTGTAAATATGTGTATTGACTTATAAACAATTGCATATCGAATAATATAGAATTAATAATATAGAGGATAATTAATAATGTAAGAGAATAATTAATAATATAGAATAATTATTAGATTATTCTAATTATTAGATAAATATAGAATTATACGAAGAATGAAGAATATCTACGATAATAAGTCGTATACATCACGGCACATCGCTTTCTCCTTGGCATCCATAACGTGAAACAGATCGCAGGCCGATAACGCGTGATTGTCGATCGATTTTACTGAAAGTTGTTTAAAACACGAAGAAAATGATACGCATGATCTAATTACCTTCGCGATGTATCCATCTATGCTCTAATATTAGATATTAGCATGACGAAGCGGGTACGTGCTCCACTTTTGTTTGAAAATGTAACGTTAAGAAAAGTGGAAAGTCGAGAGATTTCTCAATATTTCCATTTGATGGAGCCAGTGTCACGCTATGAATATAAGCATTAAATCCTAGGTATCAACTAAATCGACTAATCGAAAATTATCGAGAATATACAAAATTGTCGTGCTGAGATTCACAACTGTAATTGGCTGATTCAATTATCACTTAAATTTAATTATTCATTTTTACGATATGCGATTGGCCTATTTCTGCAACTTTACAAAATGCAATATATATACGAAACATCGAAATAAAGATAAATTCGAAAATTAAACTTATTGAATCGGTAGCAGTATTATATTTCTTATTTCCCCCGTCTTTTGTTTTCTTAATTTTTGTCCACGATATCTTTGTTTCTCCTTCTTCTATTAATACCTGAAAGCACACCTGTTTTACTCTAAATGCACAAAGTGCATATAAGTACATTTGTGCGTAAAAAGAATAGATCTAGCGATGATGAATAATATTGCACCTTGGTATCCTAGCGAGAAATGACTCGTCGATCGACGTCGAAACGATGTCGAATCGACATTGAAATCATCAAATCGATGTCGATTCGACATCGTTTCGACGTCGATCGACGAATGATTTCTCGCAGGGATACTTCAATAGTCCTGTTCGTTTTATCTGCACTGCTGAACTGGTGCATTAAGTTAAAGTGAGGCAAACTTAGGTTTTCTCACTTCAACTTGTTGCACCAGTTCAACAGTGCAGACAAAACGAACAGGCCTAATGTCAGCACACCTGCTTCACATTTGAAATTCCAGCACTGTCGTGATACAGAATATCACATGTCTTTGATTATTTAAAAAATCACGTTGAATTAAAAATATCAATAGTCATAGTTGACAGGATTATTTAAAAATAATACCACCTGACCAGTTAAATTTTGGAGGTAAGGTATATATTTGGCTCTGAGTGTACGAAGGAGTAACTATGCAGTCATCATGATGAATAAACGTTCACCATAGCAGTTGGTAGATTGCCGCGTTACGTCGTGTAGTGGCCAGTAGTAATTGTGACAACTGTCATCTGAATTGCGCGTCTACACAAGACGACGACAGTTCTTTATTATTCAATAATGTTGTGTTGTATATTTACTGAGGCGAACGTATTAGTTCAATATTACATATGGTGATTTACTAATAGATTGTAGAAAACTTTTTGTTAGGCTAGGATTGTGCTGTGTAAAACACTTGACGTAGATTGTTATCTTGGAAATAAGGAAATATCATGTACTGTATGCTCTTTTCTGGAATAATTAATAGAATATGATAATAATAATATAATGATAGAAATTATTTACTTCGAATAAAAATTTGTGACTTAAGAAAATAGTTTTTGTGGAATTTCAATTTTTGATATTATTAATGTAGCGATATGACCTTGATAATTAATATCTCTTTTTATGTCAAAAATTGCTTGAAAAAACTATTATAAATAAATATATAATAAAATTATTTGTATACTTAAAACTCTCGATGTGAATTATGATGTGATTATGAGAATTTTGATTTTGCAATCACTATATATTTTATTAACACCTAAAGAAAGTGAATTTATATATTGTTTGAAAATATAAAAATAAAAATGACTTTTCAGAAAATTCATTAAAATGTCTATTGAATTGGTTGATGTTCCATCTTGCCCACCTGAGGTAACACGTATGACTTCACAAGAATCAGAATTTGATGATGCTTTGGAAGTACCTGACTCATTAGAGATAACAATTGATGAAAATGGAGAGACAATACAAGTTTATGAGCAAGAAACAGAACATGTAGATAATAAAGGTATGAATTTATTTCATGTAGCATTACATGTCATTTCACTTCATCATAATCTTTATTTCCTTAGAAGTAACATTGGGGTCTGTTCTTTTTTATTTTATTTTGATTACTAAAAAAACTCATATATTTATTTATTAATATCTTTAGAGGATTTATGTTAAATTTAAATCCATATCTTTACAAAAGTTAATTTATAGCGTTCCTTCATTCGTGTATAAATTTAATTTATCTATAAATTTTTGTTAATTTTGTTTTTTTTTTACTATATTATTAGAAATCCTTGATGTTATACCATTTACTGTTGTGCACAACCCACCAACAAAATCTAAAAATCAATACCGTAATGTGTTCATTCCTGGTCAAGAAGTATATGTGAGAATCATAGATAATGAACGTAGTGTGACTACGCATCCAGTAAACCCAAATTTATATACAATAGAATTTAGACATGGACCTTTTGTCTGGACTATTAGAAAACGATATAAACATATTCAATACTTGCATAATCAATTAAAAATATATCGTGCTAGTTTGAACATACCTTTTCCTACGAAGAGCCACAGAGAGAAAAGGAACAGTTTAAAACATCTTGGAATGACAGACAAGAAGAAAAGTAGACGAAATGCATTACCAAGGTATAAAACTGATATAAAATTTGATATAAAAATTGATATGTATATATATATATAAGATAAAAAGAAAGAGGAGATTAAATATAAAATGTAATTAAATTACTTTTAGATTTCCAAATAAACCTGATATTCTAGTACCTTATGAACAGCTAAATTGTAGAAGAAAAGAACTAGAGGATTATTTGTACAATTTACTTAATATAGAAATTTACAGGCGTCATTCTGAGACTGTAAGTATATTTTCCTTACAACAGTTAGTCAGTCTAAATAAATATATCATTTTTTCTTATTTACAGATTAACTTCTTGGATATTTCCCATTTATCTTTTGTGGCTGACTTAGGAATGAAAGGAAAAGAGGGTACAATCTTGAAGCGCACTGGTTCAGGTGCTAGAACAAGATGCAGTTTCTGTGGCTTACTTGAATGTGGATTTTGTATCAAATGCAACTACCTCTGCACTTCTTTTTGTGGAAAATGGCATACTCGACATCTTATTGTTAAAGATACTTTTGTCGCATATCTTACTCCCAAAGATAACAAAATAAAATCTGTTATTTTGATGGATAATGGCTTTGGAATCAGTTTTGGGATGTATAGTACAGGTTCGCGGAATGGTATACAAATTGCAAATTTGAGCAGACATATAGTTATTAAATGTTGGACGAGACGAAAAGCTAAAGAATGGATGAATTTCATACAGGAAGTTAGTAATAAAGAAGGTAAGATTTCAGAAAATCACGAATAGTTCATCATTCTGTGTCTAATTAGTTGGATTGATACAGGTAAAGATTTTATACAAACAAATCCTCATAATTCATTTGCTCCGTATCGCTCATCGATATTGGGAACTTGGTTCGTTGATGGGGCCGATTACATGTCTGCTGTAGCCGATGCAATGGAAAACGCCAAGGAGGAAATTTTTATCGCAGATTGGTGGCTTTCGCCAGAAATTCATATGAAAAGACCAATAGCTAATGGAGATTATTGGCGATTAGATAAAATTTTACAGAGGAAAGCAGTGAGTACAATTGTCAATATATTCAATACTTATGTGAAATTATATAATGCAAATTTGTAACGGATAATTTTATGTCTCTTATGGCATATATTTTTTCCATTTGCAGCTTGAAGGTATCAAGATATTCGTATTGATATATAAAGAAATTGAAGTAGCTTTGGGTATAAACAGTTATTATAGCAAACAACGGTTGGTGGAACAATGTCCCGAAAATATCAAAGTGCTGAGACATCCGGATCATGCAAGGGCAGGTGTCTTCCTATGGGCTCATCATGAAAAGATCGTAGTCGTTGATCAATCTTTGGCATTTCTCGGTGGTATTGACCTATGTTATGGTAGATGGGACAATAATGAACACAGATTAATAGATCTGGGTAAATATCCATATACATTTTATTACTACTATTGTCATGTTTTTGTTGGAGCTATGTACTTTTTATATTGAAAAAAAAATAATTATTTATTATTAATATTGACTGTAGAATCCATTCATCAGTCGAGTATCTATATCCCCTCGAAAGATAAATTGACTAATACTAGCAGTAAAAAAATACTAACACGTAACACACAAAAGCATGTGTTATTACCATTAGCAATCGCAACGAATACTATCGCTATGGCAACCACAAGGTCTATCCCTGTGTTGTAAGTACTTTTTAATTAATATCAAATATAATCTATAAATAAGAATATAAATATACTCAATGTACAAATAAGAATATAAATGTACTCAATTTTATATATTTTTGTAAAGACCAATGATGAATACAGAAGCGCAGAAAACTCTAGCGTTGTCAGCAGATGATTCACTTTTTATGCTACAACAAAAGGAAGATAACGTAAAATGTAACACTCCTGAAATGCAAAGAAAAAATTTATTTGATGTTGCAAAAACAACTGTCGATAAAGTGAAAAACAGTGTGAAAACGAAGAGGCAAGAATTAATTAACATAGTGTACAGTTCTCACGAAGGATATGGCAGTGAAGATGTCGTGGATAAGTATGATTTGTTTCTACTTAATATTATTGTTACTTTCATTATATCTGTTTTGAATAAATGACTAATTTTTTTCACAATTTAGTTGCGGTATGACTGCATCCTTAGAAATTGAACTTGAAGATAACATAGTCGGTGAACAAGCGAGTATTGATGACAATTTAAAACGCACAACGAAACTATGGCTTGGCAAAGATTACACAAATTTTATTGTTAAAGACTTTAATGATCTCGAAAAGCCATATCAAGATCTCGTAGATAGAACTACCACTCCTAGGATGCCGTGGCATGACATAGGAATTTTAGTGCAAAATGCTGTTGCTAGAGATGTGGCTAGGCACTTCATACAACGTTGGAACGCTACTAAGGTATACACAATTGTGTCTAGAGTCAGATGCATTAATGGTATGACATATATATTGACAAGATATACGTATGTAGTTAGAAAAGGCAAAGCTGAATAAGTGTTATCCATACTTGTTGCCAAAATCATATAAAGACTGTAAGAGCTATGCTCCGTTTATCAAAGAAGCGAATCGACATAATGTCAAGTGTCAAGTACTGCGATCGGTAAGTTCTTGGTCAGCTGGTTTTCTCGATCCAGAAACCGTGGAACGAAGCATACAAGAAGCCTATATCGACGCTATCAGTAGAGCAGAACGGTAAATTTTACACATATTTATATTTTATGCTTATTACATTGCACGTTATTACACAGCACATTTGATGAAATTATTTTATAGATATATATACATAGAAAATCAATTTTTTATAACGCTTGCGTCAATGGAGAAAAGTGGTGTGAAGAATCGGATCGGTGAAACACTATTGAAGAGAATTTTAAGAGCGCACAGGGAAGGCGCGGTGTTCAGGGTATTTGTCGTGATGCCTTTATTACCAGGATTTGAAGGTGAAGTTGGTGGACCAACTGGAACATCATTAAGAGCGATAACGCATTGGAATTATGCTTCTATATCGAGGTATGATATTAACAAATATGTATAAAGTAAAAAAAAATAATACATAAATCTCTCTTATTTAATTTAACAACAGGGGTAAGGATGCTATCCTAAATCAATTAATAGAAGCAGGTATAGATAATCCTAGTGAATATATTACATTCCATGGTCTGAGAACTCATGCTATGTTGAATGGTACGATGGTAACAGAACTGATTTATGTTCATAGTAAGTTAATGATAGTAGATGACAATACAGTGATCTGCGGATCAGCTAACATAAATGACAGAAGCATGGTCGCTACAAGAGACAGCGAAATAGCCGTAATAATTCATGTGAGTATGTTTATGACATTGTTTTGAATTATGTTTGCATATCTTATAACGAACAATTTTTTGAGAACTATGTTTTTATAGCTTTAATTTGTAAATATAACATAAGGATTACTTTATGTATATTTTATGAAACGCTGTGATTACATATGTTTTAATTAAATTACTTGGATATTTAAATTTGTAACGATTATAAACAGGATGAAGAATTTGAAGATGGGCGCATGAATGATATACCTTTTCTTTGTGGCAAATTTGCTTCTTCTTTGAGAAAACAATTATTCCGTGAACATTTGGGACTGTTGAATGCTAAAGAAGAGATTAACATCAATGATATTCTTATCAAATCTTTTTACAAGGATGTGTGGTGTGCTAGAAGTAAACAAAATACGCAAATATATGAGGAAGTATTTCAATGTGTTCCTACTGACAAAGTAGTCAATTTTGCTATGTTAAAACAATATCAAGACAAAATACCACTCTCTTTATCTGATCCATTATTGGCGCAAGAAATGGTAGAAGGCATCAAGGTAATTTATTTTTATTTGTTTTTTAATTGCATGTGTATATTTTATATTAAAACGGATTAAGAGAAAATTACTGTAAAAATTTATTTTGTTATAATATATTACTATGTAGAATATTAGTAATAATATTAATAGAATTTTAGCTTTTAATTTTTTTATTATTTAATTCTTATTTTTATTAAAAGCATAATGTGATTTTTAGGGTCATTTAGTCGATTTACCATTAAACTTTTTATGTAATGAAGATTTAAAACCTGCTGCTGTCACAGTAGAAGGAATAATGCCAACTGCATTATGGACGTAAGTGTGCGCTGCATGGACAATATGAATAAATCCATATAAATTATATATATATATATATAAATGGATGTGTGTGTGTGTATATACATATACATTATATATATATATATATATGCACACACACACACACATACACATATATATATGCATATATATACATATATACATACATATATACATGCATACATACGTACATACATATACTATATATATACTATATATATATATTTTTATATTTATATTTATATTAACTAATATCTTTACAGAAAAGATATTAATATGGTACAATTTATTACATAATATATTTGACAATATATCTGATTATTGTATTGTTGATTATATTATAAATTAAGTTTTAAAAGTTTTATTTTTTTTTATTTTGTCGCAATTTTATAGATGAAATTATATTAAATTTCGAATATACATTTATTACGCTTTATATATTTTACGGGTCCAAACATAACACTCTTCGTCTTTTGACGACGATGTGTGTTGCTATGGTATAGACAATATTAGTATGTGCAATATTTCTTAACTAGCTATTGTAGAATTTTTTCCGATATGTAAACGAGGCAATATATGTTAGAAAAATGCTTATTACTTCTAATTTATAAAAATACCAAGATTATTGTTTGTATAATATCTAGAAACATAAACAATAATGATAAGATAAACATAAACAATAGTAATAAGAATAAAGCTTGATATTTATGTACAAATTAATACATAATCGTAATTATTTGCTATTTAGCAACTCGCGATTCATTCAGATATTGATTTCATTCAATAAATGTTATTACCTATTGAGTATTATATTGTACAAATAGAATAAAATTTATTTCTTAAAAAAAACTTGTTAAATATTAGTTTGACAGAATCATATTTTGAACGCACAAATTTTGTAACTTCTGTAGCTAAAATATGAAAAAAATGTTAATATATGTTAGAGAAATGTTTATTAAAATACTCTATAAAATAATATATGTATTTAATTATATTTTACAAGTTTACCAAATAAAATAACTATAATAACTTATAATCAACATAACATATATTTTATAAATTTTATAACATTTACCTTTTGATGTGTAAATTAAATTATTTCGTAACCAATTAAATGTATTTAAATGAATATACTGCAGATCTTGCTCGATTTCTACCACTAATCTACTGTCAAGTTTTATCAATAGGATTTGTTGACGTTATTTTATATTTTATATTTTACGCCGATAAATACTTTTAATCGACCGAAGGAAAACCCAAATTTTCCAATCAATAAAATCGTACGTTTTTATAACTCTTCTCCCTCACATTTACTCTGTCTCCTATTTCTTTTTTGAGAAAAAAATGGAAAAAAGGTTAGGAAGTAAAATGGTGCGATGTATCTCTACAATTCCAGCTTAACGCTGCTGCAGTTATTATCATCGTGATATATGATCCAGAGTTCAATGTTTGCGATATAATACCGTTTGGATTCAAGTAATATTTTCAAAGCTAATGTTTTCGATAATTTTCAACTTGCTGTCATTGCAGGCATAATATTTACGAATAATAATATTTACGAATCAAACATTATGGAAATAATCGCTAGGTCTATTCGTTAAAAATGCGACGATTAAATTGAAGCATTCTATTACGAGCGCAAGTATATTATGACGTATTGATAAATATAATGTAATATAATAAATGTAGAGAATGGAAGTCAGGATTGACAAATGTTTTATTAGGTTTCATTGGCTGATACAGAAATTGCTGCTAATATAAGCGACGAATGAGATTTAAACAAAGACTGGATATCTCTTAGTTTCAACAGAAAATTTCATAATTTTTATTGTGGATGCATACAACTAAACTAAAGTTCTTATCTTGCAATATCTACAATATCTACAGTATTTATAAAATTCCGGATTTACAATATTTATCGGATTATATATTTATAATCCACTTGAATATGAGTTTCTTGACCCGCGACTGAACTATTGGAAGATAAACTTTTTAAAATGAAGGTTTCAAGAATTCGAGTCGCTGCAGGTATCAATCTCCGACTCTCCAACGTTGTACTCCCAAGATGTACCTTTCCTTTCTCCCTCTCTCTCGCTCTCCCCCTTTCTCACCTCCCTTCTCTGTTCCCTCTTTCACTCCCCCCTTTGCTTCTTTCTGTCTGTTGTCTGTCTCTTTCTTTTTATCTGGTTACACACTCGTTATTTCTCGTATACAACATTATGTCGAGTGTTGCCGTTCGCTTTGCATTATCGTAGTAAAATAATATACTCACAAAAAAACATAACATACTACTTATTCCTTCACCAAATTTCTGGCTACTTACAATAAGTATCATACGGCTTGTCGGAGTAATCTTACAATCTCCTCCGTTCGAGTTGCCTTTTTAGTTCATCCCGTTTCTTATTCCTCTCACCTCTTCGCCCGCAGTTGGTTGCATCTCTCTCATACCCTCGACGATCACATTTTCTCTAAAGCGAACCGGCTTCGTTTCGCTTTTTTTCCTGTCACTGCCTCGCGCACGCGTACGTGTGCGTGTGCCCGCCCGCGCGCATGACATTCGTGTGTGTGTGTGTGTATGTGGGTGGGTGCGTAGATCGGCGATGAATTGGTGAATGTACGAACTCGTAGTCGGCGCTCGGCGCGTCAGCGTTCGTTCCTCTTCAGTGCGTGCCTTACGCGGGCTCCGTCGACTGCTGGGGTGTTTGTTATAGAACGGTTACGTGGCATACTCTCGGAGCGACGCGACAATCGGAAAGAGAAAATTATTGATAGACCAGAAAAACCGAAAGAAAAGATCGTAACGAAAAAAGAGAGAGAGAGAGGAAAGAAGAAAAAGCAACGTGAAAAGAAAACTTGACAGACACACAAAGGGATCGGAGGAGAGGATAGATAGTCGGGGGGAGGAGAAGGGTAAACGAAATACGTGGGTGGGAAGGAGAGGACGCGGGAGCGGGAGAGAAAGAGGTGGAGGGAAAGAATGAAAAAAATAAAGACGAGCGGTAGCGTCTTTCGAATCGCCAGAGCGGAGGAGAGAGCATACACTTTTCACGAGTGCATCTCGCGACTATACCGAGCCCGCATCTCCGCGTTTCGCGCATAGATACATTTTGATTATCGACGAGGGAGAAAGTACCTTGCTAGGTGGCTCCTTCTCGAGGAACCTCTCGCGAAACGCGACACGTCCGAAGTTTGTTTCGTGCAATCCAGTGCTGTGTGAGTCTCATCTCGTCCTCTATCGATCCTCGCATCGATCGACGCTTCGATTCTCGTCTCTAGTCGACGCAGCACGTGGATACAGGAGGATTCGTCATGTCCGCGGTCGACGAGCGATCGACGCTTTGTCACGAGCCGAATTGACCTGTGCCACCGATGAGTCACGCCATCCAACCCGATTGCATTATCCAGGTGACTGCGCGACGAGGGCCGATGAGGGCGAACGCCGACGAATGTGCGGAAGGAGTCGCACGAAAGCGTCGTCAATGAGCGTATCCACGCATGCACGTACGGCGATCGCATCTCTTGCGACACTCGCGAGACATCGTATGACTCGTTGACTCGTATTCGCCTTTCCGTACACCTGGCGGGCAGGATGCGGCCTAGCGGCGCACAGGCTACGACGACGACGACGACGTTGAATCCACCGCCTTGAGTCGTCGGCGCGTTCGCGGCGGTCGACGGGTAACGAGCGCGCGCGCGATGCGAACGTCGCCGAGCGAGAGAAGCATCAGGTAGAGCGTATCGTTGCGCTGAACGATCCGGGTCGTAATATTTTTAGGTGGAACATCGAACGCCCGCCCGCCCGCGCGCGCGCGCGCGCGCGCGGTACGCGTGCTCACGTCGGGGCCAGCCGGCGTGGACACTTTGCTGGAGCGGAGCGGAGCGGACCACGAGACGAAAGAAAGAAAAGAGAAATATTTACTCGGTGACGAAGAGATCAGAGACAGAGAAATAGGGCTCAGAGATAAAGAAGTAACCACCCGTCCGCGGGCGGAATCTTCAGAGTGGTTTCGAGAGAGGCAACGGCAAAACACGGTGGTGGAGCAACGACAGGAAGAAAGGAGAACAATAAAGTGGAAGAGTAGGTAAGGGAGTATAAAGTGCCTGTGAATGTAGCTGAGGCGCGAGGACAGCATATACGTTGAGTCGTGGGGCACTTTTTACATAGCACTCGAATAAGGTCGTGCGCGAGTGGAATGACCGTGATTTAAACGAACTGTGTGTATCGGTATTGGCGCGCGCGTGCATGTCGTTCGTTCGTTCGTTCGTTTGTCGCGCGGTTCGACGAGACGAGCGAACAATCGTGGAGTTGTGCGGCGTTTTGTTCTCGAATGTCGGATATACTCGCGGGTCGGTCTGCTTCTTCGTTGCTACGCGGATTTCCTGCACTCTGACGCGGGATACCTTCGGCGTTCCGAAGTGACACGGAGGTGTGTATGTGTACAATAGACAGTGTACGTATATACGTGACAAACGGCGAGAGTACGAGATCGCTATTGCGATCGGTTAAAGGTTAGATTGTGACGCTTGTATATTAGCTATTCGGCCGCCCTATTCGTGTTCCTTTTAGCGACAGCCCGCGATAGAATTGTGTGAGTCACGGTAATAAATCATACCAGCTTTATGATGCTTTTTAGGGTACTTTGTGTATTTTTCCGCGCGTGGAGCATATCATAATATCATATCCGATCGGTTGTTGACGATCGACAATAAGAGAGTATTTTTTTTCAATATGTTTTTTGTTGAACTTATCTGCATTAAAATCCGATGTCAGTCGCGGCTGTTGCGCGAAGAACTACGCATACAATAATGTAAATATGTGTAAATAAGAAACAGTAACTATCCTTGCCGGAGAGTCGTGGTATCGTAGTAGATTGAAAAATACACCGAGATTGAGAATAATATAACCCATACGTCGTTTGTATTACTTTTTACACAGAAACATTCCGCCATTTCCGCATCGATATGTATATCGACGTACATGCCGTATATACGTTTTCAGTTTCAAAGCTCTGCAGCTTTTACAGCCGATTGCGAGGAAAATATCGAGAAAGTTAAACGGATCGTATATATCGAAAAATATATCTGCTTTTGTTGTTTATATGTATCTCTTCTCTTTCTTCTTCTTTTTTACGACAGAAAGAAAGAGGAAAGAGGAAGACTTATTCTCGCATGGATTTTCAAATCTTTTGGACTGCATTTATATGCTATCTCGATAACTTGACGCGCCGGCGCATGCTCGGGAGTGGTTGGCCTTCAAGTTTGTATCAATGATCGTGAAGGCCTCTCGGTCGACAATCAAACGCCGCACGACATTTTTAGAGAACTGTTGGGCGATAGATATTTATTTTATTATTTCTGATGTACCGATTCTCCTTCTGCATTTCAGAGGGAAAATCTCAGTCGACGTTATCAGTGTTTAAATTTAGTACATTTATCCTACTTAAATTGTCTGAACGTTGGATGCTTTTTAAAAAAGACTATTTACCTTATTATCATGTAATAATATTATTTGTATTATTTTTTTACATATGTCTGCGTATTTTTTTTCTTTGTTCTTACACTATTTCTAATTACGTCTAATTACGTGAATTTCGTTTTGTTAAATTCGTCATTCCGATAAATATAGAGCTACTGCAGACGTATTTATTTTTAATTCTCGATATATAAAGAATCGAAATTTATCGAATCCTCGAATTTTATCGATAATTATTTATCATTTCTTATACAGAAAAGAACTCAGTTCGTGTGAATTTAGAAATTATATCTATGTTATTTAGAGGCTAGACGAAAACTTTATTGTAGGAATGGAAAAGATCTCGACGAGGCTTTCAATTAATTATTCTCAAGTATCTCAACCAAGTTCTGGGCAGATAAATGTTCAGATAAATATTTTCGATTACGGTAACGGACATCATTATTGAGTGTTTGTTTCGCCATGATTCTATTACACCAACAAAGATCTTTTTTCTATGCACGAAAATACTCTCTAATCGATATAATTTACTTATAAAGTCCATATATACGATTCCGTTATAATAATCGATCAAAGTAATTATTCGTAAAAAGTAGCATATATAAAGTTAAGAATTTATATGATACATCATTTATTATTCTGCTATTGCATATATCTGGATTTTACGGTCGCGATTCGATTGTGCACGCTATTTAATGTACTTAAACTAAATATTTTCTCCAATGCGGAGGTTGCAACAGACAAAAGTTTATGGTCTTCTTGAAATGTTGATGTTATCTTGACTGGTTCGTCTATAAACAGTTGTACCTTTTCTTGTTCTTGCTGCTTTTATCGAGACTGAATCATTCTGCTATCTGTCGAGAGATGAGTAAGCAATATAACATTTTTACGCATGCTTTTAAACGTTTTAAAATGCTTTAAAATTCGAAAACTGACCTTGACTTCTTCCATATTTTTTATATTTTATGCAATTATAGATATTTATTTATACATTCCACTTTTATACATTCCACATTTATATCATTATTTATTACATTTTCTATAATAAAACCGAGATAATTGAGGTGATTTTCGTCAATTTCACCAGTTTAATCTTGAAAGAAAAATCGAAATACATTATTATTTCCCATTGAATGCAAAATATTTTAGTGAGTTGCATTATGAGAACGAAAAAATAATCCTATCTTTTGCTTTATTATAGATTTCAATTTAACACGTAAAAAAATAACGTTGAATATAATTTTAACAAATATATTTTTACTATGATACATTTACTAGATACATTTTCAGATCTTAATGAAATAATACATATTGTATGTGTGGAAATTAGCGCAGCAAATCACAGCTTTTATCATCAACACGGATACAGCATAGATATCGCGACTCACTTTACGCACAGAGAAATGCAAAATATTCTACTACACAATTAATATAACTTACCACGATGACCTACACAATTCTGATAAACAAAGAACACTCGATAGCTGATATACAAGTGATACTATCGAAGTTTTAAACATTATTGCAGCCATTCAAAAAATTTTAGTGACCAAAGTTGTTTTTTAGTCACTAAAGTTGTTTGCCATCGTTATCACGTTAATTAGTTATACTGCATTGTAATAAGACTATAATTACGACGCATCAACGTAATTCAAAGACATAGGTGTTTCATTTTCAAAACGGAACAAAGAAACACTTCGTGTCTTTACAGTAAAAAATTACGCACCGTATATATCTAGGTCTTCGCTTTCTTATGTTCTACTTGAGATTCGTGTTGATATTGACGATTTTACATTGTTCGTAAAATGTGAGCTCGCGTAGGGCGAATGGGATTATCGCTTTCGAGTCGTGAAGTTCATTGAATTAAAAAATTGTCCGGTTTCTCTTTCTTCTTATAAGGATAATTCATTATTCTTGACATCAAATTAATGTTTTTAACGACAAAACGTACTTCTTTTAACGTAAAATGTAAAATTGGTTTTCAAGATGTATAAATTATTCATACCGTCTATCATTTATGAAGAATTACTGTGCCAGCTACATGCTGGAATATAGCTTTTACAATAGAACTTTCCAAAGGTTGTATCTTTTGAATTAAAATACAAAAGAATAATAATAAATGAAAAATCTAAGATGCACAAGGATGCGGAAAAAGTGCACTAGGAAGTAATGTAAGTGTATTCTTGAGACGTGGGAGCGCGACTCCGCGGTGCATCGCAATAAAACGATATATAGGGTGGTACTGACGTAACTTACTTTCCCTACATCATAGGAAATAAAAACGATTTTATAATTATAGTCTTTGATTTATTGGCTATTAAAAGTTAGAAGATTCTGTTGAAAGAGAGAGAAAGAGAGAGAGAAAGGGAGGGAGGGAGGGAGGGAGGGAGAAATACGATTTAATAAAATATGATTCAATTCAAGTGGATGAATTCAAGGTTTAATTTTTAGTTTATGTCTTTTCCTGTTTTTATCCTCGTTTATTCGCGTGAGCGCGAAATTCATCGGTATAATTGGAGGCTCAATTGCAAACTATTTGAGTTAAGTAGATGAAGAATCTTAATTTCCTCGACTTGAGAATTAACTCAAGGAACAACTCGTTGAATTAATTTTAACCCAAGATTAAGGAACTAAAGGAACGTTTCGTTCCTCAAGAAAACCGGTTTCACAGTGCATTCATTGAGTGCATTTCTTTTGTGTAAATGCAAATAATAATCAATGAACTATTATGACTGTACCATTTAACATATGCATATAACCGAAACTTAGAAATCGCATTCTTATCACAATTGTGTTTTTCAATAGTTTTTCCTCAATGTTCTTCTATCTATATGATAAATTATCGTTTTTGTATTCACAATCGAGAATTTTCACTTGAAATTGTTTAATCGGGAGGAAACTCATGACCTTTGACACACCCTATACGCGCATTCGCGCCATGGATACGGTTCAGCGGAGTGCGTCAGATGTGTGGTCGTTCTTTCTCTTTTTCTCCCTCTCTCTCTTTCTCTCTCCATCGCACAACATGATTAAAAGTTCAACGAACCGCGCGTTTCACGATACGGTTGTCTCCCTTCATTCCCTTCATTGATCACTACGACAATGAACCGACGGCGATGACTCAGAGGTGTATTACGTATATGATGCGCGGCGATTGACGGGTGCTGATTTCGAAGATTTCGATCTTGCATCAAGTGAGGATGTGCTGCTTAATTATCATCGTGAAAGCACCGATCGCGCAATATCCGCCTTGTTGGCGCGCAATATAGCACTTTATTATTCGCGTCACTCGCCAACATTTCGTGGCGCTTTTCTCAATAAAACTCCAGAAGTTTTTAAATTTTTAGAAAAACTTCTTCTCTCTTTCTAATATTGCCTCAATGTTCGCTTCATCCTTCGTTTTATTAAGGAAATGTTAATTTCAATTCAACAAAGGAACGCATATATACATAGCGAAACATATTTCTTTGAATTTATTTGTTTGATTGAATTTTGTCGATCACAGAAAAGCTGATTTATTGGAACGGTTTGAACAAATATTTGATTCAACAAATATGATTGGCTTTTCAAGCAATTTTATTGTCCAGTAAAAAAGAAATAGTTTCAAATAGTATTTTGTGTTAAATAATTTTATCTGTTTTATTCAAATAATAACAGTGACTTTAAAGGAATGCCAAATTGGATGATAAACTCCAAAAGTTTTGATAACGTAGACGTGATTGTCCAAATAAATATTCTCTTTCTTCCCCTAACACAATTATGCTACTCTTTTCAAATTCCTTGATATGAATCTCATTTAAATGTATGCTGTTTTGCTTGATTAGCAAAACAAATGTTTAGCAAAAACCTAACATTATATATATATATATATATATATATATATATATATGCATATATAGAAATCATTCTCTAAACTTTCCGTACGTATTGTAAATTTCTAAATATTGTAAATTTCTAAATTTAGTTGTAAAAGTATAACTGTATAACCTGCTCTTTGAAATTTTCCTGAACGGAGTAAACATAATTAACTTCTGGTACGTAAAAGTTGCATAACGTTTGTACGAGGAAAATCTTTACGCTGACAGCACAAGATGTCAGTCTTGAAGTTTTTTATCAAATATTGAATAATGCTTTAATTTCATTTTGGATGCACACCTATTATGTAAGAGCATTTATAATTCTGTCTAACTTACACGACGTAAATTTTGCAAGAAAAAGTCAATATTCTGTCAGTAAAATATGGCATCTCCCTACGTAATCGAATGATAATCGCACAAGAACTGTCATAAAGTTATAAAAAATGATATTTGATCTGCGTCATTGCTCGTTGTTATTACGTTCAATGCGTCGCAAATTGCTCGCTTAGCATTTCGTTGTTAATAACCGCCGACAATTACGAACACTTATGATGAAACGTCGCGTTACGCACTCTTCCTTGGATCACACTTCAGTCGCTTTCGATACGGTCGAACTCACGAACGAAATCATAAATTTTATTCCGTTATTAACGAGTTTACATCATTCATGTGACGTGTCGCAAATTTCTACATCATGGCGAATGTATTTTTCCACGCGTTTCTACGATATATTCGTAATGGTGAGTCGGTAGAAAACATTCGAACAAAGGTGTGACGAGCCAGCATATTCACGAGAGATAATAATTATTATTATTTCTATCATATTATATAAGTATCATATATATTATTTATTAATTTATATCATATATTATTATTTATTAATATTTATTTACTTATTAATAGGAAAACATTTTTTATTATATAAGAGGAAAAGGAAATAAAATAATATGAATATATTCGAAATTCGCAAATCAAGCAAATCGAGCAGAACAGTCCGTAAAGATTGAAGAGAACCGCGCTGCTGTACGATTAGGAATTTCTTGAGTAATTTTAATATTGATTGACAGAAACAAACTTTTTTATTATTGCAGCTGCGAGTCGTCGCACGATGGCATCCAACGAGGATGGCGATCTGATAGATCTTGGCAATGATACCTGTGTGTCACGCGTTACCGTGAACGACCCGACACCCGAAGAACAAGAACATTTGCTCGATGTGTGTCCACCGAAACTGGAACAAAAACTCTCGCTCACGAAGCTACAGGAACGAGTGCTTGAAGGTAGCGATAAGGGGGACATCTTGGTGACCTTGGGCCACGATCAAGTGGTGCCAGTCCGCAAGAGAATCGACGTGGTCTCGTCAGATACGATCAAGCGAGTTCGCGATATTACCCGGAACTTGGAGCCGGTGATACGTAGAACTTGTTCGAATATTAATGAGGAGACGCAACAGGACACAGTGGACAATACAACATCGTCGGATTACGAGAGGAAGAGAAATTTGACGGCGAGATGCGAAGATGAAACGTACGAGGCTCGAGAGATAAATAACGCTTTCAACTTTCTCGCCGAGCACGACGACAACGAGGATCAAACGGGAACAAACTTTGGCCGGCTGAGGAACGAGATCAATACTGATCGCGCCGTACCTTCGACGCGCCCCTTCATTGATGAGGACACGGTTGATTATCCCTTCGAGTTGTTATCCAAAACTTCGAACGACGAAGCGGCTGGAAACGACATGGACCAGGGGAAAGACGTCACAAAAGAAAAGAATGATCAATTGGACAAACTGGCCTTCGAATCTCCGAGTGAGTTTCGCCAGAACAATCAGGTCAGCAAGAAATCCATATCTATCGATACGGAGACTCGCACGAGAGTCGGTCTCAAGAGACGCGGTCAGGAAGACGTTGCATTCGAACGCGTAACCAAAAGGCATTCCTCACGAGATAAATCGCACCGTAAATCGTGGACGGAAGGAACGAGCTTAAATTCTTCTCTTACGAATGGGCTTCCCAGAATTGATCGATCCACCAGCCTGGAAGAGTATCGCTGTGTACCGTCCATCTCCGATGCGGATCGTGAAATACCCGACTTTCTCACGAGGTACGAACGTTTCTGTATTTATTTGCTGTAGTGTATATTTATTTTATAGATTTAATTATTTATTTACGGGATTGGTATTTGATATACGTAATAAAAGACTGGAAATAATCTCTGCAGATATGTCCCTTAAAGTTAATCAAATAGAATAACAGTCGTATTTAGATTTTTCAAGATGAAAGAATACGTGTCGGTAATGTTAGTTAAATTATAAAATAGATTAATAAAGAAATTTTTGTTAAGTAAAATATAAATCTGATTAGAATTGAATCTGCCATACGTTGTATGATGAAATATAGTATAGGAGACATTGCATGAACAAATGGCTCTAAGTAATATATATAAATTAAATGCACAGGGAGAATTTCAGAATGCACAAGATTATTATTATTATTAGGAAATATAATAAATATAAAAAGAAACAAATTTTCTTTTTCCTATAGCTAAAAATCTGTAGTGCAATAGCTGAGTTTGATAATTGACATGTTGTCGGATATTTTTCCATGAACATCAATTCTCTTAATAATATAGATGAATTTCATTCGAAGAGAAGGCGTAAAAGAGAATCGTTTATTTAAACATTGATATAGGCGATAAATTATATATTCTGCGTTCCATGAAAACAATAATTTTTCAAATATAATCCTAGAGATCGGACGAGGTCATTGTGCGACATTTCGCCTCGATATGCAACGATTAAGAAAGTAAACGACTTAATTTTTATAATTATAATAAGAACTCAAGAGTTCGCGACATTTCCAGTTAATCAGTTTCTCTTATTATTAGTTCCTGCCAATTAGAAAGTAATGAACATTTTAATCGAATTATCGAACTTCCTCTACCTCTCCTATATCAGAGTGCAATGTTTTTGTAAGCATTTCCTCCTTTCTCACGATATCGCTCTCGTGTTTGTACCTGAAGTACCATTCGTCGCTCTGCGTCTACTCTTACGATGCGAACAAGCTCGCATCGTTAGTCCGTGTCGAACGAAAAAATCCGCATAGGTAGACTCGAGCACGATGGCAGGAAAGCGCACTTTCGTGCCGGAAGTATTTACATAGACCCGATTTAATGAACGTGCAAACTGTTTCGATTCAAACTTGCTCAACGAGCCCGCGCGTGCGTGTGCCTAGTGACGAGAAACGAACTGATGCGCTATGGGATCTCCTCCAAGTCGATCCAAGCGTCGTCGAAGCAAGACACTGACAGTGAAAATGTAAATCCGCTTTGACAACCGCGAGTGCATCACATTTGCACTGTCTTCCGGAATATTAACATAATCGCAAACTCGAGTGTTTTACTATTGAAAGTCACTTTCAGCATAAAATAAAAGTCTTGAGTGAACGCTGTTTTAAAATCAACTCGAGATACTCATTGAAAGTCATTATTTACCGGAGAGTATTTCTACGTTTGACTTTTGAAATTTAAAAATGTATCATGATAATGTTAAACATGTAGGGAAGTATCCACGGATTATTATATCTGTGCTAAACTTTCTATCTCGCAATTAGAACATTGTAAATTGAGTCAAAATTAATCACGTTTTTATTTAATTCCAGTGACCAGATTACTTTTACGCTTTTAATGAAAAACATAGAAACGATAAAAGAGAAAGAGTGAGTTGTAGAAATATTATAAAAAATTACAAAATTGTTGTAGAAATATTATAAAAAATTACGAAATTGTTGACCGTTTTGAGAAATTGATATGTAAAGTGTACATAATTTTTGATAGCAGTATTATATGCAGCTTGTAAAGACAGTTTGGCAATATATGCGCTATATTTTCTTTTATATTTTATACTTTATAATATCGGACGCATATGTATTAGATTGTCGGCTATCGTACGAAGTTGCCACAAGTCAGTTTTTGGTATCTATGACCGACAGTCATAGTCGTAAGTCGGAAAATAAGGGGTAGAGTTATCTTTTGTTCCGATAAGAAGGTAAAAAGGCATTTCGTTACACGGTAATGTCAAGAATTATTATCGTTTGCTTTTAGTTGAAACGAACGCGGCGGGATAATTCGCTAACTACTACCCTGTATTGTAGCGCAATACCAAGCGTGGTTCTTCCGTTCACTCATTAATGCCCTACGTTGTTTTTATATCATCATCGTACCCATGATTCTGCAACAAAGCGGCGCTTTTGTTTCACGCGAAGGAAATAATTAATAACAATAGCGCCGCGGTGAATGATCGCGCGAAGGAAACCTCGTGTCGTTCATTATATAGCACGACGCCGATATCGTCGTTGATATAGGCACGGTGAGAAAGGGCACGACCGCGTTTAGAAAGTCACTCCCCGGATTAGACTGTAAGTAGATGCGTCTGAGTGAAACATCGCGCAGTAACAATGTTTGGAGATGTTTTATTTCGAGTCTCGAAGTAAAAATGAACGCGCAAACGTAAAAAAGGCCCGAAGCATTTAAAAAAAGAGCGAAATAGGAACAGGATATAAAAGAGGAAAAATATTATTACGAAGAGGCAGAAGCCTCGTAAATTCACAAGTTGTCGCTTGTTCAAAGAGACAAAACTTTACAAAACTTCAGAATCACGGATAGCATTCCTGATCAATTTCACTTCTAACATCAATTATATCAACATGAATAAATTCAATAAGCTTGTAACTTGGATATAACTACCGTATTTTTATTTTTTTATAGATAAAAATATTTCACGTAAATAACGTTCATACTAAAAAGTACATGTTACATTCATCGCTGAAACTTTTTTTATTGTAACGCGCATACGCGTACTGTATGTAAAAAAATATCTCCATTTCGTAGAGCAATATGAAAACTTGATGACGAGAAACGATGTACCGTCACGATCTGTTATCGTGACAGAAAAAAACGTTCATCTACCGCAACTATATTGTACACACGTTATAAAATCGCTAACAAAACAATTCCGGTGTCTCTATTTTAAATGTTGAAAGGTTGACACCGATAATTTTACCGATATACTGAGAAAGGGCACGACTGCGCATTTAGAAAGTTATATTCCTTGGATTGATATGCCATAGGGTAGTTGTAAAAGTAAACGGGTCATCGCATCCCAATAGTCTCCCCCCTTTCTCTTTCTCACTCTCGTCCCCCTCACTCTCCCTTTTACCTTCCCACTGAATAGACCTGGGGTTTGAACAAATTTCATTTATTGGCGAAACACTTCCCACGCGCGTCCCAGGTACAATAAGGTGAGAGCCGCGCTCCATGTCGGTCGCATTACGCGTCCGGAAAGCCACGTCGCAGTTATGCGCACCGTTTGTGACGAAATCCTTGAATGCCTCACTGCTTGTCTGTAGTGCGAGACGATTGCCAAATGAAAAAAGAAAAAAGAAAAAAAAACACGAGCTTAGAAAAATGTTTGATCAAACAATGTAAATGCAATTAATTCTTTGTATCTAAGAACTTCGGAAGATATATTCTCATTGGATTCCTATAATTATTCTGCATATATATTATTCTTTTCTTATGCATAATATTATTATTATCTTAAATATAATTTAATTATGTATAAATAATTGAGGTGCAAAGCAATAATTTTTATCGATTGATATACAATGATAATCAAACGTTGGAAGTTATTCAGCTTCTATTTGACATGGCAGCTCACGCATGCGTTAAACACTGAAATACTTGTGATCATTACGAGTTTGGAAATTTAATTACTAGAAATTATTAACAACAGTTTTTTCAATATTCAAAATAAATAATTAGTCACTAACTTATTGATATTAAATCTCTTTAAAGGAAATCTGCTTATTTCTGGCCATATATCATTGGAATAACGTATGCACGTTACAAAAAGAAAGCACCGTCCAAAATCGCATATGCGCTTTCGTTTCGGAGTGTTGGAGTATTTTCCAAAACCAGTCAAGTATATAATATTGTTCATATAATATTGACAACCATGTCCATAAATTGTTTGGAAGACATTTCAGTCAGAGTATACTTTTCTTTATTCTTGACTTACGTGAGAAATTTCAGTCATCCACGTTGTGATCTCTGTACTTTTTCTCCCGTGAATCAAGTGTATTCTCTTTCGTGCTTTTCTCGTTGTATGCCTGCAAACAAAACAAATAGACGCTGTTTCCAAGGCACAAGAGATATTACCGAGCTTCTCTCCACCCACATTCCTACGTCTACCTTTCTACAATTCGTAATCGCGCCGCTTCGAAGTTCGATCATCGTTGTCGTAGTCGTCGTCATCATGTCGTCGTTTCTCCGGTCGAGGAAGTAGCCACGCAAGCGAACGCAAACGTACAAAGTAGGTACACTTGTATCACACACGTGCGTAGACGTGCGGTCGTTTCTATTATTCCTCCTCGGCCGGTCGGGACCGATGTGTGCACGCGGCGCGACGGCGGTATACCCACGAGGATCGCGTGAAAATGCTTTCTAGCGCGCGCCGTCCGTTCCGTCGGCGTCGGCGGTATCGGGTGCTCCCGCGGACCGGAAGTCACAGCACACGGGGGTCGTGCGCGCGAACCATGCAGCCCGCATCGTGGTAGCGTCCCCCTTCGCGCCGATCAGAACCTTTGCCTGCTTTCAAGTGGCACGTGCAGCTACGTTTGCGGAAAACAAAAGGTTTCGCCCGGTAGTCCCGCATCTTCCTCCGATCGGGGAAATCTCTTGTGGGCTCTTCTTCCCGCGCGAGGTCAGCCGCGCGTTTAACTGTCATGCCATTATCGCGGCTTTCCATCTATTTCGCCCGGAGAAAGAGAGGAGTTGTGTACGGACACGTAAAAGAGGGTAACGTGGAGGCGAGGTCGTTGACCTGGTACACTTTCTGCCCAGGCGATTTTTTAAGTTGTGAACAAAGGGACAGAGGGGACCTGTTGCTCCGATGAAAAGATAATACCCGAGAGAGCTTACAGTAGGATCACGAAGTATTCTAAGCGACATTTTTGTAACCGATGGAAAATAATTGTTGTGAGAAAGGTTAGCTGCTGTTCTTTATTGTCAAATAATTTGAGAGCGTGGGTATTTGTTTTCATATATCACAGACTGATGCATTATGCAGTATTAAAGAGATGCAACCTTATAGATTTTGGATAAATTCGCGGTCGGCTAATGTTCAATGATTAATGACCGACGGTTACGTAGTTAATTCTATGGGCGCTATTAGTGCTATTTAGGCTACAGGCTGTTCGCGGAGCTAGATAGCGTTAACAATAGCTGTCATGAGTTAACAATAGACTTAACAATAGACGTCATTAGTGGTAGCATTTACATCATAACTTCGCGTTATCAATGCTATTTCTTTCGAGGTAGTGTAAAAACAGCGTTCACATTTTATTTTATATACGTTATGAATATGTATAATGCAGTACTTCTAACGACATTAAATCATTCAGAAATTGATCTGAAACATTAAGAAATATATTAAACATACATCAAAGTTGTTTTTTACTTTCTAGTAACACAAATCAATATTAATATTACTAATCATATTCAGCAGAACTCTATGTTTAGTAAATGCTTTGTATTTATTATTCACCTCAAAGAATCTGGAGTAGCTAGTTTCTACAATGCCAACAAACATTGTATGCGCGCAGAAATCATTGGTGCTCCTGCTGTTTTTTCTTTGTAGTTTGGGCCCAATAATAGATAGAAGATACTCAAAGATTTCAGAAAGTATCCTCAATCATACATTAATCACTACTGTTAAGTTAGGTATTAGATTAGTTGCAATCGCGCTATTGGCTCTGTGAACGGTTTTGGTAGGATTTGTGTTGGTAGAATTAATAGCGTCTCCCTGAACCACAGACTTCTATGTTGTTACACTAGACCGATAACTGGTCTCTTTAACACGTCCCCTAAAAGTATATATTAAAATTTCGCATATGCGCATTGCAAAGTCCCGTAAGAAATGTAAAACTGTACCGTACTACACCGTTTTCCAATCCAATATTTAATATTTTCTCTTGCAATGCCAAATTCAATGACACATTCAATGTTGAATTCAATGTTGAATAAATATTAAATATTGGATAAATATTAATATTTTCTGGAATCAAAATGCCTGTACGATGCAGTTACATTTCTTTCGGGACCTTGCAATGCGCATGTGCGCACGATTCCATGATTTTACCTAAGAGATGCTTTTATACATGAAAACCAATGGAAGTTCTCAGTCTAGCTTATACGTAGAAATATGTGCCCTGAACGCACCCTATATAATTCGTAAATTCATTCGTGAGTTTGTTCATTTGTGAACGGTACCACCCTGTCTGCAGAGACGTGGCAAGAACGTGGCAAGCACGTCGTTGTGACGTCATTATGTTGTAGCGACGTGCTTGCCACGTACGGTGCAGTCAGGGCAGTTTTCTTTTTACGTACGAATAAAAAAAGAGCTGAATTTATTCTCATTATTTAAGATTTTTATTTTTTACCCAAGACGTTGGTTAGCACATAATGTTTATAATTTTTGTTTCTTTGGCAAAACATGGAGAAAGACAGAACTTTTCTAGTTTTAGATAAAAATTTATAACTTTTCAACGCGTTGAGAGACAAAAATTCCAAGGTTACGTTCTTGACGCATGATATGTTCCTCACAAAAAAAGAATAGTTTAGTGCTACCCGCTGAAATACAACTACTATTCACTGCGTTCGTTAAGACGAGACCCACCCGCATATACCACTTGATAAAGATTAAACACCCATTTGTCTGTGTTTATTAGGTCTGCACCGGAAACGAAGGTAGTGACGATGACAACCGGCGCCGAGGATGCCTATTCCGAAGGTTCCGAGGTGGATTGGTCGTGGCTCGAAGAAATGGAGTATTCGCGGGCCGTGGACACGCTCGCGGTTGCCGATGTCGAACACGGCGAGCAAAGGGGGAGAAGTGTTTCCCCTACCAGCGGGACCGCAGGGCGCAAGCGCGCTTGCGACCGTCGAGAGACAGCATCTCGCAGTGTCGCGATGTCCGTCACCGCAGCGGCAAAGTCCCTAGCTGTCGGTGGTTCACAGTGGTCACCCCCCGGTGGCGCGCTTCTCCTCGATCATCAAAATAACAACAGCGTCGATCGTTATAACGGCGCTCATCATCGCCGGTGTCAGGACGGCGATAACAGTAACGATGATGGAGATAACAACCACGACGACGACGACGACGACGACGACGACGACGATGACGCGCGTTGCAACGCTACGAACGAAGCGGTCGATCGTGAAAATCGCGACACTGCAACGACAACCGGCGTCGTCGGTGCCTCCGTCGCCGTCGCGAATTCGTGGATGCGCGCGTCCATGCGGCGATTGCGTCATCTGCGCCTACCGGACGGTACACAACGCGCTGTCGCCGTGGATAACGGTAACGAATCGGCCAATCGGCTCTCGGCCGTCTCGGCGCCGAATTCGTTGCCGGATATCGCGCTGATCGCACCAGAGATCCTTGCGGCGCACACCAACGGTACTTCCGGCACTCTGCTGCGACCTTCGAGCGCGCCCGCAAGAAACGTCACTGCGGCCGCCTCCGTCGCCGCGACACCGCGTCGAGCCGGCCGGCAACTCGCCGGCGGCAGATCACGAGGTTCACGGAATCGAGATCGAGAAACGTCCTCGAGGCAGGGTAGCCTCGGCTCCACCACGACGGCTAGCGACACCATTGTGTCCGGCACGACGACCTGCTCCAGTTCGTTCGGCGCGGTTTCCACCAGTCCACCTTCCAGCACGGCAACCAGCCCACAGCGTACCACTTCGAGAAGGTAAATACATAGATCTGTAGTTATAATTATTACATGGACAATCGAGTTCGCGGTTCCGTTATATCAAACATTTATATGTGTTTGCAAACGTCTAGCTCTCGAAAACGACGGATCTTAGCAGCTCGTGCAGATTTTCGTTATACGTAAATTTACTTCTTCTTTTTTTCCACCGCAAAGGACTTATTAATGATATTTCGATGTTCGAATATTTCGAAAGTGTTTGATTTTCATGAACTTTGTTGTTTACATCACATTTGCTAAACACGTGGTTTCGAAAGCCAACATTGTGCGTGATACACATTTGAATTTAACGCAAAATTTTCTTTCATTTTAGTTCTTACAAAAATAATTAATACTTGTAAAATAATGAATAATGCAAGTGTCTTGAGAAATTCTATTTTTTTACTTAAATATAATATATTTTTTATTTTAATATTATAACACAGAAGAGGAGCGTCTCACAAGTGATAACCTCTTAAAGTTGAAACCTACGATTTACTCATTGAGAACCAAAATTAATTGAGAAATCAATAAATTGACAATTTAGATATACAAGATGAGTCCGGGGTAAAAAAATTGTCACATGCTTCTCGAAAGCTGCGAAATTCAGCTAAAAATGTTTCAAATAAAAATTGTATTAGAGAAGACATCTAATTATGCTACTCACTTGGCTTTCAGTGATTTTGCTAAAGTAAATGAAAGGTTATTTTTAATTTTTTTAAAAGCATTATCTGATTTTTTCGAATAAATGATCTTTTTTGTTCATTTTCCGCGTATAGCAGAAAATAAAATTACCGAAAAGTAAATATTTCCGGAGATATGTTACATTATATCTTCTGATATTTTTCAGTACAAGTCATCAAATATCCTATACGTTTTTATTTCGTAGATTATTATCATCATGTAACTTTAGCAGATTTTTTATATTTTCGTCTCGAAAATATGATCGTAATCATTCAGAGATTTATCGTCGACGAAACCGTGTAACCTGTTGCGCAATTTATTACCTTGTACTGAGCAAGGAGCAAGATCTATCGAGGATGACGGAAGGAACACCGACATTAGTTTTACATTTGTAGTGTGGGAAAGTAAAATAATAGCAGCTCTCATGATAGAGATATGTAGTGTTTCGTTACTTTATCTAATATTTATTTAGAACATGTTCTTTTAATAGTTCGATTATATCCATAATATGATTAACGAGTTTCCTGTATATAAAGGAATACTTGTTACCTATGTGAAGCTGGCACCTCATTATCAAAATTTGAAAAAAATTATGAGAGTTCCAGTTGCCGCCCGAAGAGTTCTAGAGTTCTCAATCGGTTTTAGAAATAGTTCTGGCGTTTTAAGCAGTCAAAAAGGCAATTGAGAAAAGGGGGGGCCAACTTCACAAAACCGTCCACTTTAGCGAGCTAGAACTCTTTCATTTCCGCTCGAATCGATTCAAGTCATAAGGAAAATCGATAGAACTCTTCGGAAGGCCACCAGAACTCTAAAGAAACTGACCGATTTTCGAAAAAAATGTTTTCCTAATTGGACTTAGAAATTTTTTTCGTAAATGGGTCAGTTTCTTTAGAATTCTGGTGGCCCCCCGAAGAGTTCTATCGATTTTCCTTATGACTTGAATCGATTCAAGCGGAAATGAAAGAGTTCTAGCTCGCTAAAGTGGACGGTTTTATGAAGTTGAGCCCCCCTTTTTTCAATTGCCTTTTTGACTGCTTAAAACGCCAGAACTATTTCTAAAACCGATTGAGAACTCTAGAACTCTTCGGAGGGCAACTAGAACTCTCATCATTTTTTTCAAATTTTGATAATGAGGGACCAGCTTCACATAGGTATACTTGTTCGATAAAGTCAAACTTCTTACAAAGATGTCATATATTTCATGACAATTATATTCTGTTTATCTGATATAAATATAAGTAATATAAATCTGATTAAGTAAACGATTGATAGAATAAATAACATGATTGATGATAACACAGTATAAGAATCAGAACACACATACAATAGATATAGTAAGCCTCTTGCTTTAAGCCCGAATTATAATATAATTTCTGGAGTTTCCGCATTGCCAGTTCAAATATCGTAATTTATAATCTTCGTTATTTCAAATTCTAGCAACATGGGAAATATTTTTTATCAGCATTTATATTATAGTTTCGGAATTTTGAAGCAGAAAGCTAAAAACTTACTACACCTATTTTAGATCGTGCTGAAGAGAGAAAATGAATGATTTGATAAAGATTAGGATCTTAAACGGTGTAGAAACATTTTATTATTAATGTTAGTAATATTTTTTTTAATTCATACTAATTTAATTTTTAATAAAATAATAAGATGTTGATACTCGCTTTACATTTTGAAAACTATAAATTTTCATTATATCTTCGTGTATATTTTCTCAAACGTTTTTACATGCAGTTTCTACATTGTCATATTACATTCATACGAAGAATTAACGGAGACATCCAAAAAGAAAAATTAGGTAGAACATACGAAGAAATAATTCGATTATTTCTTATTATCTGAGAAATGTTTTCAAGCAGGAGATCTTGGCAAGTTTTGCAAACTTATCGAGACCGATAATCTAATTCCCGTGTAACGACATCGATAAACAGACACTTTCCGCCCGTGCGCTTGCATTAAAAAGGATTACCAGGATTGGCGGCCGTCTGCAGAGCGCGCGGCTTCTCCGGGTAAAGAGGAAGACAGTTGAACGTAATAAACGCAGCGATTTCGATCGTCGAGCTGCCGCCGAGCCCGCGAATTAGCTTCCCTGTCAATGAACCGCGCGAGCAGCCGTCGCGTTTCTTCGCTTGTAGGAGCTGCAATTATTTGCACTGCGGAGTTTCGAGCGCGAGAAAGTCCGAAGAAACAGCCGTTCTCCCGGACCGTGACCGTCGAAACGTCGCCGTCGACACACCCACTCGTTCATTAATCCCGCGGGTAGAAGCGCGTCGCAATTTACCCCGTGTAACTAAATCGCGTCTACATTTCTCCATGCGATATTACTTAATCCATTCTATTTTTGGAGCAAACCTATTGTATCGATATTTGCATGCAGAAAATTTTTCTGGGAAGTACCATTTGTAAACATTTGTAAAATATTAAGCCAGGATATACTTTTAATCTGACAATAATGTCAAGCGAATTTGAGAAATTTTATAGCATCGGATTGAGAAAGATATCTGGATAAATAATCAAATAATGTTTGCATTGTCGACAAAGTTATAACAAATAGCACTGTGAATAAATATTCACCATAAAATATTATAAGAAAAAGTGAAATTTCGTGGCATGATTGACGGGTGTTATATTTATCATATAAAGATTACACCATTTCTTTTTGATTTTAATAAATTTGTATTTAGAAGAGGTTAAATTTTTAACACGATACGATATTCTTTGCATCGCTGGGACGATTTTCACAAAGTTGGGACGATATCTTTCTCGTCAAAATATTATTTTCTTTAGTTTTTGAATTTTCCAAGTGAGATATTTCGGTAATTACATGTTGGGACAAGGCATTTTCAAAGTAAAATATCTCGATAATATGGTTAAAAAGTCAAAAGTTTAGTTTTGACAAAAAGAATATCGTAGTAAATACTGCTGAGGCGTGTTCAAAAATATTTCATATTATTTCATTGGAAAACTTCTGTTTATATATACAGGGTAGGGGGTTATAAGTTTACAACCCGAAGTGTGAAGGTAGATTAGGTTGGGGGAAAACAAACATAAAGGTCCTATACCTAGGTTTTGCGAGATTCGCAATAATTATCGAGTTATTAATGACAGAAATCTGAGGAATGGGAGCGCGCCTACATACAGATCATTGGTATGATTCTCTCAGCTGGATCGACTGGGCCGCGCTGCGGCCTAAGCAGCTGCAACGCTTCTCCAATCATCTATGCCGGCGCGCTCCCACTCCTCAGATTTCTGTCATTAATAACTCGATAATTATTGCGAATCTCGAAAAACGGTATGGGATTTTTATGTTTGTCTTAACCCAATCTACCTTCACACTTCGGGTTGTAAATTTATAACCTCCCACCCTGTATATATATATATATATATATATGTATACCATATATATATATATATATATGTATATATATATATAGGCGCGCGCGCCGACCCTGAGCGCCACATAGACAAGAGTACTTATTCGTTAATTTTAACACGTTCTTCTACAAAAACTTGTCGGATGCAATTTTGCTAAAGGTAAAAGTTGTTTATTTTAGCATAAAGTATTATGTCCTGTACTCCGAATGCGGGAATTTCGGATCATCCTGTATATGTAGGAACTACGTATCTATGGAAAATTCCGCAATAGTATACATGAGAATGACTCGCGACTCGGTTATCACATGACACAAAAAAGCGTTAATGAGAAACTTCTTCACGAAATAATTACGCATTTTAACGACGCCTTCTTTCATAATTGCTCGAATTCTTCGACAATGGATGTCGTATTTGGGTCAGTAGTTGCTATGGGAGTATCGCGATACCGGGTCGACAACGATGTTATTACACCTCGCGTAAGTTACCTTAACGGTATACCAGCATTATAGTCGCGGCCATCGCGGCGTCAGTGTTCTATAATGGTCGGGATGAGTTCAGCAAAGTGAGAGGAGCGGGTGTGCAATGCGCGCGCGCTTTGTTCTCTTCTTCGTGTGGAAGACGTCTCTCGAGAGTTCCGTTGGTTTAGTAACCGGAACGAAAGAGATCTCTTCGGGAAGGTACAACTAGTTCTTAAAATATATTGATCGAAGCAAGAAATTTGTTCAGTATGTCGTAAAGAACCAAATAGTTAACAAACAAGACAGCTATCGATCAGCTGGCAACTAACAATGTGTGTTGAAATCTTTTCGTTAGTCATTGATCGATCCCGCGGTAAAAATTAATCGCTCGCTTAGTGAAAGTATGTACGTATATACTTTAAACAATATATATTTTTATACTAAATTTATACGCATATTTACCGAAATTTAATTAAT